AGAATTTACCGTTATAAACCTTTTTAATGTGTAGTACCCCAGTAATTACCCTGTAATCGGGTAATTTGTATGGGGTAAAGGTAAAAGGCAGGGTAAAGGTAGGCTCGTTGCTTTTTACCTTTTACCTTACCTTGCCGAGGCCTATACATCACGCTGGTCAGTGCGGGACCATGAAAGGGAGGTGGGCCGGAAATTGAACTCAAGTGGCCAGGGTGGAGGCCGCAGTGCATAAGCCACTGTGCCACATGGAAGCGGCCCTATTCACGACATTTTTTTGAGAAACAAAAGGGTCAGCGTGACGATGCGAGTGGCGGTGATGAGGCACTCCGTCACCACAGTGGAGCAAAGTGTCCCTCACTCTCCATGAACTGCTTCTTGTGTTTACTTTGTTATCCCCACCCCCCGTCACCTCCGATTAGTATGGTTGGCTATGTATGGTGCAAAAGAAGTTCAACATACGGTACGTATGTAATGAGCAACTTCCGCGACACATCGTGTAGAGAGTACTCTTCTTTATTACACCATGGGCACAGCACAGGCCAACATTATCTCCTTCGTCTTCCGAGGACACACTTTAGATATTAACGTTCTTACTGACTACACACATGGTTGATCACACGGCGGGTTCCGCCCGTCCACTCCCGGCCTCACTGCTGGCTGACGGCGTGCCGGTAAGGGCGGTGGAGCTCCGCAGATCCGCCATGTGGCCGAACAACGGAGAAAGATGACGGCGAGCAGCGACGCAGTCCGAACCCAGGACTCCACACACCAACCCCAAGTCCTCCTCCACCTCCGCTATTTCCGCAGGCGCGGCTAGGCTCCGCCTGCGGCCATGCCCTCTCCTGGAACCTTCTAGCTGGTTCCCGGAGTTTCTCGGCCAGCCCCGCCCTTTACCTTTGGCCCAGATACCTCTCCCTTTGGGATTGGATGATGTTTATAGTGGTGCCTGTACCCGTGCTTCCCTTTTCCAACCAGTAGATGTCACTATGTCATTACACATACACACGGGGGACTGGCAACGCAGCGTTCGCCCGGTTCACGTTGCCTCCACAGCAGCCCAGCGATGCGCACAGGCGCAGTGCTCGGACCAATACCACACCAGTTCCTTATCGCGCAATCTTACAGTCAGCCAGTCTGTCCACCTGGCTTCACTCTGCCACGCCGTCAGTGCGTCATGCTGGACAGGTGCCGGACACAGGGCGAGTTATCTGGGGTGTTCGTGACAACCCACACTGCAGCTGTGGCACCTTACAAAGATTTCACGTGCATATGTATGTATGTTGAACTTCTTTCGCACCATACATAGCCCACCATTGCTAATCGGAGGTGTGGGGGAAGGACAACAAACTAAACACAAAAAGTAAGTTTTTAATTAATTAGTTTTCAATCTGGATTTGAAAGTGCATAGCTCCCAGTGGCTTCTTAATATCGCAAGGAAGAGCATTCCAGACGGCCGCTGTGTATGTATTTGTTGGTGACTCTTCAGTGACTTAAGTTCATCGGAGGGCCACGAGATCTACACGTGGCGACGGAGAACGCTACCGCATCATGGCTCAGCGATTATGCACGCACTGAATGAACCACGGGCAAGCTGGACATGAAGACCAGCAGCCCAGACGACTCGGAGCAAGAGTTGAAGTGCGTGATCGCTCTGAACGTCTTGCGACATGCAAAGTGGAGTTATCGAGAGCCTCGCTGCTTAATCCGAGAGGACCGCACGCCACGTTGTATAGAAACCAGGGGTCAGCAACCAAAAATAACAAGAAGTGACATTTATGTTCGAATTAGGTAACAAACAAAAAAAGCCTCAATATTGCAACGTGATGAATACGAGACGCTGGTCCTTAAAGAGCCACACGCGGCTCCGGAGCCGCAGGTTACCGACCCCTGTTAATAAACGCACACAAGCAGCCAAGTTAGAAGAGTACTCAGCCAGTCTATAGGATGCGATGCCTTACAACGGGAGCCAAGCTGCATCAAACCGCAGCTCTGTCGCGATGTAATGTGCCACGGTGGGTGAGTGAAACCAGACACGTGAAGCCACGCACCGCTCACCCAACCGCGCTGTTTAATCGCCACAGGCTCCAGCAGCAACGCCAGTGGCGGCTGCGAACCAAGGTCACCCGCAGTCACTCTCACGGCACGGCGCAATCTCTCTGTAGAGCGTGCCCATTGACACTAACCTGGCCCATTGTGGTGGTGGATGCCACGTGTTGAAGATACCCATTCTGTTTCGTGGCCTGGATGTGAGTCGCATGTTGTGTACGAGTTATGTACCAGTCGTGCTGTGTACAAGTTGTGTACGAGTTGAGTACTGTGTACAAGTTGTTGTGTACAAGTTGTTGTGTACGAGTCGTGTGTTGTGTACGAGTCGTGTGTTGTGTAAACAACACAACGCTACAGCTGCCCTAAGAAGCGTCCCTCATCTGCACATTCATCAGTAACACCGCTTTCATAGGAAACACGTAATGGGCGACGCTTCAGGTAACGGCCCTTCTTCACAGCAAATCGATCAATCGTCGTTCTGCAACATCTCATCCACACCATGAGCACCCTACCTCCACGCTAACGCCACAATGTTGTAGCCCTGCAGCCACTAGCGGCGTGACAGCAAGGAATGTTGCATGCACGCGCCATGTGCAGGGGAGCGGTGGTGGAGCGGTTAGCAGCGCCGCGCTAAAACCTGGCGAAGCGAGTTTCCACTCACGAGAAACACCGGTGACGATTATCTGGACCGGTCCTGGGCCTCCCCTAGATCGACTCAGCCTCAAATCACTACCTGGTGCGGTGTGTAAACAACGCCACGAGGGAGACAAAGGCGGCCGGACGTGGTCCTGGCCTCCCACCCCCTTGTGCGCCGTCTGTTCAGGCGTTCACCGGTCAGCTGCCTTCTCGCAACTGTTATCCCCGTCCTGGCTTCTCCATCATCGGCTCCACCCCGCCTCTGTTAACGGCTCTCAAACCCTCACCACCACACACCTCAACACTGTGACCAGAGAACTCACCACTCACCTCATAAACCACTCACCAGTCACCCTCCTGAACCTCACCAGACACACCTGACACCTCACCAGACACAACTAAGCTCCTGAAACTGTCCGATGCAGTTTCACTACGCCACACGCACACCCATTCTAGATGAATGCATTGTACCAACGGACTGCACGACTACACCACACCGCTACCCCTACACCACTCGTGTACACTACCGCACCATTTCACTAAACCGGTTAACACGAAACCACACAACCCCACCACGCCACTAAACTTCACTGTCACTTGCTCACTTATTTCTCCTTCATTCACTCATTCATTCCTCATTCACTCAAGTGGCTCTTCTTGGGTCACTCACTCCACCCGTCCGTTCACTCAATCGTGCCTCTCAATCATTAATTCTCACCCATTCTCTCATTTCCTCCAGTTCCTTCAATTCACTTATCCCTCACAAACGCACTCATTGTCTCATGTACACACGTTTCGTTCTAGCGAGCAGCAAAACATCGTATTTTCCAATTTCCATTAAAGATTTAAGACCCAGTTGTTGAATTCAACAACACACTTCAGGACAATTCTGAGATTTAAAAAAAAGTTGTTGAAGTACATTTCTCTTTCATTCCTCCCTCCTTCAATCACTGAATCCTCATTAATTTTGTCTTACCTCAATCACGCATTAATTCTCAGTCTTACCTTATTCAATCACTAAATCCTGTCATTCATTCTCATATAATTAAATTAATCATTCCCTCCAGTATCACACCCACCAGGCTCCCTGGTCCTCTCCTATGACTTCCTGGCCCTGCCGTTGCTAGCGACACCGTTGCTAGGGACACCGTTATTAGGGACACCGTTGCTAAGGACACCGTTGCTAAGGACACCTGTTGCTAGGTTAACAGCTGGCCTTCACGGCCAGCAGATAAACATTTTGTTTCGTAGTCCACCGAGTGGGATTGTTTTGTTTTTCGCTCATAACTCGGTACCGCAAGGTCGTAGAATACCTTGCTTGCACACCCTCAGATGACGGCGCTTTCCAACGATACCAAATGTGTGCCCGTAGATACCGTGCCGCAGTGGCGAGATGTTAACTACCTCGCCTGGTGTACAGGAGGTCGTGGGATTGATCCCGACCCTGCTGTGTATTTGGAGTTTGCGCGTTTTCTCTCTCTCCCCGCGATCACGTGGCTTTCCCCTCCATATTCATAATCAACATCGCGCATTAAGAGTACGTGGCTGCTATAAATGTCCACATGATAAGCCACTTCGTTGAGCTATCATTTGTGGCCAGGTCGTTTCTGAAAAATAGCTATATAGCTCAGTGGGCCTGACCTGGTAAAATTAAAAGATGAGTTAGTTTATCTTTGTCAAAAAAATTGATTTGTATAAAGTTTGTAAAAGTTCGTACAGACAAGCCAACACACAGGGGTTGGGTTTTATATACAGCATAGATCTGGTGTGACAACGTACATGAACACAGTGATGCGTGTGTAATACACATGCACATGATACATGCATGGATCGGGCATACACGTATGTGTACAATGGACATGTGCACAAGGAGACAGCATACACTGTATGTGCAATGTGGCATCCGTGGCGAGGGAAGAGCTGTCACGTCTGGCTCTGGTAGCACCCCGAGTGGCTGTAGAGGTACAACACGTGGGGCGCGAGCACGGAGATTAGTGACGGTGTGGATGATGGGGATTGATGATGATGATGAAGATTTGGAGTTATGGTGTAGAATTATGATCATGATGATGATTTGGAGTAATGATATAGAATGACGAAGATGATGATTTGCAGTGATGATGTTGAATGATGAAAATGATGATTTTAAGTGATGATGATTTGGACTGATGAAGATAATGATGATGTGGAGTGATGATGGAGAATGAATGATGAAGATTATGATTTTGAGTCACGACACAGAATGATGATGATTTTGAGCCATGATGACGATGATGGTGCTGACGCCTCTAGTGGCCGTCGCCGCCGCAGTGACTCACAGTCGGAAGACGCGCTCCACCTCGCGTCTCTGCGCTCGGGAGAGCAGCTCGGGGACCCGGGTCCCCCCCCTCTCCCCCGCGATGATCCGGGGGCCCCTTTCCGCGGGAGGCAGCTCCACTCGCTCCCCCAAATCCCGGTTCCCGTGGCTGCTCCCCCCGAGAATCGCTCCCGTCCCCTCGGTCCCTTCGGCACGGGGTCGCCACGACCCTTGGAGTTCCGCTCCGGCCGGAGCCGAGGCGCGGCGGAGCCCCTGGGAGGGGGGGCCTTGAGAGGGGGAGGGTAGAGATGGGGGGCCCTGAGAGGGGGAGGGTAGAGAAGGGGGGCCCTGAGAGGGGGGCCCCTCGGTCCCCGCTGTGACCCCGACGGCGGCGCGCGTCTCAGCCGCCTCCTCCTCCGCAGCGCCGATGGTGAGGCGCCGCTGCAGCTTCCGAGCGAGCTCGTCACTCGCCATGGCCTCTCCCGAGCTCGTCCTCCGAATCCGCGTCCTCCTCCTCCTCGTCTCCCGCAGCTCTGACCCGCGGGTCCGCGCCCCGCGCTAAATTTACCCGTGGCGGCACGCGGGGGGCGGGGGGCAGCGCGGTGCCGCGGGGTGGCATGGAGTGGGCTGAGGTGGAGCTTCACGTGGATAGCGTGGAGTTGTGTGTAGTAGTGCGGAGTTGTGTGGAGTTGCAGGCTGGACCAGGGTGGTATGTTGAACTTCTTTCGCACCGTACGTAGCCAACCGAGCTAATCAGACGTGCTGGAAAGGGCACTGAGCACGTGGGAAGAGAGCACGTTGGTGGGAGGCGGAGGGCGAAATCAGTGACACAGTGACAACATACAGTGAGTGACACAGCGAGTGAAACAGTGAGTGACACAGTGAGTGACACAGCGAGTGAAACAGTGACACAGTGATTGACAAAGCGAGTGATACAGCGAGTGACAGTGAGTGACACAGTGATTGACAAAGCGAGTGATACAGCCAGTGATACAGCGAGTGACAGTGAGTGACACAGTGATTGACAAAGCGAGTGATACAGCCAGTGATACAGCGAGTGACACAGTGAGTGACAGCGAGTGACACAGTGATTGACAAAGCGAGTGACACAGTGAGTGACACAGCGAGTGACACAGTGAGTGACACAGTGAGTGACACAGTGAGTGATACAGTGAGTGACACAGTGATTGACAAAGCGAGTGAAACAGTGAGTGACACAGTGAGTGACACAGCGAGTGACATAGCGAGTGACACAGCGAGTGACAAAGCGAGTGACACAGTGATTGACAAAGCGAGTGACACTGGTGACACAGTGAGTGATACAGTGAATGACACAGTGACACAGTGAGTGACACAGCGAGTGACACAGTGAGTGATACAGCGAGTGACACGGTGAGTGATTCAGTGAGTGACACAGCGAGTGATACAGTGATTGACAAAGCGAGTGACACGGTGAGTGACAAAGCGAGTGACACAGTGAGTGATACAGTGAGTGACAAAGCGAGTGACACAGCGAATTACAGTGATTGACACAGCGAGTGATAGTGATTGACACAGCGAGTGACACAGTGAGTGACACAGTGACTGACAAAGCGAGTGACATAGTGAGTGATACAGTGAGTGACATAGTGAGTGATACAGTGAGTGACAAAGCGAGTGATACAGTGAGTGACAGTGATTGACACAGCGAGTGACAGTGATTTACACAGCGAGTGGCACAGTGACACAGTGATTGACAAAGCGAGTGACACAGTGAGTGACATAGTGAGTGATACAGTGAGTGACACAGTGAGTGACTCGCCATTCCGGAAGGGCGCGGCACCCCCGCCGCACAACGAGAGCTTGCGTGATTTGCCACACACGCGAAATGCGCCACGTATTGGAAGCTAAGCAGGTTTAAGCCTGGATCGTGAGTGCATGGATGGGCGACAGTTATCTCGAAAGGGTCACATGAGCTGCGGAGGCTGAATTGAGGGCAGTGCAAAAAAAAATCTGTTTTACCGCACGCATATGGTTCACGCCTTCACAAACTGCTGACCAACGTGGTGAAATATGGCCACACAACCCTCCCAAGCCGCAAATACAGCCAGTCGTGATGATTACACTCACACGTGGGCTCCCCGTGTCCACACGTTCACTCACTCACACGTGGCTCCCCGTGCTCACGCGGTCACTCACGGCTGGCCGGTCACGTGACGCGGCGTGGTGCTGGGGCCGTCACGTGACGCGGCGTGGTGCTGGGGCTGTCACGTGACGCGGCGTGGTGCTGGGGCTGTCACGTGACGCGGCGTGGTGCTGGGGCCGTCACGTGACGCGGCGTGGTGCTGGGGCTGTCACGTGACGCGGCGTGGTGCTGGGGCCGTCACGTGACGCGGCGTGGTGCTGGGGCTGTCACGTGACGCGGCGTGGTGCTGGGGCTGTCACGTGACGCGGCGTGGTGCTGGGGCTGTCACGTGACGCGGCGTGGTGCTGGGGCCGTCACGTGACGGTTGTCAAGCACTCGCGTCCCATCGTCGCCCAGGCCCGGTGAGTTTCTAACAACAGCAGCAGCAGCATCAAACATTCACAATAACAACAACAGCAGCAGCAGCATCAAACATTCACAATAACAACAACAGCCGCAGCAGCATCAAACATTCACAATAACAACAACAGCAGCAGCAGCATCAAACATTCACAGCAGCAGCAGCATCACACATTCACAACAACAACAACACCATTCTCTGCTGTTAACGTACAAAGCTACATCTACTGCTGGACTAGGCCCTTGCGGTTGGTTTTGCTGCGATACATTTCCACACGACGATAAGCCGCTTTGTTGAGCTTTTGTCGTTTGTGGCCAGGTCGCTTCTAAAGAAACAAGTTACTACCTCAGTAGGCTTTAGGTGGTAAGGTAAACAAGTAGTTTAATTGTATTTGTGTGTGTTTTAGTGATGTGTTTACCTTGCCTATACTTTGCATTCCTATCGTGTTTCTGGATTGTTTCTTGTCACGTTCTGACCTCGCCCCCACTGGGCATCCCCATCTGTGCCAAAGAGCTTTATAGCTCATCGGATTCCTCCGGTATGAATATTATGATGCTGGTGTCGTGAGTATGGAGCCCTGCTGGGGTGATTGAGGTGTCGCTCGCCACTGTTGGTGGCCGTGGCCGCGAATCGAACCGAAGTGGCCGAGTCCGTAGCGCCGTGAGCGCTGCGCCACCGCTCACCGCGGGGGTCGATCTCGTCCCCGGCTGGAGTCCGTCGAGCCGAAGCTCCTCGATTTCACACCCAGCCTGGTCTGTACATCTGGCGAAAAAGAGCTTTGTAGATCATCGGGTTCTTGCAGTCGAAATAAAATGATTCTGATTCTGGTGCCACGCTCGTGCAATAATCACCCTCGATCTCTGTTGATGTTTCTGTTAACTCTGTTTCACTCTGAATTTGACCGAGCCAACTCGTCTTGGTCAACTCTTGTGTTGGATATTAATTATATTTCATACGGATTATGTTTGTGTACTATTATACATTTCTTCTGTATCGCAGCTGTTTGCGCTCAAGATTTATATTTAATCCATTATACTTTTATATTATTGCTTTAGTAATTTTCTTTTTCCATGTCAGGTGAGACTATCCTTGTCGCCTAAGTTCTCACCTGGTGGAACACCATAAACGTGAAAGTCGAACTTGTCACACTTTGAAATGGGAGCCACATGAGTGAAGGTGGTAATGTATTATTTAAAGACATCGTACGTTGGAAATCCACCCCTCACTCCCCTTTGAAAAAATACATTATAAGAAAATTCCCCCCTCTTCAAACGACCTTCTTGTGCTTGACCCTCTGTCGGTAAAGCACGAGAGATTTGGCCACATGTCACGATTCGTCACTGAACTTGTGTTCATTTTAACACGTCGGCTTTCCTGACCAATATGCAAAATAGAGGTTTTGTTGTTAAATCGCGTAAATAAAATGGTGTCGTTAAACCCGCCACTATCTGACACAGCCAATTAGTAAGGTTTGTCACTTAAACAAAACATGGTAATTAGTTACGAGTTCAGCACACCGGTGTGTTGAAGAGTAAACCCACAATATTTTCAATTAAGTACTACGTTTCGCCGGTAATTACAACCAGCCTCATCAGGCGACAGCCATCATTATTTACCCCTCCCTCTCTCCGACCCTGCCCCCCCTCTCTATTTAAGGCCCCGTCACAGAGACGATCTCTCTTTGTGCCGATGCGTGTTCTCTCTCTGTGTATATTTGTGATATGTCTGCTTATATGTCTGTCTACAGTTTTCTGGTTAGATTTTTGTTGCTATTTCTTTCTTTTATACCTGATGATGATTGCTTGTGTTGCAATCGAAACGTCGTAGTATGCTATTATTTAATTTATTATTTTATCTTTATACGTGACTTTACCAAAAGAACCAAAGAGTCATTATTTTCGCGTTTGTGTCTGCATATTAATATCAATTACCGCCAACCTTTAATGTTAGGTACTTGGAGACGTTAAATTACGCCATCCAGTGCCGCATAAGTTAAAGTGAGGGGATTTTGCTGTGCATAGAGAAACTGACCTTGGGAATTTCACACAGGTGGTGAAAAAGTTTGGTCAAGGTCGCAAGACAAAAATGTGTGCAGACCACATCCCGCTGGACCTGCTCTCTTCTCTCACCCCGGCCCGGGCAAAGATGGTGGTGACACAGCGACCATGCGTTTGTTATCACTCTCAACACGGCGTTCATGCGCAGTACATTAGTTTGCAGCAAGTCTTCATACGTATTTTAACATCGTGTACAGCCCTTTTGTTAATCCACTCTTGGAGAAGGGTCTCTGTACACACTGTGCAGACTGTGGGTGTGATTTGACCGTCTGGTCAGTGAGGGAATAGTAATGACATGGGAGTGTAGAATTATAGGACAACAATGGCTTCTGCTGCAATGTCATCTGCTACCCACTACAGAGCAGCCTCTGGTCAAGCCTGGCAGGCATCTATCCAAGCACTAGTCAGGCTGCGGCCTGCTTAACTTTGGAGATATACAGTATGCATGTGTATGGAAGTCTATGCATATACCAAATCTGCACCCTGTGGAGCAGATATATATGTCTATATGAACATGTCTGGAAATGAATGCTTATGTGTGTGTACGCAGACGCGTTCGCATACATCACGCGCCTCCGACAAAGTATGGCATTATCCGCAGCAACGGAGCAAGTTTACACATCTCACAGATCAACCTGTGTGTCTGACGGGAGCAGGGAGGTATGGCAGCACGCGTACACATGCACGGGCAGGATTGCACCACTCACTAAAACTGTATGGAGAAAAACCTTTTGTCCATGTTGAGGTAGGGGCTGCTGAAAGTGTATGAGCAAAATCGTGAATGAGAACGGTTGTCATCTAATTATCCATGAAAATAACTTCTCATATCCATAACATTAATCGTAGATAATTAAATGATTACGATCCATAGCTCCCTATATGTTAAACATAATTTACAGTAGGAAGGGGTGTAGTGTAGATGGATTCAGGTGTACAATCTACTGCTGGATGAGGACCTTCCCATGCCGTGTGAGTCGTGGAGGTTATGTGACCACACTTCACGCCAGTCAGTGCAGGTCGGACTTGGTGCAAAATCAGATATCTCTATGAGCAGGACTCAGACTCTGCTGGGAAAACCGATCACACGCAGGAGTGGACTGGACATCGTTTGCCGGTGCTCATGCAAGATCTTCCCGCATGTGTTCAGCGTGAGCGCGCTGAGTGTTACAAGTTACTGCACTTTACAGACGTGACGTTGGTTTTGTGCAGCAGCAGTGAACGTGGCCTTTACATGTAATTTTTGACTGAATGTCGGCTCAGAGATTGGAATTGTGCCCTGCGTTTGCGCGGGCGCATAAATGCGTGCAATTGTGCTTGTAATTGTGCGTGATAGCATACAACAGGCGTGATTTGTTTCGGCTGGGTGCAGAGATTTGGCGTTCCTTGAAGATGTGGGAGACGCTTGCGTCCGCAAAGTGGAGGGAGAGGTTGGTGCTTTTTTGTTTCTTTGAACACAATTGCTGATCGCACGTCCAATGGCCTAAAACGCCACGTGGCCAACAACAAACAGCACTATCAAGGGTTTTAATATAAGAGAATGTCTTGAATTGAGCAATGTTATAAGGGCTTGGGAAAATACATCATGGGAGGGATTTTTCAATGTCAAGCACCATGAAGTGTTGTGATCGGCGGAGTGGCGGGTGAACACTGTGGATGAGACGAAACAGTCTGGCAGACTGAGTGCTCAACATGGGTAGAGGAAACTTAATTTGGAGCTTTCGTGACTGCAGGAATTATTCTTTAGTTCTTTCGGTAAAGTCACGTATAAAGATAAAACAATAAATTAAATTAAATACTAGCATACGACGTTTCGATTGCAACACAAGCAATCATCATCAGGTATAAATTTCTCTCTCTCTCTGGGTTTTTTCGTTGTCTCTCTCTGCTTGTGTATCGGTCTTCGTGTCTGTGTTTTTTCAAATTTCACACTTAACTTCTAATTTAGCAATCTTTGGAAGAACATAATCAACCAGGCTATGCGTTAATTGTGTGTTGACCGACCCTCTGTGTTGCATTGCATTACATTTCGAAATTTTTGCTAGGTTAGTTAATTTAGTGTGTCTCTCTCCCTGCCTCCTAATTTTTTCAAGCTTTCGTACCGTACCACTCATCGTGCTACTCATTGACATGCTAATTTCTCTAACCCCTCTCTCTCCGCCCCTACCCCCCTCTCTCAAGCTTTTTACACCTTGCCACTTACCGTTTCCACTCATGGACATGTTAATTTCTCTAACCCCTCCCTCTCTCCCCGCCCCTCCCCCCCCCTTCTCTATTTAAGGCCTTGACACAGAGGCTTAGTTTCTCTTTGTGCCTATGTTTGCTCTCTCTCTATGTATCTCTGTGATATCTGTCTGCTTATATGTCTGTCTATGTTTCTGGTTCTGTGTTTAATCTCTCTCTCAAATTTAGCATTCTCAGGAAGAACGTAATCAACCAGATAGGGTGTTGACTGTTATGTTATCCGACTCTCTGTTGTATTACATTACATTTCTAAGTATACTAGATTTGTGTTTCTATTTAATTTATACCTGATGATGATTGCTTGTGTTGCAATCGAAACGTCGTATGCTTGTATTTAATTTAATTTATTATTTTATCTTTATACGTGACTTTACCGAAAGAACCAAAGAATGGGTAGAGGAATCAACGATAGAAGAGTGACAAGTGGGTTCACTGACCACCTGCGAGCAAGTGACTGGAGTGAATCATTGAGTATTGGATCATCGATCAACCTGATTGGATGTGAAACAAGATTAGTTGTGTCTGACAGTGAAGTCATGTCAGTATCATGGTTGTATTCCACTAGTTCCACTTAGCCATTCATCAGATGCATGTCTAGCACATTTATTCTTGCACTGCTAGTGGATGTCGTTCCTGGTGTTTGGCTTTGCAGATTTCCCAGACTAAATCATTTGATCCAAATTTTAAAAAGAGTCATGTTCGTTTCCCTGTTTAATGTTAAGCAGAAACAAAAATCCAGTTTTCTTTCATATGCAAATACTGGCATGTTTTTCACCAGGAGAGACATGACACTGGTTAATATTGTTATACAACATTGTCATCTGCTTCCAGTGCACCTAACCATGTCTTTGAATTGGTTTCAGGTCTCGGCTCCATGAAGGAATGTGGGTAGCTCTCAAGCTTACAAGTGGCCGTGTAAACTAAACACACAAAGGACCGTGGCAAATTGTACTGCAGTAAAGTGGAGAAATCAGCGATCTTTTTATCGCAACTAAAATCAGATTCGGTTCCCCACTTTGCTCTTTAATGCTGAGATTACTCTGGCTTTTGGGTCCCTGGCCAGGTCTGCTCTTTCAAGGATCCCTGCACCCCTACTACACGAATCAGGGAGGAAAGTTTGCAGATGCAGTAGTTTAATCGTCATTGCAAATTGTGATTGGATTTTTCCTTCATTCATCATAGATTTTATTTACAGATCTCTTGGATGCATTTAAATGTTAATGGTTGCGAGTAGGCTTGCCTCCACAGATAATATGATTCTCAGATATTAAGAATAGTTTTATGTTGATTTAAAAATTGTGAGTGGGAATGATTCTGCCGGAAATGTTGATAAATTTGATGATGATCTTCTTGATCGCCGTACCGATTGTATGGATGTTGATAATATTTACACTGGTGATGGCGCTGGTGATGTTTAGGTGGCCCAGCCAAAGGAAGTGCTTTCAGAAACCTTCATCCCCGAGGAGTTCCACATCATTCAGAACCATGGCGTTGTAGGCCTGCAGCTTAAAGACTCGTGAGTTTGCGCATGCGTGTGTATCGTAAGATGTGTGACGGTAAAATTGTATCTGGAATATTGCCTGGATAGTTTCGCGATCTGCGCACATTGTATTATGTGTCAATGTGCGTGTGGCTTATGTACGTATTGCCTTTGAAGTTGAGGATGGTTAACAGTGGATTTTGTGGGGGTGTTTTCGCAGGAAATACACCACATATCTAGAAGACGATGAGAAAAATATGCGAACTTTTCCATCGATGTGAGCTATCAAACACTACAGCGCCTGCCTCCATCCACATTCACAGGCATCACACTTCAGCCCATACAAATCATCCTGCTCCACTTCTTGCTCCCACACCTGCATGGATTAATATACAATACAATGTGGATTTGTATAGCATTTTCATGCAAATGCATCTCAAGACTCTGTATAGAAACCCTGGGTATAATGTTTTAGGGAGACAGGCATACAGTAATAATGCACGCTAACATGCATAGGCATGTTTTCTATGTAATTGTCTTGTATTTTTTGTTTATATACTTTTAAGTAAACACTACCAAAGTAAAGTTGATAAGACAGCTTAGCATGGGCGAGCGTGGATCGTGCCTGCGTGCATGCACTGTATCTGTTGTCAAGCTTGGGTATCTGCAGAGTTATTATCTGTGTGGGTATCTGCAGAGTTATTATCTGCAGGGATATGAGGATGTGATTGTTGGAACAAATGAACCACAAAAACGACATCATCTCCATTATTAACACTTTCCTATAACAGGAAGAAATATACCAAAGTAGACTAACATTTTATCACATCGACTGTTCAAGTAAGCGAGGTTGGGAAGGGCACGCAGCTAGGAGGGATGATGGCCAGTGGCCAAGGCTAAGAAGTGGTAACCAAAGAAGTAGAATACACCTAAACCTACGCCACTGCAGGTGCTAGATGGATTGTTGCATCACAAGACTGTGAGAGACGGTGACAGTTTGGGGAGGCATGCGTGTGCAGTTTGGTGAACGTTTTGCGACTCTTGTATCGTGTGTGTGCTGTATGTGTGCTTGTGCTAGTGTTTATAATACATGTATGTATGTATGTTGAACTTCTTTTGCAAAGTATTAGGCAACCGTGCTCTTCGGAGGTGCAAATGTACATGTGTGGTGTGGGGAGACAAAGGCGGTAGGGTATGGTGCTGGCCACCCACCCCCGTGTATGTCATGCTAGCCTTCATAGGTGTTTACTTATAGCACTTGCTCAAACAGTCTCTTAAGGCTATACAGGGGATCTTTGTCTTTGTGTTGAATGTCTATCGAGCGGTGGCCCAGTAGTTAGCACTGCACTACGAACCCAGCGACCAGAGTTCGATTCCTGCTCACGGCCAACACCAGTGGCAATTATTTGAACAAGTCGTGGACCTCCACTAGGTCAACTCATCCAAAAATGAGTACTCGGTGCAAGGTGTAAACATCACCACTCGGGATACAAAGGCAATACTGGCCACACTCCCCCTCATGTGCTGTGCTGGCCTTCAAAAGTCCTCGTTAACAGTACTTATTAATTTTAGATTTGAAGCTTTCGTGACTGCAATAATTCATACTCTTAGGTTTTTTCGGTAAAGTCACGTAGGTAAAAAATAATAGAAATCACACGTACAGCACAAAGACACAAAAATGCATACACATAGCAACATCGACCCCCTACTGCAAACACTTGGCAGGACCCTCCTGAAAACGAGTACTTATTAAGGCTATACAGGAAATATGTGTCTTTGTGCTGTACGTGTGATTGCGTTTGTGTGCTGTGTGTATGTGTAGTGTGTGCACTGCTCATGTGTTTGTGGTGCCGTGTGTGCACTGCTCGTGTGTGTAGTGAGTCCAACTGAGTCGCAGACGTTATCTTGGGAGCAACACTATTTATTCACATAAAATACGTAACGTAACAAACGTACGTATGCCCATCTAACCACGCTACGGCAGAACTAGACACGGTTCGCTATGGGTCCCGGACCGCGTGGCTAGAGGCTTCTTCTCCCCGACGTGGATCTTCGTAACACCAGCACACAAAGAACCTCACGCTCCTTACGGAGCTCTCGTTAAATGCCCCCGGGCTGGGGCAGGCTCCGCCCTTAGTCCCGCTCACCTTCCAGGCTTTTCGAGCTTCCTCTCGAATGTTCCCGAGAGCTCTTCGGGACCACGTGACCGCCCCTCGGCCCCCGTCCACCGGTGGCCCCCTTCCAGCATCGTCCGGTCACGTGACAACAGGTCAGCCAGAGTATCATGCCCCAGGGTAACCCTGGCTGGCTGACGCTCGCTCTCGCTCCCTCACCGGGAGCCACCACCGCACACTGCTCGCGGTGCCTCCGCATTAACCAGCGCTCACCCAACCACCGCTAGTGTTGGTACTGCAGCCCGCAATGACCACATTACCGGCTGTGACTTCGCAAGTCCCGTCACCACACAGTGACAAGTACAGTCACTACATGTGTTTGTGGTTCTGTGTGTGCTGTGCGTATGGTGCGGTGTGTGCACTGCACGTGTTTGTGGTGCTGTGTGTGCTGTTTATATTGTGTCGTGTGTGCACTGCTCGTGTGTTTGTGGTGCTGTGTATGCTGTGCGTATGGTGTGGTGTGTGGACTGCTCATTTGTTTGTGCTGCTGTGTGTGCGCGCAGGCGTCCGATGGCACGCAATGAGGTAGTGGAGCTGACTCGCGTGCTGGATACGTGGCTGGAAAAGCTGGGACCCATGGAGATAGAAGGTCCCACACTTGTGAGTGAGCCTCGGGGGTGAAGATGGTGCTGCTCCCTGTGCAATTGTCTTCATGTGTACATTTGTGTTTATACGTTTGATTAGCCATTTATTGACATTTATTATTACTGCGCTTCTTATCTCAGGAAAACTTCACTGAGTCTCAAGACTCGTTTTCAAGAGGGTCCTGCCAAGTGTTTGCAGTAGGGGGTCAATGTTGCTATGTGTATGCATTTTTGGCTAATGGGAGGAAACCGCAGAACCCAGAGGATGCCCATGTAGAACAGGGGAGAACATACAAATGTAGTGGATTCACGGAGAGTGGAGACGACTTGTATAGGCAACACGCTTATTCCAATAACGGTAGCAATATCAGTCTTCCACAAAGGGCAGCGGCCCTTTTACCTACTGCCTGGGGAGGTACAGCCTCCGAACTAGCGTGCCCTATCACTGGGCTACGGGCTCTTAAGTCCTCCGGCTGCGAGTGACCTAGGGGAGGCTACACTGACCCGAGCCAGCCAAGGTACGGGTCCTGACCATTGGCCCACTCGGTCCCGGCCCTTACAAGGACGTTGGGCCCGGGGGTTCCCAGGGTCTCACCACTGGCCCACAGAGTCCCGGCCCTTACAAGGGCAGCGGGTCTAGGGGTCCCAGGGTCCTAGGCTAGCTGGTCTTCTGGCTTTGGTCTTCGAAATGGCCCCGGACCCGTCCAGAGGTCCGGCTTTTATACACCTCCCCATGTGTGTCAGGCCCTGGCCACGCCTCCCTTCCAGAGAGTTCCAGGGGGGGTCTCGGGTGATCCAAGAACACCCTACAGCCCCCCCTGCTTTGGGGCTGGGGGAATGTAGCGACCCTCATGCCGGTCCAAGTTACTGCCCCTGGTGGGCCCTGTCTGCTACTGCAGGTAAGTATACGTAGCCCATTTACAGCGCGACACAAACTCCATTCAGAAAGGCGCCCAAGTCGGGCACCAAACCCAGGCCCTTCTTTCTGTGAGGCACGAGTGTTACCACCAAAACATTTCTTCCCAGTCTTTCTTTCGTGGTAAATATTGGTGTCATTCGGGACCTTGGCAACCACACTAGCTTGCAAACACCCAGCGCTGTCCTATGACCTCAACCAGCTCTTAGCACTTATTTTCTGGAGTGCACTAAGCCTGAGACAGGCATGTGAGTGAGATTCTACCTCGAAGTGGCAGTAAATTGCAGCTGTTGTCATGCGTCTGCTGTTGTCATAATTTGCGTGCATATAGATTCACTCCTTGCTGCAGCTGGTGCAACAGGAACAATGCATATACAATGCGGTTTTCCACGAGGTCATCCGGCAGGTCAGCGTGCAGTGCACGGAGAGGGGACAGCTGCTGGCCAAACTGAGGTGCGTGCGTGAATGTGATCGTTTATTAGCATGGTGGGGAGCGGTAGTGTAGTGGTTAGCGCGCCATGCTACAAACCCGGCGATCGAGTTTTATTTCCGATCACGGCCAACACCAGTGACGATTATCTGAACCGGTCCTGGGCCTCCCCGAGGTCTACTCAGCCTCATGAGTACCTGGTGTGATGTGTAACATCGCCACACGGGAGACAAAGGCGGCCGTGCGTGGTGTTGGCCACCCACCCCCACGTGCCATCCAGGCCTTCATAGGTGTTCACTAACAGGACTTGCCCCAACAGTCTGTTAAGGCTATACGGGGGATCTTTGTCCTTGTTCATTAGCATCATCAAGTAACCCCAACTCAAACCCCGAAAATGCATTCCAATGTCACGATTCTTTCTCACAATTTGATTCATGATTAATGTGTCATCTCCTTTGTTCTGTCTTCTCATATGTTCTGCTTTGCTCCTACTGTTTTGTCAATTCTGTTCGTCTATAGGTATAAATATTTTGTCTCTCTGCCCTTTTGTGTCCGTTTCATTTACCATCGTTCTCTGTGGTGTTCACTCTCTCTTGTCTCACTGTACACGGCGTTTGCGCACAGTCTGTAATAACCACTGTGTATAGTGGTTATCCATCCATTAGGCTTACCCAAGGCTCTGTTCTGCCGAGAAAGGGAGTTAATTTACCTGCCGGTTCAATATCGTATCTTAGGACGCAGTTGTACGTAGATGCCGCATGCACCCACATCGTGCTGTGTTGGTGTTTGGGCAGGGAGCGATACTCGTCCCTTCTGAGCCGCGTGCCAGTGCTGGTTGCCGGGCTGCACGGGGATGTCCTGGCAACCAGAGCCCAGCACCGCCGCCTCATGGAGCAGCTCACAGCCTTCCAGACGTCTGTCAACCGGATGGCCAGGTCACATGGAGTCTCAACAATTAACAGTCTCACCACCACACGGCTTGAACACCACAGTGCTTACACAGCACAACCTCACCACTATACAGCCTCTACACCACACAGTCTCACCGCCATATGGGCTTGACGCCACACGGGCTGAACGCCACGCAGCGCACACACCACACACCCCACACCCTCAACGCCACACGACCTGAACGTCACACGGCCTGAACGTCACACGGTTTTAACACAACTCAGCTCATACACCACACCGCCTCACCGCCACACAGCCTCACCACCACGCGGCCTCGATGCCACACAGTGCATACACCACATATACACTAAAGACGTCACACCACATATACTCTAAACCCCATTTACCATGCACACCATAAACACCATTTACCAGATACACCCTTAAAAACCTCTCCATGCTTCTCTGCACACTTTAAATCTTTTGCTGAAAACAGATGCATGCTTGGCTTTACACTGAGACACACAAACAGCAACACATGACTCAGAGAACATTTGCAAAATATAAACAATATTGACTGTTAAGAAACGTACGTGGGCTTGGGCAGGACACATCGCTCGCTACAAAGGACAATGGCCATTGGTCAGGACTAATGGCGGAGTGGCATCCAATCCTTCTTTCGTGTAGCTGATGCAGATGCAGAGCAACAACTATAATTTCACATTCAAGTCAAGCCAAATAACCGCGGCGTACGTAGCCAACCGTGCTGATCAAGGACAATAAAGGAAACACAAAAATGTGAAAATGCCCACTGTGGAGATGGAGCATCAGCTCGTGTGCAGCAGCTGATTGTTGCATCACAAGACTGTGGGCGATTGTGAAAGCTTGGGGGGAGGCCTTTATCCAGCAGTGTAAAGATAATGGCTGCTGATGATGATAGTGCCACAAATGAACCACAATACCTTGCTGATCTCGTCATCGAGCATAAACCATCACACAAACTCCGGTCACCCTCGCAGTGGCTTTTGGCTAACCATCGAACAAAGATGGTCGCTGTATTGCATGCTTTCAGATGCGCTTCTGCGGCCATCTGGAACACTCTTCATTCCAATATTAGGAAGACACTGGAGTGATGCACTTTATAATCTAGATTGAAAACTATTTTTTTAAAACTGATTTTTGTGTTTAGTTTGTTGTCCTTCCCCCACACCTATGTACAGTTGGAAAGAAGTTCAGTGTACATATTTACATACGTGCAAGCCTGCTGGTGACACCCTGGCCAATAAGGTGCCACACTAACAACAGTAGCCTTGTGGTTCTGCTTGTGCTCAGATATAATTTCTTTTCTTCTGAGTGCAGCGAGCTGAGCTCTGTGCGAGAACGGGACGGCCAGGTGAGCACACAGGCCCAGAGGGAGAGAGAAGACCTCAAACGTGTGCTGGACGAAAGCAGACAGAACGCCAAGTGAGGCCGCAAACGTGCAAACACACGCACAGTCATACTTGTCCACACACTCACACACTCGCAAGTACATGCATTGTACATGCAAAGACACATTTATGCACCTAAGCAGATGAACCAAATTGCTGAAATGTATCCGACCTCATTACATCTTGGAATCTAAGCAGGGCTGAGCCGGGCGGTGTTGGCTACATACAACTGTGATCCAGCACTTTGGAGGCAGCGAGGGTTGTTGGGCGTCGAGGAGCCATACCCCTGGCTTGCCAGCAGAATGTGGGATAACAAATGGACTCATCACCATCTGTTTCCATCTGTACGGGGATAGAATGTTGTCCCCTTGTGCACGCAGTTATTCTCCGAGTGCTCCGTTTTCCTTCCCCATCACTCGTCATTAATAGGTTGAAAATATATTAAAATAAAAATCCAATGCAGGCCCCTCCTGAAAAGAGTGCCTCGACTACACGTGGCTCTTCTGGATAAATAAGTAATAATGTAAACGTTCATGGTGCTTGGGCTGTTTGATAGTGCCTGCATCCTCATCTAAACTCACTGCACTCCATACAATGTGTACGCCATGTACCGTGCGCGAGTGGTGCTTCACATCACTGTGTCTCCATACAGCCTGCTGGAGGAGTACCACAGTGTGTATGGCCTGCACCGACACCGGCTGGAAAGCAGCATGGGTGTCTTGCAGCGAGAGAGGGATGGCTGGGCCTCCGCTGCGCTGGCTCTGGCATCCCAGGTGTGTGGGTGTGGACGTGTGCTCAAGCGTGGCTGTTGTGAGCAGGGATCAACCTGATGGCCATGGTTCAGCGGGAGTCATTAAAGTCAAGTTGTTCTTCACTGTACCTTCATCATCAACAGCCACTGCCTTTTCGCTGCCGGATTAAGGCCTCCCTGCGCTTGTCACCATTTAGTCGGTCCTGCGATGCCACATTCGCTGTCAAGTGTGAACTGATCTCATGGCTCGATGTTCATGGTGGGAATCCTCTTGCACACATTTTCTTCTAAGCTGCCATTCACCAGTGTCATCCATCGGCCATCGTCCTTTCCGGCAATGCGTTCCACCCAAATCAACTTCCTCTCTTTACAGTCAATTACATCTCTGATGTGTTTGTTTGTTCACTGGTCTGTGTGCTCCTCTTTCTGTAACTAAAAGCAAAATACCAATGTGCCTAAATAAGAATGGTTTTGGTCACTGTCTGTTACTTGCCATGTCATTTAGATTTGGACACACTGACAAAAGAAATGTAACATGCTGAAGAGTGCACATACAACTCCACCTCCGATTAGCACAGTTGGCTATGTATGGTGCAAAAGAAGTTCAGCATACATTGAGAGGTGCACTCTTGGAATTACACAAAGAGGCAGAAGGAGGAACACATGGATTAGAAAACATACACATGTGGGCATGGGCAGGGAACGTTACCCAGTCGGGATGATGAACGGTTGTCAAGACCAACGATGCACCGGCAGCCAAAGGAGAAAACATGCCTGAAAGTACGTCTACCGTGGAGTTGGAGCGATGACATATCTTAGTGTGCAGGAGCTAGATGTATTGGTTCATTGCGAGACTCTGAGGGATGGTGACGGCTTGAGGGGCCCTTTGTACAGCAGTGGATAGATGTTGCTTGGTGGTGATGATGAAACATTTAACTTAGTGGGTGGCAGAAGTTTACGAACTTTGCAAAAATATTTTACGAGACATTTTATGGCAGAGTGTGGAAATAATTCTTCACACCCTTCTGCTCACCCTCCCCCACCCATCTCAACCCGTCAGCTGACGGAGGAGCGTTCCATCGTGACTGCGCGCCGCCTGCGTGGACACTCTCAAGCCTGGGCCAACGTTGCACAGCAGCACTTGCTGCTGCTCAGCAATCGGGTAGCTGTGTATATGGCAGCCGCTTCCCTATGTGGGTGCATGGTCACGAGGGGGGAGCGGTTGTGTACCGGTTAGCGCACTGCGCTATGAACCTGGCGACCTGAGTTCGAGTCCTGCTCGCGGCCAACACCAGTAACGATTATCTAAACCGGTCCCGGGCCTCCCCTTGGCTGACTCAGCCTCAAATGATTACCCGGTACGGTGTATAAATATCACCACTGGGGAGACAAAGGCAGCCGGGCATGATGCTGGCCACCCACCCCCTCGTGTGCCATGCTGGCCTTCATAGATGCTCACTAACATCACTTGCCCCAACAGTCTGTGAAGGCTATAAGGGGGATCATTGTCTTTGTCTTGCTCACATTCATCTGTATGCATTTGTGCGTTCACCGTACCTATGCATGTGAGTGTGTGTGTTAATGCTTAATAAAAATCTAAATGTCATTGTGGCCACAGTCCTTAATGCCACCTGTGGTGGTTGGAGGCCCGAACTACACCAGATGTAGCCTCTCCTTCGTGTTTGTGGGTGCCGTTCACTCTTGAGAGGTTCATCTGCTTTTAATAATAAAAAATTACCCAGGGTCTAACTTTACAGATTACCCAGGATCTAACGCCGGGTTTAACATACACCTAACACATGGGTACATTTGCACCAGCTTGCATTCAAACGTGCTCTACACTGGTAAACTTGTTTGGATCTCTTGAAAATGAATGGGCCGTATAAATGCACCTTTATTCACCAGTCAGGATCCTTGGAAAGCCAACATCGGTACATGGCAAATTCCGTCTGCCTGACTGCTCCCTATCGGCTCAGCCTTTCCAAAGCTTGGCAGGCAAATCCATCCTCACCCCCAGCAAAACAATCGAGGCCTGCACCACACAATGCAATTCAAATTCAAACCACAATTCAATGCTGGCTTCTAGGTGTTTGCTATTTTTAGTAACACTTAAGCTAAAATCCTATAATGGTGTTTTCATATATGTGCATATATTCATGAGGGTCTACATCATGGGACCTCCTTTGCCAGTACCAAAATATGAGAATAGGTTTTCCCCTTTTTCCTGGCGTAAAAAAATGGAAAACCTATTATTCATGAGTGCTTAAACGTATTGCATTCATATAAATACACCCGTATGCCCTCTTGGGTATGTGGTGTCATCATTTTCATCATATATTGTATTTAAATATGTAGCACCGCTCACAAAGCTACGCAATCACTGTGTGTGTATGGAGCACATATGCGTTTGTGTAGAATGCACGTGCGCTTGTGTTGGAGTGACGGTGTGTGACGGTGTGTGTGCAGGATGGCAGTGTGGTGGCGGAGGTACGCTCGCTGGTGAGCAGCTGGGCTGAGAAGGCAGCTCGCTTGGACAGAGCCTGCCTTCAGGCTGAGGCCAGTACGGCGGCCAGACTTCAACAGGCTCATTTCGGCCTCCAACGCTGGGTCACGCGTACTACAATCATAATGTAACGCATGCCAATGCACATCGACTATCAACATGCTTACTCTCGTGGAGTTTGTGCGCTCATTGACATTTTTCAAAATAGGTGACGACCACAAATATATTACCAATGAAGTCTTGAGTAGCGGATTTCATTATAATAAACGCAGGTCTGTATGTACCTATTTATGCTGAGGAGGCTTGCTGACAGATCATGGGCAGTCGCCCTCCACTATAACGGAGGCCAGAGGAGCGACGCTCACAACAACGAGCGAAGTTCTGGGCAGCTAAAATGCAGCAAGTTGGCACAGTAGGGGGTCACAGGTGGTACATCTGCCAGTCATCTCAGTCTACCCATGGCACCTGGGTCTGTCCCGTGACCTGTCAGCAAGCCTTCGACACTTCATGTGGCCTCAAAGTGCACCTGGCCTGGCACAGGCATCGTGGTGAAGTCACCGCCACTTAGTGGTGAATGGCGGGTGTTATGTATGTAGAACCTCTTTCACACTGTACGTATCCAACCATGCTCATCACAGGTGCGGATGGTCTGATCAGGGGAGTCCTTGCTTTGGGCTTCACCTTGCCCACCTGGCCTTCTTCCCCATCCTATGCGTATGTACATTGTCAGTAGATCCCCCATAAGCAATTGTACGCATTTGGGTTAATCCCCCCTCCCTCATCCATGAATATGTACTAAATGGATGGCCCCCATTCACTTGCCATTGTTGTGGCAAGGATTACCACTCAATGATTAGCCTATTAAGTCATTATAGGCGCTGCAAAACCCACAGCTGACCTCGTAAGGCGCAAAAAGATTTTTTCTCGAGACACACAGGCCTATTAATTGATTGACTGTCAAGTATAATTTGTTTGTCTCTCATTGGCCTTGCGGGCCATATCAGCCAAAAATGTTTGTCCGCGAACGACACTCGTCCAAACGGTCTATAAAGGCAATACCGGGGATCACTTCAATGAATGAACTTGCATTTGTGTAGTGTCATTGATGACGGCACTATAGTGTAGCGACAGTACCGTGTGAGTGGTATTGTATGGGCGGAGCCTCTCCCTGGCACCTGATGGGCATACCAGGGGAGAGGCTGAGTAAACACGAGGGGGCACGTGACCGGATGAGGTAGTAACGAGGACCAGGATGAGGGTGAGAGGAACACGTGATGTGGGTCCTGAACCCTCACGAAGGATCTGGAAAAGGGGCGTGGCCAAGGGTGGAGCCTGGCCAGGCCGCAGGGATAAAAGCCGAGCCGCAGGGGGGACCGGGGTTGGTCCTGGCTGGGAAGAAACCTCCCTCATCGTGGTCTTTGGTCTCCGGGCGTCGCACACGTGGCCTAGGCAGCGTGTTGGCTGTCCTGGTCCGATTTAGTACTTGTGTAGGGGTGTTACGGAGGGGCTGTATACATAGGATCACACGGGAAACAAACACAGTGGGCGGGGCTCCGTGAGCACACGGGGAGGTGCTCGCAACGACGTCCGCACCAGGCAGCCTGGGGGGCTGGCCCGGAGTGTGATCCCCCGGGGGGCCCCACCCCTCAGCGGGGGGTTGGGGTATAAAAGGGGATGAGCCAGAGGGCTCGGGGCACAATGTTACAGCTAAAGGAGTGAAGACCCAAGATCATCTAGCTAGAGCCCTGGACTCCCCTGGAACGCCGCCCTTGTCAGGGCCGCGCAGGACCGAGCCAGCGGCGTGGTCCCGAGAACCAGAGTTAGTGCTCTGGGACTCCGGGTACCGTAGCCCGACTCACCAGTGTCGGGCCAGATAGCCTCCCCTAGCTCTTTAGCGGAGGACTAGGAGGTAGGTTAGAGATAGCTAGCAGTGTATTCCCAGCTAGCTGGGTGAGGGGGCCGATACCCCCTCTAGTATTGTATGCCCGCGGTTGTAACCACTGTGCGGAATAAATACGTGTGCCTCAACCCCGAGTGTCCAAGCGTCCTCAACGGTACTACATCTGGTGTCAGAAGTGAACGACCACGAACATGGACACGCGCCGGACAGCTCGAGCCGGGGTACCGGAGGCGGAGGACACCGCTGAAATTGTGGAGCCCGAGACGGCTGCAGGAGACATCGAGCAGCCGGGGCCGGACGCATCCTTACCTGGGCGTCGGGATGAAGGGGAGCCGGCATCAGAAGGACTGAGGCTGGCTCACGCGAGGCTGGCAGAGCTGCTGTACGCTGCTGCCGCCACGCTCGAACACATCACACGGCTGGGCGCTGCTGGACCGCCACGGGGCGAGGATAGCCGACGACCGGCGCGCCTTCCCGCCATTTCAACGGACGCCAACTTTGAATCTCCCGCCATCGCCGCTGCAGCTGCTGAGGGCGTAGCCGGCCTGAACCTCGGGTCCGACATCGGCCTCACAGGGGCTGCCGCGTCATCACCAGCGGACGGAGCGTCACCACTGGTGCGACCGGCGATGCCATCCGTCGTTCGCGCCGAGGCGCAGACGACTCACGGGGACAGCAAAGTGCGAGCTTCCACGGCGACCGCTGCGCTGCACCAACGGCTGCCCCCGCTCAAAGAGTTTGTGGGCGAGGAGGGCGACTGGGGCGGCTTCCAGCGGCGCTTCCTCGCGCACCAGGAAATGGCGCAGTGGTCGGATGCCGAGGCGCTCTGCGCGCTGCCGGCGCTCCTCGACGGCGACGCCCTCGCCGCTCTTACATCGGCGCCCAAGGAAAAACGCTCCACGCTTCAGATGGCGCTGCAGTTGCTGGCTGCCGTCTACGGACCTTCAGCGGAATGCAGGCAGCGCTTTTATGATCGCCAGCGGGGGGCAAAGGAGTCGCCCCTCGCGTATCGTACGAGTCTCCTGGCGCTGGCGAAGACAGTCTTCCCTCGCATGGATGACGAAGGCGTGGACGCGATGGTTATGGATAAAATCCTCCTGCTGGCGGACGACCTGGACATCGCCGTCGTTGCACAGGAGGACACAGAAATGGGTTCCCTCCAGGCGGCGCGGCTCCTCCACGCCAACCTGCTGTCGCAGCGACGGAAGGCCAGCAGAACGACGGCCGGGCGTGCGGTGGCTGCAGCCGCCCTCCCGACGGAGGACGTTTACGCCGTCGACCATCGACAGCAGCAGAGGGCAGGTGTACGGGCGGGCCGCGACGGGTCGAGCCGCTCCGACCGTCCCTCATCGCTGCCGGCGCTCCCGCGCTGTTACAACTGCGGCATCCGGGGCCATGTCGCCTCGGGGTGCCGCTCTCCTCGGCAGCGCGGGGCGACGCCTCGACAGGACACCGGACCTCCTCCCAAGCTCCATCAACATAACCCGGCGAGTCGCGGCACCCCTCATGTTTGGCCCATGCACACGCCCGTCACACACTCGCACACCGCAACGAACGGGGGGCCGACATTGCGCACCGTCGGGCCAACACGCACCACTATGGGGACTCAAATCGAACCCAGCCAGTGGTCCATGTTGGTCCATCGCGTTGTGGCTGCGTCGTCGGGCTCGTCGGCCGTGGTAGGGCACATTGATGGGGTTGAGGTGCGCATCCTGGTCGATACAGGAGCATCGGCGACCATCATTTCAGAACTCATTTACAATATTCTCCCTGTCCAAAGCCGTCCTTTACTGCCGGTTAACGTCCCATTCTATGCTGCTAACGGGGGCTCACTTGGCATCATTGGACAGATTCGAGCCCAAATTTGTATCGGTGATATCAAATTGTCCGGCCCGATTTTTGTTTCCTCCTCGCTGGCGGTTCCGTGCCTGCTGGGGACGGACTTCTTGGCCAAAATGCCGATTCGTATTTTAATAGACCAGGGCTGCATTGAGCTCCCGTCGGGGCGACGCATGGCCTTTCTGCCTTCCCCTACTGCGGCTCGAACGGCGTTCGCGACAGTACCGGCGTTCGTCGTCAAAACGGTTCGCGTACCGCCAGGGGCACAAATGTTGGTGCCTCTCAAACTTCGTCGGCCCTTCGCTAAGGGCATTGGGGACCAGGGAATTCTGCTGGGGCCATCTAGGGCCGGAGTTAGCGGACCTCATTTAATTCCGGCCCAGACCATCGTAAAAGGGGACGGGGACCCTTTCATCGCGGTCCTCAATGTGGGGTCGCAGACAGTGGTAGTTCCTCAAGGGACCGTGCTTGCTCACGCAACGCCGGTGCCCTGTGAGGAACCCGTCGCGAATCATGTCGGCACTGTCCCTCTGCCGCATCCACATTCGGACACCGATGAAGGGTGGCTCGAGGCGCTTTGTGCGGGATCGACGGACCTGTCGGATTTAGAGCGTCAAAAACTTAAAACACTGCTGCGCGAATTTTCCGACGTTTTCAGTCAGAACAAATTCGATTTAGGCTGTACCCATCTGCTGCGTCACCATATTGATACGGGTGACAGCGCGCCAATACGCCAAAATCCCTTTCGGTTAAGTCCCGCCGAAAAGGACCATGTCAAATCGGCTGTTGATGACATGTTAGCCGCCGACATCATTTCTCCCTCTACCAGCCCGTGGGGAGCGCCGATCGTCCTGGTTAAGAAACAGGATGGCTCGTTGCGGTTTTGCGTCGATTTTCGCCGCCTCAACAAAATTTCCGTTGCCGACGCATACCCGCTCCCACGGATTGACGAATCGCTGGACGCCTTGGCGGGAGCGCGATTCTTCTCCACATTGGATTTGCTTTCGGGATTCTGGCAGCTTCCTCTGGACGATGATTCTAAGCCTAAAACTGCATTCCGTACACCGCACGGTCTCTTCCAATTTAACCGGTTGCCGATGGGACTCCACTCGGCGCCGGCGACTTTCCAGCGATTGATGGAATTGGTTTTGGCTGGATTGCAATGGCATTCGTGTTTAATTTATTTGGATGACGTTATCGTCTTTAGCAGAACATTTGACGAGCATCTCCAGAGGTTGCGGGCGGTTTTCCTCAAAATGCGGGCTGCTAATTTGAAATTTAAACCCCAAAAGTGTCATCTGTTACGCAAATCGGTGCGTTATTTGGGGCACATCGTCGGACGCTCAGGTATTGCTACCGATCCCGCCAAAGCGCAGTGCGTCAGCTCCTGGCCGACTCCCACCTCTGTGGGAGAGGTCAGGAGTTTCATTGGATTCGCGTCATATTACCGACGCTTTGTCGCAGATTTTGCCACAATTGCTAAGCCCCTACACGCTTTGACGTCAAAGGGGGTCCGCTTCCATTGGGGACAGGAGGAGGAGGTTGCTTTCAGCTCCCTTCGGGACGCTCTGGTTAAAGCCCCTCCCTTGGTTTACCCCGATTTTTCTAAACCCTTTGTGCTCGACACCGATGCGAGCAACACAGGTATTGGGGGCGTGCTTTCCCAGGTGGTTGATGGCGTGGAAAGGGTAGTCGCGTATGGCAGTCGGGTGTTGTCTCCAGCGGAGCAACGATATTGTGTCACCCGTCGGGAACTGTTGGCAATTGTCTATTTCATCCAACAGTACCGGCCATATCTGTACGGTCAGCGTTTCACCGTCCGTACAGATCATGCGGCACTACAGTACGCCCTGCGAGTTCAACAACCATCGGGACAATTGTCTCGATGGTTGGAGGTTCTCCAGGACTTTGATTTTGAAACCACGTACCGTAAGGGCGTTCGCCACACCAATGCGGACGCTCTGTCGCGCATGCCAACCACCCCCGAATGCGCATGCCTCCTGGGGTCGGGTCGTTGCAGGCATCCGGCTGAAATATCTGTTCCGGTCTTGGCGGCCGCAGATGACGCAGCGTCGATGACGAATTCGATCGCACAACAGGGATCAGATTCCCTGTTGGGGTTGCCTGTCACTGAATGGGGGCGCTTGCAGATGGAGGATACCTCCCTCCTCGCGTTGCGTCGTCGCGTCGGGGAGGCTGGACGGGGGAGGGGTGATGCCGACGCATGGGAAATGCTCACGGGTCTGCTGATGCATTGGGACGGGAAATCCCAGCGACACCGGCTGGTGGTCCCTTCGGGGTTACGGGGTAAGGTGGTGTGGGCCGCTCATGAGCGCCTCCTCCACCTGGGGACCCATAAGACCCTCGCCTTGCTCCAGCTTGATTTTTTTTGGCCGGGCATGACGAGGGACGTCGCAGATCTGTTGGGGTCATGCCCTCAGTGTGCGCAGCGAAAACCACCAGCACGGGAGTCAAACCCGCCTTTGCAGTCTATCAGAGTCTCCAGAGTGAACGAACTTGTCGCGCTGGATATTCTGGGCCCATTCCCCGCCATCCCCAGGGGAAATAGATATTTGTTGACCGGGGTGGAGTACTTCACGCGCTGGCCTATGGCCTGGCCCCTGGCCAACCAGTCGGCAGCAGCCATCGTGGAGGCCTTTGTCCAGGGATACGTCCTGGACAAAGGTGCTCCGGAGCGGCTGCTGACCGACCAGGGCAAAAAAAATTCCGGCAAACTGCTCCAACAGGTCTGTGAGCTCCTGGGCACGAAAAAAATTCGTACCTCTCCCTATCACCGGCAAACTGACGGGATGGTCAAGCGTCTGCACCGAACCATCACGTCTATGTTGTCACAGCAGGTTTCGGACTCACAGACCGATTGGGATTCAAGGGGTCCTCGCAGCATACAGATTGGCCCCCCATGCTGCGACGGGATTTTCCCCCTTCTTCCTCATGTATGGCCGCGAACCTGACCCACCTGTTCGGGCCCAGCTGCAGATCCCCGCGCCGCAGGGAAAAACTAAATTGGCCGACCATGTTAAATTTAACCTTGCGAAATTGACAGAGGCGCGGGATGCGGCCATGCAAAATTCCGACATGCGTCAGAAAGCTAATGAGCGGCTCAGACTGGGTCGCGCGCACGTGCTACAGTGAAAGCCGGGAGACAGGGCATGGCTGCACTGTCCCCAGGTACCACTCGCGACCTCCTCAAAACTGGTGCGGCTGTGGCGGGGCCCCGTCGAGGTGGTTGAGGTTGTGCGCCCTCAGTGCGTGCGCATCAAATGAGGGAAGCGCCGGTGGTTTGTACACCCCTCCAGACTGAAACCCTTCGTTGCGGCGCGAGGTCCCACTCCACACACGCGTGGCCAAACATGTGGGGGGTCGACCGACTCAAAGGGTCCGTCTCCGCTGCTCTCGCCTGACGTGTTACCGGCTGTCCCGCCCCCAGGTGCACCAGGAATGACGGGCTCACGCCCGACAACCCCGACGGGGGATGCCGAGGGTCTCGCGACATCAAGAACAGACCCACTCGGAAATGGACAGTTGCCACCCGACAGGCCGCCATCCGGGGTTGCCCCGTGTGACGGGCCAGCGGCAAGGACGCGCGCAAGAATGCGCAGACTCTTGTGATGAAATTTTTTTTTTTTCCATGTCATGTTCACTGTGTGCTGCGTCGGTGGCGTGTTCCTGGCACATTGGATCGTACGTATGTTGTGTTCCTGGTGTGTTGTGTGTGTGCTGGGGTTCCCTCTTGGCACATTGGATTGTACATATGTTGTGTTCCTGGTGTGTTGCGTGTGTGCTGGGGTTCCCTCCTGGCAGATTGGATTGTACATATGTTGTGTTCCTGGTGTGTTGTGTGTGTGTGCTGGGGTTCCCTGAAAATTGTATATACGTTGGTTTTACGGTATTCGTATTTTTTCGGGGGTGGGGTGCGTTGGGTTGTTTTCCCTTCTGGCTTTTCTGGTTCTTGTTGTTGTTCTCGTTGCGTTATGGTTCAATAATTGTGTGGCACACGCGGGGTCAAAGGGTAAATAAAACTTTTATTGTCGATTGATGCAGCCGGGACGGCTGCGGGCTATGTAGGGGGGGGTGATGTAGGGGTGTTACGGAGGGGCTGTATACATAGGATCACATGGGAAACAAACACAGTGGGCGGGGCTCCGTGAGCACACGGGGAGGTGCTCGCAACGACGTCCGCACCAGGCAGCCTGGGGGGCTGGCCCGGAGTGTGATCTCCCGGGGGGCCCCACCCCTCAGCGGAGGGTTGGGGTATAACAGGGGATGAGCCGGAGGGCTCGGGGCACAATGTTACAGCTAAAGGAGTGAAGACCCAAGATCATCTAGCTAGAGCCCTGGACTCCCCTGGAACGCCGCCCTTGTCAGGGCCGCGCAGGACCGAGCCAGCGGCGTGGTCCCGAGAACCAGAGTTAGTGCTCTGGGACTCCGGGTACCGTAGCCCGACTCACCAGTGTCGGGCCAGATAGCCTCCCCTAGCTCTTTAGCGGAGGACTAGGAGGTAGGTTAGAGATAGCTAGCAGTGTATTCCCAGCTAGCCGGGTGAGGGGGCCGATACCCCCTCTAGTATTGTATGCCCGCGGTTGTAACCACTGTGCGGAATAAATACGTGTGCCTCAACCCCGAGTGTCCAAGCGTCCTCAACGGTACTACACTTGTCCCATCCAGAGTGCAAATAGCCATCTCCACCCAAGTTAAGTATGGGAACGGTGGGTTACCACCCTATGTCGTTATCCCGTTAGCATTAAGAGTTTATGTGATGTTAGTTAATAAAACGTGTTGCCTCCAAGTGCTAGTGTGCACCTCGATTGAACCCATTACATTTATATTGGGCTCGTGTATCGCAAAACGAAACATCTCACGTTGCAGAGCCGCCTATCAGCAGTTGACCCCATGCGACACGTGGTGACTAAGTACCTGGCCTGGCGATGGGCATGAGTCTGAGAGTAGGGGTCATGATTGCTATGTGAGTAATTTGTGGGTAATCTTTATAGCACTTTGTCTTTGTACGCATGTGTGTCTTCTGCAGACAAGATGGAGAAAATGGATTTGGTTTCCCAGAGATGAATTTGATGGAAGAGCTTCAGGTTGACTTACAACGCTGGGCTGAGGTGAGCACGCTGTGTCAACTACGCCTGCATATGTGTAATAAGACTCTTTGAGACGACTTCTGGAATCCGTCTTTTATTCACTTATGGTTACATCTACTTCACGCTGCTGATAGACAACGTGAAGGGACAGATAGATCGAGAGAGACGCACTGCCACGTGGCAACTCGGAGCCCCGCTCTCGCATGGCTCCTTCCTCCGTTGGTTCCCGTTCTAACCACGTCGTTCCTCTCTACCCCTATTTAATCCCCGGGTCACGTGGTACGCTTCAGCCAATCCTCGTTAGCCTGCATCGAATCTTCCAGGCTCCCTCGTCAGCTCCCGGGACCACGCCCCTGACTCATCTCCCCATTGGCTGAGGCCAAAGCCAGCAGAACCAATCTCCATAGCTGTCACCCTTCCATCACGTCAGGGCCATGCCCCCAGGCTTCCCCCCATTGGCTGTAAACCAGGACCGGCAGAGCCAATCACCATGACAAGGTGTGATACGTCAGTGAGCCGGATATATTCTAATATTACATATGTATACAAGTACAAAGACACAAATCCCCCGTATAGCCTTAACAAACTGCTGGGCCAAGTGCTGTTAGTGAGCTCTTATGGAGGCTGGCACAGTACACGAGGGGGTGGGTGGCCAGCACCATTCCCGACTGCCTTTGTCTCTCCAGTGGTGATGTTTACACACCGCACCAGGTACTCATTTGATTCTGAGTCGACCTAGGGGAGGAGGTCCTGGACCGGTTGTGATAACTGTCACTGACGTTGTTTGCTGGGTTTGTAGTGTAGCGCGGTAACCACTACACTATCGCTCCTCTATACCAATACCAATACCCGTCATTCACCACTAAGCGATGGTGACGTCATCACGGCACCTGTGCCAGGCCAGGTGCACTTTGAGGCCACGTGAAGTGTCGAAGGCTCTCTGACAAGAGGTCATGGGACAGACCCAGGTGCCATGGGTTGGCTGACTGAGATGACTGGTAGATGCACCAGCTGTACCCCCCAATTTGCTGTAATTTAGTTGCTCGGCACTCCGATCGTTGTTGTGTCGCCCCTCTGCCCTCAGTTGTTGTTGGAGGGCGACTGCCTCCAAACACTCAGTAGCGTATTTCACGAGCCTCCTCCATCGAGGCCAATCTAAGATACCACTGGTATCCGGTCTTTGGCAAGTCCACTCAGCTCCACATCCTCCCGTACTGCATCAGTCCATCTCTTCTCCAAACCCATGTCGTGCCCGTTTAGCCCCCTCTATACGGCCAAACAGAAGCTGCTTGGGCATGCTTTGGCTGGGCATGCGGGGCTATATGACCCAGCCACACACAGAAATACACACAATAGGGATGGGACAAATTCAAATCCACATTCAGATTCTTCCCATTCCCACTATGAGTTATATGCACATATCTCGATGTTTCATGAAGTTGCTAACCCTTCTCTTCCCCCTCCTTTTACATTTGTATTACAAACAAATAACCGATAGTTACATTATTTGCTTTAGCTCCTTCCATAAACATTTGATGAGGTGATGCAGCGGTAGATCAAGTGGCTCACAATTAGAAGGCTGCCACTTCAACTATCAGAATCAGAATCTTTATTTAGACTCCAGGAGGAATTCGATGAGCAATGAAGCTCTGTTTCACAGATATCCAGTTGGGGCGGATCAGAAAGTTAACAACAACACAAAATACAAAAATCAAAGTAGTGCAAATTGTAGGAAAGATAAGCCACTCACTAAAATTAAATCAAGGAAAATAAATAAAGTACATGAGTACAGTTTAAAACGTATGCTTTCGTGACAAATATCATTCATATGTAATAAAGCTCGTTGAGGCGACTTCTGGAATCCTTCTTTTATTCAACTTGTATTACAGCTTTCCTTCACGCTGCTGACAGGCAGCGTAAGAGGGACCGATAGAGAGAGAGACACACTGCCACGTGGCAACCCGGAGCCCCACTCCCGCGTGGCCCCCTTCCTCTGTTCATTCCCGTTCTGACCACGTGTCGTTCGTCTCCACCCCTATTTAATACCCGGGTTACGTGGTACGTTTCCACCAATCCTGGTTAGCCTCCATGGAATATTCCAGGCCCCCTCGTAAGCTGCCGGGACCACGCCCCTGACTCATCTCCCCATTGGCTGTGGCCAAAGCCAGCAGAACCAATCCCCTACTTACAGCTGTCACCTTTCCATTACGTCAGGGCCACGCCCCTAGGCTTCCCCCCATTGGCTATAAACCAGGACCGGCAGAGCCAATCATCATGACGAGTTGTGATACGTCATTGAGCCGGATATATCCTCACATTACACATATACAGTACAGAGGTTTTGAGCTAACGAATTGGCATGTTGTGTTTACGTGACAACCCTCACTAATTATGGGATCTAACCCTAAAAAACCTGTATCATAGATACACGAGTACAAATTTGAAAGGACATCGATTTCTGCCGATTTTTCAACACTAAGTGCAAGCTTGGGTAAGGCAGCAAAACAACAACAAAACCAGTACCAGACCTCACTAAAACAACAAAAAGTAGCTCAATAAGATTGCACATTAAACTTGAACTATTGATACACAGGTAAAGATCAAAGTTATGGTACTCATCTTCTGCTTCAGGATATTTTGTGAAGGAAACAAGGTGGTTCCAACACGTTACTACTGCAATGGCAAAGGCTATCATTTGAGCAAGGGACTCACTTTGACTCCTTTCATAATAGAAGAGTTTATATTTTGAAATGTTTACTGTACAAAGTGAAGTTGCTCAGCCCCCATCACTGCCCTCTGGCGTGTGTGGACAGAGCCTGGCGGAAGATCTGGAGCGCTTTGGTGGAGTTGAAATGCTGGAGCTCACGAAGGAGCTCGCCTCTCTGGGGTCCATGTCAGCTCGGCTCACAGCGCTCTCTCAAACTCTCCATCACGAGCATTGCCATGGCCATGTTACTGCTCTTCAAATTGATTACAAGGGGGAAGAGCATCAGGCTGCAAACGAGGATCTGCAGAAAAGAGAAGTGAGCGATTTTAACGGTTGTCAGTGCCACACTGATGAGGAACAAAGCATTTGTGATGGCGATGGCAGTGTAGTAGCGGAGGCTGGAGAGGGGTGGGAGCGTGTGGCTGGGAGGTTGGAGCGAAGCATGCAGTTCTTGCATGCCAGGGTGACCGGCGATAATGGTATGTGTCACTGTGAGTGTTTGGTATGTATCATACACATTCACGTGCTCCCTTCATCATCCAACGCCAGCCCATTGATTCTTACATCCATGTTGAGGACTTGGTCTACTATTCCGACTTGATTCATCTCATCCATACTTTGTTCAATTTCAACTCCCATACTGCCGGTTAAAACAACACACTCGACCACTCTTTCACTCACCCTGTTCTCCACCAACTCAGCCATCCGTTCACCCACCCACTCACCCACTGCTCCTTCACTCACATTGCCCCCACTTTGAAACTCCCTGCCATTTTATTCTCCAAGCTTTTACAAATAACCTCGCTAAATTCAAGACGCGTGTTAACTTATCCATTTCAACTGAGATAGTGCTGTTTGTTGCTGTCCCCTTGATATTTTGGACCTTTGGGCCTGTTGTCAACAACTATGTAAAAAAAGAAATCTGATTGTGTTGTATGTAAATATGTATGCAATGACAATGACAACAATCCCCCGTATAGCACCCCAACACACACATTTGATGCCAACACCCACAAACACAAGTGTGTTGATTCTCTTTGCACTTTTGTCTCACTAGAGTGTGTGTGTGTGTGTTACTAGGACTGGCAGACGCACTTAAGGATCTGTGCCGAGCATTTGAAACCTGGTCTGAAAAGCTGGTCCTGACCTCCTCGTATGCACACGCCATGCCAGCTTCTGATTGGTTGCAGCTCGTTAAGTCCCTCTCAGATTGGTCAGTTGTTGTGATCAAGGCCCTGGTGTTGGTTGAGAACGTACCGTCTGAAGAAAAGAGCGAGAGGTGAATAGTGTTTTCAATACTCGGGTGCACATCTCCTGTTTACAGCCCTAGGCCAGTGGTGGAAATTCCACCTTTTTATGGCAGGGGCGAGTCTTCCCATAAGACAACCACGATTGACTTCCCAACATTTATCAGCCCCAGAGAGATGGTGGGTAGCATTAACCTCAACCAGGATTTCTAACTCACAACATTCCGATTGCGAGCTGCTCACTACCACCGAGTCATCTTGCCAGTGTCTGCAATATTGGCAGTAATATTTAGTGGTTTTGAGCTACGGTTACGTGACCAGAGATTGGCACATATGATAGTCATAGTCAGGCCTGCCCAGAGGTGGGGGGCAGAAAGGACAATTTTCCCCAGACCTCACATAAAAGAGGGCTCCACGGCGAGCCTGCGGATTGTGGGATAAGGGGACCCCACGTAGCATTCTGCCCTGGGACCTCCGGAACCTCCGAGTGGCCCCAACCATAATCTTTGTGTGCAAGTGCCGGGCGGTGGTGGTGATGCACATGGCCTGTAATCCAGCACTGTGCAGGCAGCTAGGGTTGGTGGATCGCACACAAACGTTGTGAAACTCCCTTCCAGTGGGCATTCGAGGAGTTGCCATACCTTGGCTCGCCAGGCAAAGGTAGTACAGCAAGTGGACTAATCTCCATCTGTTTCCATTTCTACAGGGATATAGTGTTCTAATTATTCAAATATGCTTTTTACCATCGTTACTGCGAAGTCTGTCCAGATAAATAACTATGTTTGCCTTTCGATTGGCACAAGTGTATGTGTGTGAACATGCAGTATGAGAAGTGGAAGTGTAGCAGTTAGCAGCTGCACTGCGAACCTGCCGAACGAGTTTAAATCTCGCTTGCGACCAACAGTGACAATTATCTGAACCGACCCTGGGCCTCCCCTAGATCCACTCAGCCTCAAATTAGTACCCAGTGGGGTCTATAAACTTGGCCACTGGGGAGACAAAGGTGGCCGTCGTGGTGATGGCCACCCCCCTTGTGTGCCGTGCCGGCCTTAATAGGTGCTTGCTAACAGCACTTGCCCTAACAGTCTGTTAAGGCTACATGGGGGATCTTTGTGTTTTTTTATATTTATAGTGGAGCGATGGATGCCGTGGTGGGTGCACTACAGGGCTGGGCGGGGCGTTTGTCGATGGCAGTGGATCGAGAAGCGTCCAGGCTGGCAGAGCAGGCAAGTGGCGTGCCCGTGTTAAACTCCACACATACCGGTCACACGCTATTGTGACGAACGACATCGGCGTGCCATCATGGCCAAAGTTGTTGACGCCACCTCACGTTTCTACCCTCCGCCAGGTCCCGCAGCTACTGCACAGTAGACACACAGCGACCTCCATCTGGCCCTAGGTTTCTCCCTTAGTCGCCTCGGTGGCATGCTGCGGTGGCGAGGTGTTAACTACCTCGCCTAGTATAGAGGTGGTCATGGGTTCGATCCCGACCCTGACGCCTTTATATTTGGAGTTTACATGTCTCTCTCACCATGGTCACGTGGATTCTTCCCTGGGTCCTCTGGTTTTTCCCTCCACATTTAGAAACATGTGTTCAGAGTATTTGGTCATCTATAAAGGTCGATAAAATAAGCCACTTCGTTGCACTATAATTTGTGGCCAGGTCACTACTGAAAAAGAGCTACATAGCTCAGTGGGTCTTACCTGGTAAAAAATTGAATAGTTTCATAATTTAGCTGAGACCATTCAAATGTTGTCTCAGCAATCGACCCTCCCCCATCCCGCACACATTCCACCCAGCATGGATAATGTTGCTGAATCGCATCTACAAACCTCACCTGTGGTGTTCTCCTGTGGACTTATCCTGTCTTGCCTCGAAATCCCTAGCATCCGTCTCTGACTCCTGTGTTCAAATGGCAACAAACCTCTTTTCGAGCTGCTTAGCATCCAGCTCTCTGGTCCAGACAGTAATACTGATAGCGCAGGCATCACTCCGTGGAACGCGGCCAGAGAATTCTACATATGTACGAGGAAGCCAAATTGCTTTTAACACATAGAGATTAAACGTTTAATCGCATCGTGTTTTACATATTGTATTTGTACATGCACAACCCCTTTTGCGATCTACTGATCGATGTACAGTACTTATATGCTCCATGCCTACGCTTCCCAACTTTGCCAGCCCACACTGACCACCATGGTGAAGTACCGTCAAATAACCCCCATGACCCTCGCGGCGTGGGGAGGTCCTCATCCAGCAGTGGATTGACAGGGCTGTGCACACAAATAATGATGACAGCAGTGACAATGATCCGAGCGACACTCGCAACGATGATTGACGCTTTGTGCCGCAGTTGGGTATGGTGCGGGAGGACATTTCGTCGTGGCTGGTGAGGGCTGTGCTCCACCTCGCCTCCCCATCATCACCATCACAACGAGGGGAAGGGGACGGCGAGGGTGAACGTGGCAAGGCCATGCTGAAGAAGGCGTCGTCTCTCGGCGGAACGATGTCGCACATCACTCGACACATTGCCAGGTGAGAGCGCACAGTCACTGCCTTTCACTCTCTTCATCATCATCATCACTTGTTCACCTTCATCATCGTTATCATCATCTTTACCTCGATGGAAATGATTGGAACTTCGAACTGTTGCAATTATCTCCCGCACCTCCGATTAGTATGGTTGGCTACGTACGGTGCGAAAGAAGTTAAACATACATATATTATGATCACCGGTGTAAACTTACGATGCTATTCAGAATTACCACAACATTCAATCTGGTTATGCTGTAGTAGAACACATTTTTTATCGTGTTGTTCGGTGGAGTCTTGGGCATGTGGCTGTATGTCCTTTCTATGTCCATCACACCGTGGTGTAGTGATGACCACATTTCATCCCCTGCCTTTATTCACAGAGCCTTGGAGAAATTAATGTTAACGTGATCGCCGCTTCCTTTTTCACATTGAAGTTTTAATCTTCGAGTAGCCTAAACTGCTTGCTGTTGGTGTCATTTTCCACTCCAGGTTGTTTTGTCAATTCGTGCCATCACAGCAAATGCTTAACAAAGGTGTCAACTGCAACACACGCTGGCACCCGTGATGTTGCACGCTCAGTATCGTACGCAGCGTGGGTGCACGCATTGGAACTAATTGTGGCTTCAGCAGGCAGCTGATTTTATGCTTTTAGAGTATTTGGCAGCTGCTATAAATTTCCACATGAAAAGCCACTTCTTCTTGTTTCTTTCGGTAAAGTCACGTAGAAGGGAAGTAATAAAATAATAAAAATAAAACATAATAAAACAATTCTCACGACGTTTCGGCTACAACGCAAGCAGCCGTCTTCAGGTGAAGAATGAGACACTACCAAACTAGGAGCTTATATATAAGCTGCATTGGGGGTTGAAGAGCGCCTTAACAAAAAGAATGTGCATGTGAAGAGGAATTTAGCATATTCATGGAAAATGCGTAGGCGTTGGGCGGGGGGGTGTCAAAGTCATATTATGCCCATGCATTATGCAGGATCAGCAGCAACCAAGGGGGGTGCAGGGATTAGCAGTAACACAGGAAAGGAATGTTAATGATATGTAGCTGCAGTTACTCAACAACCACGTAGAAAACTAAAGTATAAACTACATAAAAAACTAAAGTATAAACTGCATCGCACCATCAGTATACTTACTATACTCTATAATAAGCTGAGTTACTAACAGCAAGTAATACATTACAATTCTACCTCGTAAAAATTCTATAATATGCTTCCATCTAAACCTTATTCTCTTATATCACACGAGCATATACCGTACTATATACTGCCATAGATAAACCCAACATTAAATTATATACTGTATTGCTGTAAACCAACCTATATCTTATACATTTAATATAACACTATGTATTATTCTACACACCCTAATGTGTATCGAAATGGTTTATTACGTCCTTCCAATGATTGCTGAGCCAGAATCCATCTTCTCGGTTAAAATTGTCTCTGTGTTTGTATATGTGGATCGCCTCATGAACGAATCTCTCATGATAGCCAGATGGCTTGCAGAGAACCTCTGTCTTGGAGAAGTCGATATCATGTGAGCCCACTGAGTTGTAACAGTGATCTGCCACGGCTGAGGTGTTTGTCCTACCGTGTTTCAGGTCAGCTTTATGTTCACGGATGCGGTCCGAGACATGTCGTTTGGTTTCCCCAATGTAACTGCTACCACAGAGGAAACTTAGTTTGTAGACGCCAGGGTACTGTATGTCTGGAACCACATCTTTTACAGACGGTACCAGATCACGGATTTTATGTACTGTGTTGAATCGGACCTGGATCTTGTGTTTAATCAGGATTTTGGAGATCTTTTTTGTGACCCCAGCAATGTAGGGTAAGGTGATGGTCTTGAAAGGCTCCTCAACAGGATCCTTCTTGATGGTTGGAGTGATGGCTTTGCGGATTGTATAGTCGGAGTAACCATTTGCCTTAAGAGCTTGGCGTACGTGTTTGAGTTCACTGGAAATGTGTTCATGGTCGGAGATGCATTGGGCTCTATGATATAGAGTCTTGATGAGGGAATTCTTCTGGGATGGATATCATAGAGCCCAATGCATCTCCGACCATGAACACATTTCCAGTGAACTCAAACACGTACGCCAAGCTCTTAAGGCAAATGGTTACTCCGACTATACAATCCGCAAAGCCATCACTCCAACCATCAAGAAGGATCCTGTTGAGGAGCCTTTCAAGACCATCACCTTACCCTACATTGCTGGGGTCACAAAAAAGATCTCCAAAATCCTGATTAAACACAAGATCCAGGTCCGATTCAACACAGTACATAAAATCCGTGATCTGGTACCGTCTGTAAAAGATGTGGTTCCAGACATACAGTACCCTGGCGTCTACAAACTAAGTTTCCTCTGTGGTAGCAGTTACATTGGGGAAACCAAACGACATGTCTCGGACCGCATCCGTGAACATAAAGCTGACCTGAAACACGGTAGGACAAACACCTCAGCCGTGGCAGATCACTGTTACAACTCAGTGGGCTCACATGATATCGACTTCTCCAAGACAGAGGTTCTCTGCAAGCCATCTGGCTATCATGAGAGATTCGTTCATGAGGCGATCCACATATACAAACACAGAGACAATTTTAACCGAGAAGATGGATTCTGGCTCAGCAATCATTGGAAGGACGTAATAAACCATTTCGATACACATTAGGGTGTGTAGAATAATACATAGTGTTATATTAAATGTATAAGATATAGGTTGGTTTACAGCAATACAGTATATAATTTAATGTTGGGTTTATCTATGGCAGTATATAGTACGGTATATGCTCGTGTGATATAAGAGAATAAGGTTTAGATGGAAGCATATTATAGAATTTTTACGAGGTAGAATTGTAATGTATTACTTGCTGTTAGTAACTCAGCTTATTATAGAGTATAGTAAGTATACTGATGGTGCGATGCAGTTTATACTTTAGTTTTTTATGTAGTTTATACTTTAGTTTTCTATGTGGTTGTTGAGTAACTGCAGCTACATATCATTAACATTCCTTTCCTGTGTTACTGCTAATCCCTGCACCCCCCTTGGTTGCTGCTGATCCTGCATAATGCATGGGCATAATATGACTTTGACACCCCCCCGCCCAACGCCTACGCATTTTCCATGAATATGCTAAATTCCTCTTCACATGCACATTCTTTTTGTTAAGGCGCTCTTCAACCCCCAATGCAGCTTATATATAAGCTCCTAGTTTGGTAGTGTCTCATTCTTCACCTGAAGACGGCTGCTTGCGTTGTAGCCGAAACGTCGTGAGAATTGTTTTATTATGTTTTATTTTTATTATTTTATTACTTCCCTTCTACGTGACTTTACCGAAAGAAACAAGAAGATGAATCCCTGCAGTCACGAAAGCTTTAAATCGAAAAAGCCACTTCGTTGATCAATCATTTGTGGCCAGGTCGCTTCTGAAAAAGAAGCTAATAGCTCAGTGGGCTTTACCTGGTAATATAAAAATACGTGACTTCTTTTTTTTGTGTGATTTGCTTACCTTTCCTTTACTTTTCACTCCTTTTGTGTTTTTGTATTTCTGACCCACCCCTTCTGGGCAGCTTTATATCTCATCGGATTCCCCCAGTATAAATAAATATTCTGATTTAGTTTTCTTTTAAAATGCATAAAGTGGCCATACTGGCTACTTGAGGCTTCTAAAGAACGATTATATCACTACCTTGCCCACTGCTTTGCCAAGCACATGTGATTTTAATTCAAATCAGAATGAGAATCTTTATTTATGGTGGAGGAATCCGATGAGCAATACAGTTATTGTTCACAGACTACCACTGGGATTGCCTTGGCACCACCACAGTGTTTATGGTGAAACAGTGTATTTGTGCTTACCCATCATGCTAAACATATTCTCCACTGAGAGGGTTGACCACACATTGACTAAATAACCCATACAAAAAAATGTTTGTGGTATAATTGGGCATGTGAGATTACAAATTGCACACTTACATGTACACTGTACTGACATTTTGCAAACTGCCCATATTTTATTAACTAATAGTGCTTTCCAATAACATGTGGTGGTGGTTATATGTACTTTTTTTTAAAATCAACAAATTACTTCCTGACATGCAAATCACATAGAATACTCCCGACCTCATCACATCTCAGAAGCTAAGCAAGCAGGTTTGAGCCTCGACATTGCATGGATGGGTGACTACCAAGCACATCAGCTTGTCATAGGCAGCTGCGGGGCTGTGCTCTGTGGTGGGCAGCAGCGGTCAGTCCAGCAAAATCCCTTGTTGTACTGTAATTTCCATATGCCCCATATTTATGTTCATTATCTTCACCAACCCACACTGACCAGCGTTGTGACGTACGGTCAAATAATCCCCGTGACCTACTTTTAAGTTTATTTTAATTTCTTACACGGATGATCCCATTTCGCCAGTTATCCAGCTATCTTACACGGGAGATCCCTGGTGCTGTGTCATCATAGTGGCAACAAAACATGCAAAAATGTCAATGTTGCAGAGCACAAGCACCAGGTCCTTACGGAATATTGCGCAACTAATAAACAAGGCATTTGATGGTCGTAAACGAGGTATTGCATGGCGTGGCGAGACCCTCATCCAGCAGTGGATAGACAACATGGCCATCGCGGGGTTGAGCGTAGTGGTTAACGCACTGCGCCGTGAACCTGGCAAACGGTATGCGGCAAGCATCAACAGCTGCGTGCGTGTCGAGGTTATGGAATTATCTGCAGTGTGACGCTCGCCGCTGTGGTTGTGCAGATGCTGTGAGGCTGTGGCGGCGTCAAGTGGAGGCAGCAGAGAGGGCATGGCGCTGCGAGACCTGGAGGTGGGGACATTGCCTCAGTGGTCATCAGTGTTATTATTATGGTTGTTGAGTGGCTCGTGGAGATAATGGTCTGCCTGTATCAGTCTGGCAAGCACTGCTCAGATTGCGGGGTCAATCCCTGGGCCCCCAGTGCCACAGTGGCGAGATGTTAACGACCTCGCCTGGTATACAGGAGGTTGTGGGTTCGATCCCGACCCTGACGCCTGTATATTTGGAGTTTGTATGTTCTCCCCGTGGTCACGTGGATTTTTCTCCACCAGTTTTTCCCTCCACATTTAGAAACATGCGTTTAGAGTATTTGGCTATTATAAATTTCCACATGATAAGCCACATCGTTGAGCTATTATTTATGGCCAAGTCACTTCTAAAAAAGAGCTACATAGCTCAGTGGACCTTACATGGTAGAATAAAAATGAGTTTATAGTTTTTAAAGACCAGCATGTGTGTGTGTGTTTATATGCAGGTCGTTTGTCTTCCCCCCCCAATGTTTTATTCCGATTTTTTCCTCCTGTGATCCCTTCAAATGACCTGTAGCCCATACGGTAGGGGCAGCACTTTCTTACATGCCCTGCCACAAAGAGTGAGAATCAGAATCTTGATTTATCCTGGAGGAATCCGATGAGTATTGAAGCTCTTTTTCACAGATGTCCAGCAGGAGTGAGTCAGAACGTTACAATAACAATCAATATAAGCAACGATAGGAGTGCAAAGTATAGGAAAAGTTAAATCACTAAAAAAATTTAAATGAAGTAAAAATTTGCAATTGTATAAGTAAACCAATTCCAAAGCTTGGACAAGGCAGTAAAAACAACAGCAAAATCAGTCCCAGATCACACCAAGAAAACAATACATAGTCCATCAATAACAATGCACATTAATATTGAACTATCGATACTGCACGGGTAAGAATGAAAGCTACAAATTACATTTGCAAATGCAATTGTAATGTTCGTCACAAGACAGTCAAGCAGATATTTTACAATTTTCTCGTTTTTTATACATCACTGTGAGCATACTTGCGTGCGAGTGTGCACGTGTTTTGCATTCACTGAATATTTTCGTGCTGTTTTTCACTTATTGCAGGTGGAATATTCTGAATGGATGGAAGTTAGTCAACTGTTGCTGCTTGAACTATCGTCTCATCAAATCCCTCCAGCGGACACTGCCGAGGTGACCGCTGTTTGTCTGCGGTTGCCCCGTCCACATTAAAAAGTCATCTTGTGTGCAAATCAGCCACGATATTTCTGGATTCACCTCACTCAGTCTGGAGAATAGGACCGAGTGATCACTACACACGTTTCGTCACTGTAAATAATTCCACTTTATCTCTACTGCACAAATCACATTTTTCTGTGACTGACATCTTTTACATGATGGTGCGATTGGAAATGGTATTTTTGTGCTTGTCTCTGATCACGTGGGAGGCCCTCATCCACTCATCCAGCAGTGGATTGACAAAGGGCTGTACATGTTCAAGATAAATGTGGTATGTTATGTATACAATGTGAAATGTCAATCATAATACTCATCAGAAGGGCTTGTTATAACAATCCCAAGGGCATCCTCCAGTCTGCAATTATGTCTGATTAATGTTTCCTACAGAACCACAACAATGTCCACGGGCAACTCGGATATGGGTGATATCTGAATCGCAGCTTTGATCTGTGCCACATCATCACGCGTCATGTGGGACATGAACAATGTATGTCAGCGTAGCGGCGCCACTGCTGGGCAATAGGGAGCACTTTCACTTGTCTATTTTCCACCATGGCAACCTGTGAGCAGATGCCACAAAGGAACCTCCACATCACCAACACGCAGCAGAGTGCTGTGCCCTCTGCGTGTGCGGCGAGAGATGCGATGCAGACGTCGCATTGTAACACGCACCACCCCCCCCACCAACCCATGTAGCTGCGTGCCTCCTTCTGTCCTTCATATCCGTGTAATGCTGACCTATGTGCACATGAATCATGGGGACAAATACAGCTCGAATAAGGATCTGTCACGCATTTGGTTTGAGAGTGATTAAAAACCAGTGTACGTATATATGTTGAACTTTTTCGCAACGTACGTAGCCAACCGTGCTAATTGGAGGTGCGGGTGAAGGAGAATAAATTAAAGAAGTACATTTTCAATCTAGATTTAAAAGTGCATAGCTCCAGTGGCTTCCTAATATTGGAAGAAGTATATCTGAAAGCGTGGATTTCTTGGCGATGTTTGCAGACTGAAGACAAATGTTCAGATGCTACGGAGAAGAGTGGCCCCACCGTGCAGGTGATCGGACACGACGCCAACGTGGAGGCCAGATCCCTGAGCAAAGAGATGTCCGCACTCGCATTGGTATGGCTCCACAGCAAGCACAAGGCTTGCAGAGTTAGATTGTACGGTGGCATCTCGAACTAACATTCTTCAGGGTACTGGAAAAATTGAACATTAGATTGGATATTTCCTGCCATAAAAAGGCATGCATTTTATGCTGTCTGATTTTCATTCTCTGCTTCTCTTTCTCTTACTGCCTCTGATGCTGTACTGTTCTCTTACAATCTACTAATTCTACAGCCCTGTTTGTGCAGTCTCAGTGTTACATCTCTCTCTGCTTCTTTCTCAGTACAGCACCTTGCCTCTCCTCTCTGCTTACATCTCCATGTCGTGAGTTTCTGCTTCCAAAAAACGCCTTCGGTTTAGAAACATGCAGCTCCTCACGCATTTTTTCTTCTTCACAAAACCCAATGTAAAATATTGTAAATATCACGTTGAGTTGTTGATACAGATGGCAGCTGAAACGAACGCTGCATTTTACAACATAAATTTTACAACTGCAATGGTGATAGTTGCTGTCATGCTGATAAAGGCACATACGGGTGCTTATGATGAAGTGATCTCGATAGCAATTAACATTTTAGAAATTTTACTTGTTTAGCTTTCCCCTCATACACTGGCTTCTGAGTCACCAATCAAACGCACGGTCGTGAAATGTGCAGAGCAACGCTGCAGCATCAGGGTATTCGTGTCCCAGAGCCTCCGCGTGAATCACGTAACGAGCTCTCAAGGTTATCTTGTCTACCTGCCAGCTTTGTAAGCCTAAGAAAGCCAGTGTAATCCATGCAAGGTATCGCGGCGTATTAATCACATCCTAACAAGAAGGCTGGCGGCAGAATGGTTAAACTCCTCTCTTTGATGTATTGTCCACACCCCAGAGATCTTTTATCCTCGGTGTAGACATGCATTTCACCTGGCAGCCAGTTGGCATCGGGGGCTATACATTATTTGTGGTTGGACCCTGAAGATTACTTTGCATTCCTATGAGAAAAGTGAACCGCGTTTTGTTAAAACGTTAGTTAGCACGGCCAATTGCATTAAATTTCCTCGCTCAAGATAAGCGATGCTCCTGTAGCATACGTCATTCGCTATAAATTTGTTTACATCGATGTTTACGTCGTGAAAACCCAGTAAATCCTACATTGGACGTACTGCTGAAACACAACTCCTCATGTCCGCAATGTTAGTTGATCATTTGAGCTGTTTTTGCAGACACAAAGGAGGAATGTTATCGCGACGGGCATTTGCGTAGTTTTAAATACAAATTATTTTACCTGCTTGCCATCCTCTTTTGTAATGTTGTGTTTGCTTGTACACAGGGTCAACAACTTCAGACATATAATGCGATGGCTACAATCAAGCAGCTACAAGCACAGATATTGTGAGTAGAAATAAACTGAGCACCCAACGTCTTAACTGTTTAATCTAATTTACAAATGCTATCAGTATTTTCTTTGTTGTGAGATGATCGCACCAGTCAAGTTGCACAAAGTTTATCCGGAGCAAGGCCACTCAGAGGTTTCGGAGATCCGGTGCCGAATTCAACGTGGGGCCCCCCTTTATCCCACCATCCACAGGATCGTTGCAGGGACCATCTTCTGTGTGAGGCCCAGCTCAAATTGCCCCTTCTGCCCGTCTCCTCTGGGCGGTCCTGATCAGGAAAGGGTTAAAAGATTGATTGAGTGATTGAGATTGATGGGAGACGCGTCGAGGCTTGGAAGTACAATTTAGCTTCCCTTTAACGTTTCCCTTTCTTTTCTTTTTACATTCCACCTGGATATTCCCTCGAGATGGCATATTATCGAGGGTGTCAAGTGACACATCGCAAGCACGTGATCACACATACGATTTAAATCTATACCATCTACTGAATGCATTTATACAATGAACATCGTGGGATCTCACTCTGCACTAAGATAAAAACTAAAACTATTTATATTTTACCAGGTAAGGCCCACTAAGCTATATAGCTCTTTTTCAGAAGCAACCTGGCCACAAATGACAGCTCGACGAAGTCGCTTATCATGTGGAAATCTATTGCAGCCAAATACTCTAAGCGCATGTTTCTAAATGTGGAGGGAAAAACCGGAGGACCCAGAGAAAAATCCACGTGACCACATTGGAGAGAGACAGGCATAATACAAATATGTAGGTGTCAGGGACGGAATTGAAGTCACAGCTTCCTGTATACCAGGCGAGGTAGTTAACATCTCGCCACCGTAGTGTCCCACTTGCTCCATTTGTTCCTTTGTGTGGGCTCAGCCACATTGCTTGCCTCTTAGCAGCCTGGGGGAAGCAGGCAGGCAAGGTTCCTGAGCATTGAGGTTCCTTGCAAGGAGCCGTGCTGCTGACCCCTACAGGAGCACGGAGGCGCGGGCGCAGAGCGCGGAGGAGTGCGTGGCTCAACTGCAAGAGCAGCTGCGCACAGCTGACGACAGGGGGGAGAGAGACGCGAGCAAGGACGGGCTGGGACAGAGCGAGGAGCAGGGAGAAGGTGGAGGAGGACGAGGGAGGGCGGTTTCTCATGTGGAGGAAGTCGCTTCCACCGGTACAGCTGCCGGCGGTGACGGTGAGACCACGGCACCGGCGCTCACTTGCGTCGCCCCACACCCGTGCAGCACATGATGCTCTAGGCACTGTGGCCTTGGGGAGACTTTCCCAAAAATAAGTGGATGAGAGTGGTCAGAAAAGGGTCCCTGGAATCGTCGTCGTCGTCGTCATCAATAGGAAGTAAAAACAGATTTAGCAACGTAAAGTTTTTTCATTATAAGTACAAAAGCTCTCAGCCTGGTCCAGACCAGCAGCTTAATAGAGCAGAACTTGTGACCATTTATTTGTTTAGATCGCCAAATCAAAGAGCTGAGATAATATTCTTTGGGTCTTCGGGTAAAGTCACGTAGATAGGTTCAAAGAAAATAACAAAAAACTACGACGTCTCGATCACAACACAAGCGATCGTCATCAGGAGGAAAAAATTAACCCGTAAAAACAAAGTTTTATTTTATTATTTATTTCTGTTTTTCTTGAGTAAGAGTTTCATTTTTATTACATTGGTATTTTAAATTAAATATGAATTTTTTTTTTCCTAAAAAGTGGAAAATTTTGGAAAAAAATTTTCACGAAAATAAATTGTCACACACAACGAGTCTGTGTGCAAAATGTCAGCTCGATTGGATCACGGGAAGTGGGTTAAAAAACGACCGAAATATTTGCACGGTCGTAAGCGCGCAAGCAAGCAAGCAAGTGAACTTAATATAAAGGATTTTAAAAAAAGAGGGGGAAAGCAGCTGAGGCAGACTGTTTTAAAGGTTTAAAATGGGTGTAGCCCAAGGGTCGTAAACGAAGTGAGCAGGGCTAGTGATGTTAATGTGAGAAATTAGCATGTTAGTGTATGATCGGAGAGCGGTCTCCACGACGAAGGGTGCGGAGGTGGCTATGTTAATGTGAGGGATTAGCATGTTAATGGAAGATCGCAGAGCAGCAACGTCGAGCTGGGCGAGCGTCTGAGGACGCTGTCGCCTCGTCTGAAGACGCTGTCGCCTCGACAGACCTGGTTTTCACCTGAGGACGGCTGCTTGTGTTGTGGCCGAAACGTCGTGAGAATTATTTTGTTATGTTTTATTTTTATTATTTTATTACTTCCCTTCTACGTGACTGTGAATGTAAATTCAGAGTCAAAAATAACTACCAACATCGGAAGGTAGGATGGAAACATCACAGCCAGTTGTGATTTAAACTGGTTAATAATGTCCTTCCAATCATTGGTCAGTTTGAAATTGTGTCCGTGTATTTATATCTGGATGGTTTCATGAACGAATCTTTGTTCATAGCCAGTGAGTTGCAGAGTAGCTTCATCTTGGAGAAATCAATTTCGTGTGAGCCCACCACATTAAAACAATGATCAGCCACGGCCGAGGTATTGGTCCCACCATGTTTCAGATCTACATTATGTTCACGAACACGGTCCGAGACATGTCGCTTAGTTTCCCCCAATGTACAGTGAGGGAAAAAGTATTTGATTCCCTGCTGATTTTGTACGTTTGCCCACTGACAAAGAAATGATCAGTCTATAATTTTAATGGTAGGTTTATTTGAACAGTGAGAGACAGAATAACAACACAATCCAGAAAAACGCATGTCAAAAATGTTACAAATTGATTTGCATTTTACTGAGGGAAATAAGTATTTGACCCCCTTTCAATTACAGGTAATGAGCTGAGATTAGGAGCACACTCTTAAAGGGAGTGCTCCTAATCTCAGCTTGTTACCTGTATAAAAGACACCTGTTCACAGAAGCAATCAATCAATCAGATTCCAAACTCTCCACCATGGCCAAGACCAAAGAGCTCTCCAAGGATGTCCGGGACAAGATTGTAAACCTGCACAAGGCTGGAATGGGCTACAAGACCATCGCCAAGCAGCTTGGTGAGGTGACAACAGTTGGTGCGATTATTCGCAAATGTAAGAAACACAAACGAACTGTCATTCTTCCTCGGCCTGGGGCTCCATGCAAGATCTCACCTCGTGGAGTTGCAATGATCATGAGAACAGTGAGGAATCAGCCCAGAACTACACGGGAGGAGCTTGTCAATGATCTCAAGGAAGCTGGGACCATAGTCACCAATAAAACAGTTTGTTAAAACACTACGCCGTGAAGGACTGAAATCCTGCAGCGCCCGCAAGGTCCCCCTGCTCAAGAAAGCACATATACATGCCCATCTGAAGTTTGCCAATGAACATATGAATGATTCAGACGACAACTGGGTGAAAGTGTTGTGGTCAGATGAGACCAAAATAGAACTCTTTGGCATCAACTCAACTCGCCGTGTTTGGAGCAGGAGGAATGCTGCCTATGACCCCAAGAACACCATCCCCACCGTCAAACATGGAGGTGGAAACATTATGCTTTGGGGGTGTTTTTCTGCTAAGGGGACAGGACAACTTCACCGCATCAAAGGGACGATGGACGGGGCCATGTACCGTCAAATCTTGGGTGAGAACCTCCTTCCCTCAGCCAGGGCATTGAAAATGGGTATTCGAGCATGACAATTACCCAAAACACACGGCCAAGGCAACAAAGGAGTGGCTCAAGAAGAAGCACATTAAGGTCCTGGAGTGGCCTAGCCAGTCTCCAGACCTTAATCCCTTAGAAAATCTGTGGAGGGAGCTGAAGGTTCGAGTTGCCAAACGTCAGCCTCGAAACCTTAATGACTTGGAGAAGATCTGCAAAGAGGAGTGGGACAAAATCCCTCCTGAGATGTGTGCAAACCTGGTGGCCAACTACAAGAAACGTCTAGCCTCTGTGATTGCCAACAAGGGTTTTGCCACCAAGTACTAAGTCATGTTTTGCAGAGGGGTCAAATACTTATTTCCCTCATTAAAATGCAAATCAATTTATAACATTTTTGAAATGCATTTTTCTGGATGTTTTTGTTGTTAATCTGTCTCTCACTGTTCAAATAAACCTACCATTAAAATTATAGACTGATAATTTATTTGTCAGTGGGCAAACGTACAAAATCAGCAGGGGATCAAATACTTTTTTCCCTCACTGTAACTACTGCCACAGACACCGGGGTATTGCATGTCAGGGATCACATCATTCACAGATGGGGTCAGATCACGAATTTTACGTGCTGTGTTGAATCGGACCTCGATCTTGTGTTTGTTCATGATTTTGGAGATCTTTTTGGTGACCCCTGCTATGTATGGCAGGCAAGGTGATGGTTTTGATTGGCTCCTCAGATGTCCTATCCCAACGGTTGAGGTGATAGCTTTATGGATTGTGTAGTCTGAATATCCATTCATCTTGAGAGCTTGGTGTACGTGTTCCAGTTCACTGGCTCGGTGGTGATGGTCGGAAATACATCGAGTTCTATGGTGTAGAGTTTTGATGAGGGAATTCTTCTGGGATGGATGGTGGTGGGAGTCAGGTTTTAGATAGGCATCCGTATGGGTGGCTTTCCTGTAGACAGAGTGTCCCATTGAGCCATCTGGTTTCTTTTCAATTAAAACATCCAAGAATGGTAACTTACATTTACATGCAAATTTCTCACTTTAACAGCACTAGCCCCGCCCACGTCGTTTATGACCGTTGGGCTACACCCATTTTAAACCTTTAAAACAGCCTGCCTCAGCAGCTTTCCCTCTCTTTTTACTCCTGATGACGATTGCTTGTGTTGCGATCGAAACGTCGTTTTTTGTAAAAAAAAAAAATTGTTCTACGTGACTTTACCGAAAGACCCAAAGAATATGAATTCCTGCAGTCACGAAAGCATTAAGTTAAGATTTATCTCATCACTTTATCTCATCACTTTCTCTCTCTTGATGCAGTTGTGCAGAGTTCCAGATGCGATTCGCGGATAGCCAAAATTATATATAGCAAGTTCGTTAAAGGAATACTGTATTTATTAATGTGCATAAAATATGGGGTTGTGAGAAAACAAGAGATGCATTGCAAAAGCAGAGCAGGTTTATGATAGAAAACACAAACAACATTTCCAATGTAATTGCATCTGCTGGAATGGACACGAGTCACTCGGTGGAGTTTGATTAAATGGTTAACCAGGCGTTTGAATGTTGTTGGACTGTCCCTTTAAATTTTAAGAAGCAACTTCACGTGAACTGTACGTAATAAACTCAGCAGTGCCACGAGGAGAGAACCCGGTCCCACGATGGTGCCGAGGAGGCGAAGCTTGCTTTGAGACCGTTTGCGCTCTTTCTGTCTTCCTTTCCAGGAAAAACGTTGGGAATCCCTGAGCAAAGACACGACCTCTTGGGAAAGCCACGCTCTGCCGAGAAGCTGAGTAGACCCAGCAAGTCCCCTCGCGGTGGCAAGAAACAATAAACTAAAAAACGTAATTTATATTTTACCAGGTTAAATCCCACTGAGCTGTTAGTTATTGTTCAGGTGACCTGGCTACACTTGATAGCTCATCGAAGTGGCTTGTCATATGTGGGAAGTTATAGTAGCAGACAAAATAATCTGAATGCGCTTTTCTAAATGTGGAGGGGAGAAAACCGGAGGACCCAAAGAAAAATCCACACGGCCACTGGGGGAGAGAGAACAAACCAACTCCAAATATAAAACAGGCGTCGTCAGGGTCCGGAATCGAACCCACGTCCTCCTGAGCACCAGGTGAGGGATAAAATTAGCAGCGTTTATACGAAGGCGGCTATGCGCAAAACAGCAACGTGCTTAGTAGGGAAGTGAGTCCAGGAATTAATTAAATTTCTGAGAGGATGCAGAGTGGATGCCGCCACCACTCTCAGACGACAGCTGATCAGAAGCTTTCACATGTGCTAGAGCAGTGGGTCGCCCCTCGTTAGGTTCTCCCATGCTGAGCGACACACAAGCCGATCTGTAATCTTCATCTTTGCTGGTAAAAGTCAAAAGTTAAAGTGATTTTATGCTCAAATGAGCACCGAGGCTTTGGTGTTTATGTCGTGTTTACAGCCCTGAGCCAGTGGTGGAAATTCATCATCCACGAAGTGGGAACAATTTTACTGACCCTGGAGGGATGATTGGCTGAGTCAACCCCCAAACCAGGATTTTAACTCGCAACCTTCTGATTGTGCGCGGTTCGCTCGACCGCTGACCCACCTGGCGAATGGTACGATTTTGGTGGTGTACCATTGCTGAGAAAGGGACTGTGTGGTGGATTAAAACTCATCAATACACATTCATAAATAACAGTACCTTATAGGGGAATATATCTCACACGTGAACGTTTGGGCAACGGTCCGTCTTCGTAGCAGAGATCAAGGGCCATTGCCCCAAATGTCACCTATTGTTTTCCTCTTCAGGACCACATGTTGTGTTTTTGCTATTTGTGCTTGTGCACCACTGCCAACGTGGTGAGCACATTTTCGTTGTTTAACGCTGGGATGGATCGAGCGGTGGTAGCTGGAACTGCGGGATGGCGAATGGAGATCCCTAGAGAAGCAAGTTGAACGTTACCTGTGTTGTATGCTGCCGTGACGATGTGTAATTAGTTGTGAAACGTATTATGCTAAGCGAATTAAAGTTTCCGTGTTGCTGTGGAGGCTTTTGGGCTGCAAGAGATGACCAGCACTTGACGGCTTCTGCAAGTCATTGACTCTTACAGCACTCCTATCCTTAACGGTGTGGCGTTCATCCTGTCGATACCTTGTAATTTTGATGCCCTTAATAACGCAATATTGGAACACAAATGTTACATGGCTTGGCTTTGGATCTTCTGTAAATGCCTTGGATATAAATACCCCGATTTACATCTCTCCCTTTTATGTCAGTTTGTCGTTTCACAAATATGTCGTCACTTTATTAATACCACGACCTAATTTGTATCGCCTCATCCCACACTTATGTCGCTGACAGCGTCATCCGTCCTTTCTCGTATCGTCACACCTTTGAGGAATCCATGCCCGACGTATTACGGTGTCACAGACATCATCCTGTAGGAAAGTAAATAGACGAGGGTGAGTTGCAGTAGCGTGGTCGCCGCTGTCCCGAGTCTCAAGAAGATACAGTGGGGAGATGTTCCACCACATATTGGTGGGTGGGCCATGTTTGCCAAGGCACCAAATCTCATTTTATGCGGTAAAAAGCTGAAAGCGATACATTTCCTTTCCCGTTCAAATGAGCATTGAGGCATCATTGCTCATCTCCTGTTCACAGCCCTGCAGAGCCAGCGTTGTAAGTTACACGTTCCATTTCACCGAGTAGCTAAGGGGTATTTGAAATTTATAACAAATTAAGGGATGACATGTCTACGAACAGAAAATGAAAACACGTGGCGGTGTAAAAAAAATCATTGTACAGTAATTTTATGTGCAAGATTCATATATGCGTACAACGGTTCATAAGTAGGCTTTACAAACTGTGGTGGTTAGTATATAAAGGGAATCATTTATCCACAGATGTGCACTAGAAATTAAAGTGTCGGCAAAGTATGCCTGTTAAAACACTTCCCAATGTCGGCATACAACATTAACTTCTGGGATACGTCATATTTCTGTTTCTTGAATGGCCTTTACAGCATAGCATCAACAATACTACTACGTCACTTTACCGAAAGAACCAAAGAGTAATTCCTGCAATCAAGAAAGCTTCGAATCTAGTTTGAACCACCTCAACGGGGAGGATTTGCCGTTTTTGTTTCACACTTAACTTCCAATTTAGCAATCTTTGGAAGAACGTAATCAACCAGGCTATTATTTAACTGCGTGTTAACCGACTCTCTGGGTTGCATTGCATGACACTTACTAATTTTAATAAACTTGCTTTTTCCGTACTTTTTTGTAAGTCTATTGTCTCTCCTCTGGTCGCTATGGGCTGGAATTCCACACAACTCTCTCATTGTTTTCAACCCCCCCCTCTCGATTTAAGGCCTCGACACAGAGGTGTTGTCTTTCTGTGTGTCTATGTGTGTGTCCCTCTCTGTGTGTCTCTGTGTTTTCTCTCTCTACTTGTGTGTCTGGCTATGTGTCTCCGTGTCTGTGTTTTGTCTCTCTCTCAAATTTAACAATCTTTGGAAGAACGTTAATCAACCAGGTAGGATGTTGACTGTTGTTAGCCAACTCTCTGGGTTGTATTGCATATTTCTAAGTTTGCTATGTTTGTTTTCTCATTCATTCGTACCTGATGATGGTTGCTTGTGTTGCAATAGAAACGTCGTATTCTATTATTATTACATTTATTTTCTTTGTATGTGACTTTACCAGAAGAACCAAAGAGTAATACTGCAAAGTTCCATCTTGATAAAATCACATTTGCAAGTCCCATGTGCTTTTACTGGAAGGACCGCATTGGTAACCTGTGTCAGCTAAATTAAAACCTGATCACAACTTTCAAGGTCCAGTGAATTTTCCTCCATATTTACATGCACTCCACAGCTTGTGATGCGTACTGCGCTACCATTATGGATTTTGTTTGTAGCCCTTCGCTGTGGAATACTCTACTCTTTTGCTATAGCATTGTTAATTCTGTTCATTTCCAGAGAATGAAGGAACTTCTTTAGAACATGTATTTTAGGGACATTTAAAAACAGTGATTTGTCGACTTGTGATGTGCTGCCAGTACAGTGCTTAAATTTAACTACATCGAGAAAGCTTGCATTGTATATTGCGCAGTGCTTTGAGACTTCAGAAAGTGAGATATAATTTGCGTGGAGCAAGATGTGTAGCTTCCACGTCATGTAATGTGGCGGCAGCTCCAGATACAATAACCTCGAGCAGAGTTCTTCAATTTACGGCTCGCAGAGACATAGAAATATCCAGATGAGTGAGATGGGATATAAACAAGAGGGAGATGAGAGAGCTGGGTGACAAGATGTACACATTAGTGGTCACGTGCAGATCTTAAGACATCGGCTGACATATTTGAAGAATTCTAGATTTGAAGCTTTCGTGACTGCAAGGATTCATATTCTTAGGTTTTTCGGTAAAGTCACGTAGGTAAAAAATCAAAATTAAAAGTAAAATATAATTAAAATCACGACGTTTCGGAGGCAACACAAGCTTCCGTCTTCAGGTGGAACCGTCACAGCCCGACAGCTGTATCAAGTAAATGAGAGATTACAGGAGATACCACTCCATATATATAATGGTTGAGGGAGGGGGGAAGGGGCAGGAATGGCCCACTTTTTATTATTATGGTAAGGTGCGGTTTGAGACTATGAATAGACTGCATAACAAAAGACTGAGCCTTTATTATGGAGAGGTTCGGTTTGTGACTACGCCTAGCCTACATAATAAAAGTATGAAAAAAGAAAGCTAAACCTGGTAGAAAGCTAAACCTGGTGAAACAACTGGCTGTCCATCAGTAACCTGCAATAGTTTTGTGTCAAATAAGATGGTCCAAATAAGTGTAGTTAAATCTTTTTTGCATGGTTAATCACATCTTTCCAATGATTACTCAGTTTGTAACCATCATCACGGTTGAAATTATGTCTGTGTTTGTATATTTGTATGGCTTCGTGTACAAACCTTTGATGGTAGCCAGAAGGTTTGCAGAGCACCTTGGTCTCGGAAAAGACAATTTCATGAGAGCCCACAGAGTTGTAGCAATGATTGGCAACGGCCGAAGAATCAGTTCTGCCGTGTTTCAGATCTGACTTGTGCTCGCGGACAAGATCAGAAACATGACGTTTCATTTCGCCAATGTAGCAATCACACACAACTGCAACTCAATTTGTAGACTCCAGGACACTATAAGTCAGGAACGACATCCTTCACAGATGGAATCAGATCACGGATTTTATGCACTGTACTGAATCGGACTTGGATCTTATGTTTGTTTAGAATTTTGGAGATCTTTTTGGTCACGCCTGCTATATATGGTAACGTGATAGTTTTGGTCGGAGTTTCATGTGGCTGTTTCTGTATGGTGGGAGAGACAGCTTGGCGGATAGTGCGGTCAGAGTATCCGTTCATCCTGAGGGCCCGATATACATGTCTTAATTCACCGGCCAGGTGGTGTTGGTCAGAAATGCCATGGGCTCTGTGGTATAGCGTTTTGATGAGAGAATTCTTTTGAGATGGGTGGTGGTGGGAATCCGGTTTCAAGTAGGAATCTTTGTGGGTGGCTTTCCTGTAGACAGAATGTCCCAAGGATCCGTCAGGTCTCCTCTCAAACATAATATCCAAGAATGGTAGTTTACCATCTTTCTCCACTTCCATGGTGAATCTAATGGATGGGTGTCTAGAATTGATGTGGTCCAAGAAGTGGTTCAATGCTGGGAGGCCATGTGGCCAGATGACGAAAGTGTCATCCACATACCTCTTCCACAGGGAAGGACGCAGGGTGGATGTCTGGATGGCGTCTGATTCAAACTTTTCCATGAACATGTTGGCTATAACTGGTGACAAGGGGGAGCCCATAGGGGTACCCTCATTCTGTTTGTAGAAGGTGCCATTCCAGGTGAAATAGGTGTTGGTGAGGCAATGCCTAACCAACGCAGGTACATCAGAATTCAATCCATGTTGGACTAAGTCCTCAATTATTGTTAGGGTGTCCGGTACTGGGACTTTGGTAAACAAAGATACTACATCAAAACTGATGAGGATGTCATCAGGAGATAGTACCATGTCCTTAACCATAGAGACTAATTGGGTTGAGTTGAGTACTGCCAAAGAGGTCTTGCCTGTGAAGGGAAGCAGAGTATCTGATAGAAAACGGGCTACAAACTAGCCCGTTTTCTATCAGATACGCTGCAAGACCTCTTCGGCAGTACTCAACTCAACCCAATTAGTCTCTATGGTTAAGGACATGGTACTATCTCCTGATGACATCCTCGTCAGTTTTGATGTAGTATCTTTGTTTACCAAAGTCCCAGTACCGGACACCCTAACAATAATTGAGGACTTAGTCCAACATGGATTGAATTCTGATGTACCTGCGTTGGTTAGGCATTGCCTCACCAACACCTATTTCACCTGGAATGGCACCTTCTACAAACAGAATGAGGGTACCCCTATGGGCTCCCCCTTGTCACCAGTTATAGCCAACATGTTCATGGAAAAGTTTGAATCAGACACCATCCAGACATCCACCCTGCGTCCTTCCCTGTGGAAGAGGTATGTGGATGACACTTTCGTCATCTGGCCACATGGACTCCCAGCATTGAACCACTTCTTGGACCACATCAATTCTAGACACCCATCCATTAGATTCACCATGGAAGTGGAGAAAGATGGTAAACTACCATTCTTGGATATTCTGTTTGAGAGGAGACCTGACGGATCCTTGGGACATTCTGTCTACAGGAAAGCCACCCACACAGATTCCTACTTGAAACCGGATTCCCACCACCACCCATCTCAAAAGAATTCTCTCATCAAAACGCTATACCACAGAGCCCATGGCATTTCTGACCAACACTACCTGGCCAGTGAATTAAGACATGTACATCGGGCCCTCAGGATGAACGGATACTCTGACCGCACCATCCGCCAAGCTGTTTCTCCCACCATACAGAAACAGCCACATGAAACTCCGATCAAAACTATCACGTTACCATATATAGCAGGCGTGACCAAAAAGATCTCCAAAATTCTAAACAAACATAAGATCCAAGTCCGATTCAGTACAGTGCATAAAATCCGTGATCTGATTCCATCTGTGAAGGATGTCGTTCCTGACTTACAGTATCCTGGAGTCTACAAATTGAGTTGCAGTTGTGGTGATTGCTACATTGGAGAAACGAAACGTCATGTTTCTGATGGTGTCCGCGACCACAAGTCAGATCTGAAACACGGCAGAACTGATTCTTCGGCCGTTGCCGATCATTGCTCCAACTCTGTGGGCTCTCATGAAATTGTCTTTTCCGAGACCAAGGTGCTCTGCAAACCTCCTGGCTACCATCAAAGGTTTGTACACGAAGCCATACAAATATACAAACACAGACATAATTTCAACCGTGATGATGGTTACAAACTGAGTAATCATTGGAAAGATGTGATTAACCATGCAAAAAAGATTTAACTACACTTATTTGGACCATCTTATTTGACAGAAAACTATTGCAGGTTACTGATGGACAGCCAGTTGTTTCACCAGGTTTAGCTTTCTACCAGGTTTAGCTTTCTTTTTTTCATACTTTTATTATGTAGGCGAGGCATAGTCACAAACCGAACCTCTCCATAATAAAGGCTCAGTCTTTTGTTATGCAGTCTATTCATAGTCTCAAGCTGCACCTTTAATCATTGGAAAGATGTGATTAACCATGCAAAAAAGATTTAACTACACTTATTTGGACCATCTTATTTGACAGAAAACAATTGCAGATTACTGATGGACAGTCAGTTGTTTCACCAGGTTTAGCTTTCTACCAGGTTTAGCTTTCTTTTTTCACACTTTTATTATGTAGGCTAGGCGTAGTCACAAACCGAACCTCTCCATAATAAAGGCTCAGTCTTTTGTTATGCAGTCTATTCATAGTCTCAAACCGCACCTTACCATAATAATAAAAAGTGGGCCATTCCTGCCCCTTCCTCCCTCCCTCACCCATTATATATACGGAGTGGTATCTCCTGTAATCTCTCATTTACTTGATACAGCTGTCGGGCTGTGACGGTTCCACCTGAAGATGGAAACTTGTGTTGCCTCCGAAACGTCGTGATTTTTATTTTATTTTACTTTTATTAATTTTTATTTTTTACCTACGTGACTTTACTGAAAAACCTAAGAATATATTTGAGGAACCCTGGCCCACAGCATGTGAGCGAATGCAGCTACAGCATCGGCGAGTCTTGTGTCCCACCAGCGTTTGCTCTTCCCGCCTCCGCCCCCTCTTGCCTCGCCACTTCACCGCTGCTGTGCGCAGTGGCCGTCGCGCTGGTTTGTTCGTCTGCCATTGCCGGCAGTTCCAAGCGCGGCAAGGCCAGGGTGAGCCCTAGGTGTGAGCCCCCCCTCGCCCCCCACAGGGCGTCCAGCGTCTGGAGGTAGCGCAGTGACAGGGCGCCCGGCACGGCGGCGAGGACGCGCGCCGCTCCCGACAGCTCCAGCGCCGTCTGCTTCTCCGCCTGCGCCGCTATCAGCTGCACACGGAGAGATGAGCACGTGGGCTTAAAGAGAGGAGAGTCACGCGGGGGGGGGGGGGGGCTCTGCATTGGCATGCTAGATTTACATCGATGGGGCATACGTGACAGCCTGCTGTGCCGGGCGGACTGGTTGCCCTGCATGTGCTAGAGGAGGGGGCTGTCATGTGGCTCTGTGGCTACGTGGGCTGACGGCCACTCACATACCGTGAGGGAAAAAAGTAATTGATCTCCTGCTGATTTTGTACGTTTGCCCACTGACAAATAAATGATCAGTCTATAATTTTAATGGTAGGTTTATTTGAACAGTGAGAGACAGAATAACAACAAATCCAGAAAAACGCATGTCAAAAATGTTATGAATTTATTTGCATTTTAATGAGGGAAATAAGTATTTGACCCCCTCTCAATCAGAAAGATTTCTGGCTCCCAGGTGTCTTTTATACAGGTAACGAGCGAGATTAGGAGCACACTCTTAAAGGGAGTCCTCCTAATCGCAGCTTGTTACCTGTATAAAAGACACCTGTTCACAGAAGAAATCAATCAATCAGATTCTAAACTCTCCACCATGGCCAAGACCAAAGAGCTCTCCAAGGATGTCCGGGACAAGATTGTAGACCTACACAAGGCTGGAATGGGCTACAAGACCATCGCCAAGCAGCTTGGTGAGAAGGTGACAACAGTTGGTGCGATTATTCGCAAATTGAAGAAACACAAAAGAACTGTCAATCTCCCTTGGCCTGGGGCTCCATGCAAGATCTCACCTCGTGGAGTTGCAATGATCATTATAACGGTGAGGAATCAGCCCATAACTACACGGGAGGATCTTGTCAATGATCTCAAGTCAGCTGGGACCATAGTCACCAAGAAAACAGTTGGTAACACACTACGCCGTGAAGGACTGAAATCCTGCAGCGCCCGCAAGGTCCCCCTGCTCAAGAAAGCACATATACATACCCGTCTGAAGTTTGCCAATGAACATCTGAATGATTCAGACGACAACTGGGTGAAAGTGTTGTGGTTAGATGAGACCAAAATGGAGCTCTTTGGCATCAACTCAACTCGCCGTGTTTGGAGGAGGAGCAATGCTGCCTATGACCCCAAGAACACCATCCCCACCGCCAAACATGGAGGTAGAAAAATGCTTTGGGGGTGTTTTTCTGCTAAGGGGACAGGACAACTTCACCGCATCAAAGGGACGATGGACGGGGCCATGTACCGCCAAATCTTGGGTGAGAAACTCCTTCCCTCAGCCACGGCATTGAAAATGGGTCGTGGATGGGTATTCCAGCATGACAATGACCCAAAACACACGGCCAAGGCAACAAAGGAGTGGCTCAAGAAGAAGCACATTAAGGTCCTGGAGTGGCCTAGCCAGTCTCCAGACCCAATCCCATAGAAAATCTGTGGAGGGAGCTAAAGGTTCGAGTTGCCAAACGTCAGCCTCGAAACCTTGATGACTTGGAGAAGATCTGCAAAGAGGAGTGGGACAAAATCCCTCCTGAGATGTGTGCAAACCTGGTGATCAACTACAAGAAACGTCTGACCTCTGTGATTGCCAACAAGAGTTTTGCCACCAAGTACTAAGTCATGTTTTGCAGAGGGGTCAAATACTTATTTCCCTCATTAAAATGCAAGTCAATTTATAACATTTTTGACATGAAATTTTCTGGATTTTTTGTTGTTATTCTGTCTCTCACTGTTCAAATAATCCTACCATTAAAATTATAGACTGATTTTTTTTTGTCAGTGGGCAAACGTAAAAAATCAGCAGGGGATGAAATACTTTTTTCCCTCACTGTAATACCATCGAAGTGCTACATATTTAATTAATAACATTTCTTGTGTATCTGGTGCTCTGTGTAAAAGCATTTGCTAAATTTACTCCGGCACACACACCCATATAAAGCATGGACACAGCTTTGCAGCAGTGGCATGCCGGTCCACGCACGGCGCTCCGAATCCAGGGGCCTGAGTTATATTCTCCCAGGGAGCGCAGGACCGGTTCAGATATCACTCGCCACTGATGTTAACCATGGCCAGGAATTAAACTCGGCACCACTACCGCATGTTTTTGATCCACATGTCACAGTGGGTGACAGGCACACTGGAATTTAGCTTTTCATGATCAACTCCGGTGTTACTAAAAAAACTCCATCCTGTTCTCGTCTGACTTTTTATCCCATAAATGAAAATGTAATCGCGTGGCCAAATGTGCTGCCAGTGCTCATCGTCTGTGCTGTACAGGCGGGAACTTTACCAAACTCGCATCCCTTCATTACACCGCGTATGTTAGCCGCGCAGCACGTTCAGCCAGGCACAGCTGCGGATTTTCCATTTGGCCACTTCATGCTGCATCCTCACTTCCTGGCCCTTGTGCTGACTTCTCGGATTCTCCCTATAACGCATGACGCAGTCGCAAGCGAATCACCGTGCATAATCACTACGTTTGCTTTCTACGTTTGTTCTTGAACTCACCGGTGAGTGAGCCACTGCAATGATAATCGGCGTGTCTTTAAACACTTGCACACAAGGCGACACTTTAATTCGATTTGCCTGTGTCGGGTGGTGGAGGGGTCTTGCACCTGAAATTTAGCCGGATGACGAGTCGGAGTTGTTTGTGTGTATACAGGTTGTGTGTGTGTGTGCACGTGGATGGATGCAGGTGTGCGTGTGTGCCTGTGTGTGCCGCGTTCGCTACCCGTGCCCTCGCCGCCCTGTTTGCATCGGCCTCCACACACACGGACGTCTGCAGCTCCAGCGGAATCCGGACGTCATTTCTGTAACCACAGCACAAACATCACACCACAGCTACGCCACATCCACACCACACCTATATCACAGCTACACCACACATCAAACTACAGCTACAACACACCTAGACTGCACATTACACCACAGCTACACCACATCAGATTTGCACTGTTAGCTACGTATGTGTAATAAGAGCCATGTATGGCTCACGTGGCGATCGGCTTGCCGGTCCCGCTTTGTAGCCAATAAGGGGAGAGCCAGGGAGCATGGCCTCGGCGTGATCACGGCATGTTAGCTAGGGTCATTGGCTTGGCCAATTTGGGCCTCAGCTAATGGGAAGCCGGATCAGAGGCGTGGTCCCGGGATTGACGGGGAATGATCTGGAACGGGCTGGGCTGACTACGGAGGATTGGCTTAGGGGTACCACGTGACCGAGGGATGAAGAGGGGGAGAGACGAGGGAGTCGGGAGCAGACCTGGGAACGAAGAGAGCAGGAGCCACGCGCGTACGGGGCTCTGGGTGCCACGTGCGCGAGTGACTTAGCTGGTTGTCTGCCCGCTTCCCGTTGCCTGTCAGTAACGGGGAGTGTGTGTAACTGTGGAAGTGGAAAATAAAGAACTGATTCCAAGAGCCGTCTCGAGAAGGTTTATTACATATGGTACGGAAGAAGTTCAACATATATACATACCACACATCTCAGCTACACCACAGCTACACCACACTAATGCCACACACCACGTGCACCACACCTACATCACAGCCACCTCACACGTTACATCACACAACACATTTCACCCCACGTACACCACACACATTACGCAACAACTGATCAAACGTTGAGTTGCCTCCCAATTGGGATTGGAAGCCACAACCTCCAACCACGAGGCCAGTGGTTGGAGGTTGTGTAAATCTCATTTGTGTGTACCTCAAATGCGGATCTGAGCAGAGTGGGTGTGTGGATGGGAATGTGTCCGTGTTTATCCGGGATTCAAATCTAAGGGGAAATCTGAACAAAGTCGTTCTCATGAGAAGTAATGTCAACCCCTCGCTCTCTAAGGACAGTGGACATTCTGTGAGGGAGGGTAAGCAGCGGTAGTGTAGCGGTTAGCGCGACGCTGCGCTACGAACCTGGCGACCCGGGTTCAATTCCCGCTCACGGCAAACACACTGGCGGCCGGGCGTGGTGCTGACCACCCACCCCCTCGTGTGCCGTGCTGGCCTTCATAGGTGCTTGCTGACAGCACTTGCCCCAACAGTCTGCTACGGCTATACGGGGGATCTTTGTGTGTGTGTGTGTGTGAGCGTGTGAGTGTGAGAAAGACGCTTTGCTTACATTTCAGCTCTTTCCACTTTGATCCCCCATGAGCCCACAACTGCATCCAAACATTCCTGATATAAGAAGAACACGCATGAACACATCACTTTACTTTGCATCGCTTTAGGTAAGCAAGTTATTAAACTGAACACATTATTTTTACGATCCTTTGTCAATCCACTGCTGGATGAAAGCTTCCCCAAGCTGTTGGTCTTGACGCGTAACAAACCATATGGTACCTGCGTGCAGGTCCATAGCGGCGTCCTCTCAGCCACATTCCCTCATTTGTCTGCCACTCCGTCCGTAGTCTTGACCGCCGGCCATCGTCCCTTCTAGCGACGTCGTTCTGCCCAAGCCCACTGACATTTCTCAGCAGTCAAAGTGTCTCGAGCTTGTCCTCTGGTCGATGTGTTCCTCTGTCATTCTAAGTGTGCATCTCTGCTATCTTCTCTGTGCACCGATCAGCCTTTGTTCCCTTTTGTTCATACGCTCACACGCAGGTAGTCACGCTTTCCACGTTACATTAAGTTAATCAGAAAACTGTGAATGTCCCAAAGCCATATGGTTTCATAACTTCCGCGAAGCAATTTACCACGGAAAGATTACGTGCTCCAGTTACACGTGAGACATAAAAACACAGGGCAACTCTGCCATGGCTGTTAGCAGTCAGAATTGACTGCTCGGGGTTCCCCTCTTGACCTATGGCACTCACGGGGAGTGACCCATGCGAGTGTGCATGAGTAGAGATCACACGTAAAACTAAAGAACTGCAAAGTCATACACCCTGCTGGCAAAGTGGGGACTCGATCCAAGGCATGAACTCACGCTAGTGAATTAAATGGTAAAGGAGGGTCAATAATGCCCACGAGACCCCTATTATAATTTGCTGTGATGTACGGTTGCTAACTGAACATAACAGTAGTTGTAAGAGTAATTACATATGGGTGACAGCCCCAGTGTATGTGTTTAAGCGTGGGTGTAGCCGTGCACTTTGATGGGGGATCGGTGCTGCAGCGTGCTAACTACCGCACTACGAACCTGGCGAGCCGAGTTCGATTCCCACTCACATGAGATGATGAATATCTTAACTGGCACTGGACATCCTCTAAGCTCGACTCAGCCTTGAATGGTTACCTGGTGCGGTGTATAAACATCAACACCGTACCCTTCTTCATAAGTGCTCGCCAACACCGCTTTTCCCAGCAGCCTGTGTGGAGCTCTTTGACCGTGCATGATTTTACCTTTGTATGCTGAGCCAATTCTGGCCGATGCTGTAGGATGTAGCTCAGATCCTTCTTGGCCACCAAGGCTCGGACCTTAGCCTGCAGCACCAAGCCCAAGGCCTCGAGTGGCTGAGCGACGCTCACGGCCCAGATGCTGGCCCGCTCCACACGGTAGTGGCAGGCGACGCTCACCCGCACGCTTAGCGAGTCGCTCGTGATCACCTTGGGGGAGCAGGCACCGCAGGCACAAAGATCCTCACTCAACGGCTTGCTGCTGTTGCTGGAGAAACTGCTGTTAGCAAGCACCATGCCCGGCCACCTTAGTCTCCCCAATGCTGATGTTAATTCAACTATTATTTATTATCATTTTATATTTTTTATATCTACGTGATTTTACCGAAAGACCAAAAGAGTATGAATTCCTGCAGTCACGAAATATTTAAGTCAAGATTTAACCGCCTCTACGGGGAGGGTTTCCACACAACCATTAGATCTTTTAACAGACTCCGAGACAAGAAGGCTCATCTGATCGCGTCACTAAATTTTCTGAAGAGATGTCGCGACACCAAGGTAACAGCGATCGCCTTTACACTCACATCTGCTGCTGTCACTTCTCCTAATGCTAAACGGATCTTGTTCAGGGCAGGCCTAGCTCTGATCTCAGAGAGAATAAGATTGCTCCGTTTTGAACTCGATAATTTAGACAAGACTCTCTTACAATCACACTTAGCATTGACAGAAAAAATGTATACATTTGATTGGGACCATATAGATAACATAACTGCCTCTTCAGCCGCCTCGATGTCAGCTAAATGCAAAGATAGCCTGATTTCCAAGTTCAGCCTCCTGTCTAAGAAGAATCCAGAGCCACACATTAAAAAGTTAGACGTTCATAAGATTGTTATAAATCAGAGTAACAGCCCAATTTCCGACAGCCTAAAATCGGTACTAGCTCAAAGGTTGAATTTCGCAGTCACCCCTAAACACATCCCAGTTGATGATATCATTGCCCAGGTCGACGTAGCCCTTAAAGATTTGGGACACATTCCTGCAGACGTGGCGAGATCGTAAATCACTGCAATCCTAAAAAACGGTAAGAAACCCATTAGCAACATCAGCAAGGTTGAGCGCTTTTGAGCTTGCTCAACTGAAAAAAGAGAGATGACATAGTCATCCTCTCAGCTGACAAGGGCAATGCCACTGTCATGGATAAAACCACATACAGTAACACAATTCAGGACACCTATGCCAAAATTAATCGAGATTCTACCAACCGCCTGGTTACGAAAACCAAAAATATCACCGATTCCACATCTTTAATCAAACCAACCAAGCGGCTCTCTAAAACCCTCTGCTGCTCGACCACCCAGATTTTACGGCTTACCAAAAATCCACAAAGAATGTACACCACTCCGTTCTATCGTCTCCACCATTGACTCACCCACCTACAAACTGGTCCGATTTCTGTCTGAGACCTTGCTGCCATTCACTGGCAAGACCACCTCATTACTTCACCTGGAATGGTACATTCTACAAACAGGTTGAAGGTATCCCAATGGGTTCTCCCTTATCTCCAGTGGTAGCCAATTTTTTCATGGAAAAATTTGAGACAGATGCCATCCAGACATCCCATCTTCGTCCTTGTGGAAGAGATATATAGATGACACGTTCGTCATCTGGCCACATGGCCTGCCAGCTCTGAACCAATTCTTCAACCACATCAATTCCATAAACCCAGCCATCAAATTCACCATGGAGGTGGAAAGGGATGGCAAGTTACAATTCTTGGATGTTTTAATCGAAAAGAGACCAGATGGCTCATTGGGACACTGTCTACAGAAAAGCCACCCACACAAATGCCTATCTACAACCCGACTCCCACCACCATCCATCCCAGAAGAATTCCCTCATCAAAACTCTACACCATAGTGCTCGTTGCATTTCCGACCATCACCACCTAGCCAGTGAACTGGAGCACGTACACCAAGCCCTCAAGATGAATGGATATTCGGATTGCACAATCCGTAAAGCTGTCACCCAAACCGTTGGGAGAGAACCACCTGAAGACCCAATCAAAACCATCACCTTGCCATACATAGCAGGGGTCACCAAAAAGATTTCCAAAATCATGAGCAAACACAAGATCCAGGTCCGATTCAACACAGTACATACAATTTATGATCTGATCCCATCTGTGAAGGATGTGATCCCTGACATGCAATACCCCGGTGTCTACAAACTAAGCTGTACCTGCAGCAGTAGTTACATTGGGGAAACTAAGCGACATGTCTCAGACCATGTTCGCGAACACAAGGCGGATCTGAAACACGTTAAGACCAACACCTCTGCCATGGCTGATCATTGTTTTAATGCTGTGGGCACACATGAAATTGATTTCTCCAAGACGAAGGTACTATGCAAACCACTAGCTATCAACAAAGATTTGTTCATGAAGCCATCCAGATATATAAACATAGACACAATTTCAACCGAGAAGATGGGTACAAACTGAGCAATCATCGGAAGGTTGTTATTAACTAGGTAAAGTCGTAACTGGCTGTGATGCTTCCATCCTATCTGCCGTTGTTAGCAGTTATTTCCGACTCTCCGAGTTACATTACCTTGAAAATGCCTTTACATTAACAGGCTAAATGTCTCACTAACAGTTGCTGCTCCCCTTTCCTTGATGCGGCGGTGGCGCTTGTTGATTAATAGGCTGAATGTCTCTCAATAACACAGCCGCTGCTGCGGGAGCCATCTCACATTGACATGCGAATCTCGAATCTCGAGCAATACAATGGCTTCTTCAGCACCATAGCCGTGAGGTTACATTAACAGATTGACATGCTAATCTCTAGCAACACAATAGCCGATGTATACCTAGCTCTGCGATCATACATTTACTTGCAAATTCCATCTCTAGCCCCACCCACTTACCCCTGGGGTTGTACCCATCTCAAACCTATATAACCTTTGGCTACAGGAGCTCTTTCGCTATATTTCTTCCTGCCTCAGCAGGCCGCTTGCTGTATTTTTTCACCTAAATACGATTGCTTGTGTTTGCGATCGAAACGTCGTGATTTTTTATTTTATCATTTTTTTTATCTACGTGACTTTACTGAAAGACCCAAAGAGTATGGTCTGTTAAGGCTATATGGTGAATCTTTGTCAGTATTTGTGTGTGTCTCTGTGTCGATGGTCACCCAATACAAGCACTATTTAGACTCAACCCTGCGTAACTTCCAAGGTGTGGTGGGATCGGGGCGCATCCCGGGCGGTTTGGCCTAGAGGCTCGACACTCATTCGCAACGCACACACCTCGTGTAGTGGCACCTCCAGAGTCCGCATTCTCAGATCCACTTTCTGGTAGGTGTCCAGGCACGGGAGAATGAAAAATATCCCTGGGAATAGAGGGACAGCAACAGGGTGATGGTGCAACACCGACAAGGGCAGACCTGCAATTGCTCGTGTACACCACTGTGGCCTCAGCTAGATCGAATATTGGGGAAGGTTAATATGTTAGTGCCTTAAAAGGCACTGGATGATAAAGTATGAACAGATTCGTACCGAACTCCAAACCAACACTTTCTGTAAACAATGAGAAGACCAATCAACAACTTCAGAATGGGTGGAAACGATTACATTTAATAATAATCACGTCAACTTATAATGCGGACATGCATGGTATTGGCTCGTTCTTATGGAGAGATCGACTCAGAGGCGTCAGGAGGAGAAAACACAGGCAGCAGCAGCCACGCGGTGAGAAGCTGGCGCCAACTGCCCAAGCTCTGCAGTCATCTATCTATGAAGGTGTTATTGTTTAATTAAATAGTGTTTACATGTGGGAGGAAACCAGAGCACCTGGAGAAAACCACACGTGCCAGGGGGTAACACTTTATCCCATACAGACGGAACAGGCGGAGTCCACATCTCGACGCCCACGGGAAGGGAGTGTCGCAACATTTGTGCTGCGATCCACCAACTCTCGCTGCTGTCTCCACAACGCTGGGTTACAGGCAGCCACGTGCAGCAGCGACAACAACCGCCATTTTCTGCTAAGTGGCGGTGATATAACCACGACACTTGTGCCAGCCTATGTGCACATTGAGACCACGTGAAGTGTCGAACGCCCACTGGCAGGAGGTCACGGGGCAGACCCAGGTGCCACGGGTCAAAATGACTGATATGACTGGCCAATGCACCCGGCGCTCCGCTCGTTGTTGTGAGCGTCGCTCCTCCACCCTCCATTGTTGTTGGAGGGCGACTGGTTCCAACTGCCCAGTAGCATCCTTCACGAGAATCCTCCACAGAGGCCGATCTTGACACCGCTGGTACCAGTCATTGGCAAGTCCACACAGCGACATATCCTCCTGTACCACATCACTCCATCTCTTCTCTAGCCCGTGCCGCGCCTGTTGAGCCCCCTCTATCTGGCCGAACAAAAGCTGTTTAGGCATGCGGGGGCTGGGTATGCGGGCTACATGACCCAGCCAATGCAGCCTTGCCTGCCGGAGGAGCTTACCGATGGGACTTTGTCCAGATCTTTCAATGATTTGTGAGCTCCTCACACAATCGAGCCTGGTTAACCCAGGATGGATCGTAGACAGGCCAGCCTAAACGTTTCTAACCGGCGAAGATGTTCCATTAGGGGGGTCCACGTTTCGCAAGCGTAGAGAAGGGAGGGCATGACTATGACCTGAAGCTTCGTGTGGAGCGACAGACCAGGTAGCTTCAACACAGCGTTACGCAACTGATGAAAATATAATGCCGCTCGACTGATTCGGAGCGAGACCTCTGCTGTCAAACCAAAGCCGCTCATGAGCACACCGCCCAGGTATGGGAAGCTCTCCACTCTCTCCACTCTCTCCACAATTGCCCCATAACCAATTGGGAGTTGTGGGGGTGGAGTGTCCGATGGTACAAAATACCCAGGCAGGTGCTTAGTTTTGGTGGGGCTGATGGTAAGGCCCCACCCACCTCTTAGTGGCATGCTCCAGGTTCAGCAGCAGCGCCTCCAACTACTCCAGATCATCGGCATACATAACATGGTTGACCAATAGGCAGCAGCACAGCCACCACCACCACAGGTGTGCTGCTACTGCTGCTCACAAAAAGCACCAAGGCACAACTCTCACAATACCTTGCATATGTGTCACGTGACCCCTATATTGCATGCACAACACTCAGAGCCGGTCTATGCTTGTGTGGGTGGCCTAAACAACAACACAACCACACGTTCAGCTCCGTCGAGCTGGTTGGTCCGATCAAGGCTGAGTGCATGTGAGCCACATGCAGGCTCAAGCGGAGTTCAGAGGCGACCTTCACGCGGGGCCCCGTGACCCGCGCGTGTGACCGCGTGCGTTGCGTGTGGGGTACCTGGTCCATTGGCCCTCACCGACAAGAGGCGACCCAAACGGAAGATAACGGCTCTCTCATACTCGTAAACCACCTGCAGTCCGGCACAACAAGAACAAACAACACGACGCAATGAGAGACGTAATGAAACGTGCCACGCGACGCGATAATGTGATGCCGCCGCCGCGAAGCCGTTCGGCAGGCGCCCAATCCCCGACCTCGCCACCACCAAGCAACGGAGCAGACCCCGCGTCCCCCTCACCTCACCTCACATGAACACATCCGCACTCATTTTCCCCCACCCATAGAGCTGGAAGGGGAGATCACCTGATCGGCCGGTTTTTATCCGAGAAACCCTTATCGGGATTAACTCTCACGGTTTCCAGCGATCAGGGAATTGGACGACCTCCCCCGTACTACGTTGCGCCGCGGCGCTGCGACCGGCCTTAATATGGTGTGGTCGCGGCGTGGGGCATTCGGCCACCGCGGTTGAGGCGCATTTCCCCCCACACACACCCCCACGGGTCGACGAGACAAGCAGGGGAAGGACGGGATAGCATGAGTAGCAGGACCGCAGGGACTCTTGCGCATAGTCACGGAAGGTTGGGATGGTTGCGCTTGAGCGTGCAGGCCCCATTGTTAGGGAGGGTAAGGGATTAATTGAGAATTACGCCGCGCACGCCGCACACTGATTAGCATATCAAAAGCGCCGTGGAGGCGCCGCGGAGCCGCCTTGGCCCTGCAAGGGGGGCGCGGGCTATTGTTTAGAGTTTACGCCGCGCGGACAGAGGATAAAATTAGCATAGCAAAGGCGCACGGTACGTGGGAAGGGGGTAGGGGCCCGAGTCCGGGAATTAGGATAAAAAGGAGCGTAGCAAGGTAGGGAGTCTCTCTCTCCTGACTTCTCTTCAAGAGGCACGTGTGCAAGTCGGCTCCCAGCTCTGCCTCTGGACGTCCACGCGACGTGCCCCGACGGCATAGAGGAAAAGCCACAGGACGACCGAATACTTCGACCCGTGAGTAGCAAGGTGACAGGGTATCGTAAGCCGATAAATAGGGAATAGGTCCAGGGGAAGTAGGATAGGCCAGCCTCGTCGACTCATACTGACATAACATTAAATTACCAGGTATCAGATAATAAATCATTAATAGCGAAGCGTGGTCTCGCGTGATCTTGTCGTGCAGCGTGAGCGTGTGGGTGCGCAGGTGCACACAGTAGTTCGCCACGTGAGTGAGCGCTGCGTAGAGCGGAGCGCGTGGGTGAGCGTGTGTACGCAGTGGTTCTGTAGTGCTGCGGCTCGCCTCGGGGGAGCGCTGCGCAGAGCAGTGCGAGAGTGGGTGTCGCGTGTGTTCACTCCGTGTGTGATACAGGTGCGCGATCATAACGCGAGTATTCAGTAGTGAGTGAGTGACGCGGGGAGCTGTGTGCGTGAGTGCGCATACGTTCGTTACGTGTCGGATACGGATGTGCATTGGTGGCGTGGTTATTCGACGTGGAGGCGAGTGCCGCACAGGGCTATAGACGGGCACACGCTCACAGTGTGCGAGAGCTGCACGTAGCGGTGTAAAGAGGGGGAGTGTGGCGTTTGATTGATGATGCTGTGCGCACGTATGCTCGCAGCGTGGGAGCGCAGCGCGAGGCTGTAACAGTACGGGCGTCGCGTTCGAATGCCGGCGAAACCGTAGCGGGTAATAGGGAGGTGGGGTAACGTAAACGGAATAGGGGATGCAGGCGGGAGGGACCCCGGGGGCCAACGGCCCCCACAATAACAACCACCTCCTCCGCGTTCGCCCTGCGTAGGTAGCGTATCAACAAACAGCGGCAGAGCCTCCACTAAAAGCATCGCGAGGTAACTCTTACACGTCCACGGGACCAAGTCACAGGCACGCAGCTTACTGTGTGTGGCACGGTGGGAATCGGTCTTCACGAGACTGAGTGGCCATGCTGGGCGCTTCTGCAGCTGACACGGCCCATAAGGCACGGCAGGGAACAAGGTGGCCCGGGACAGACGCCTGCATCCTAGCTCTGTTGTTGTCCTATAGAGCGGTGGTTCTCAAACAGGGGGGTACACGGACCCCCGGGGTGTACCTGGCAATGTCCCAGGGGGTACGTGAGGTGATTTATAAATATGTGAAATTATATCACACGTTAGTCATTGGTGAATAATCACGTATGAATATGGCAATATAAAATAACTACTATAATATTTAAATCCATATGGTAACCTAGAACAATATATAAATAGATTTCGAAACTCATTGATTGTAAACGATGTGGTTTCCAAGAGTAACCAGCGAGTGCAAACAAATTACATCACGCATGCAGAGCGTCTGTTGACATTTTTTTGTATTAGGTTGCAGTTACTAGCTCGTAAGGATACCTCACAAATGGACAATTGGTTAACATGTCGATGTCCATTATTCATATATTTATTTCTCAGAACCATGTTGAGTCAGGCAAGGGTGGTATACTCGGTTGAAACAAAATTCAACAGGAAGCCACAAAAGGTTGAGAACCAATGCTCTAGATGAGGATGATGATGGCAATGATGTTGCTGATGATGAAAAACATGCTTTTCTTTGTCGATATAGTTTAATTGTGAAATGGGAGTCAAGGTCAAAAGACTAAGAGGGCCTTGGGGAATCTCCCCTTGAGCAGCTTGCCCCGGCGTAGCAGAGAGTGTGGCCCGTGGAAGTCTTGTGTCACAGGACTTCTGAAAAATCCGTGGTGGTCTTTAGTGCAGCCCCTAGACGTGCAGCCCCCGACAATACACAAATGGTGAAAACATCCCCCATCATCATCGTGCTGCTGTCAAACCCTCATGGGTTTCAAATGTGTGGCGGCCCTCACACTGAAAGTGGCTCCCCTCTGAAAATGAGTGAAGAACACTGCTCTATGCAGTCGTGCGTGCACTTTCCCATCGCAGAGATACGGATTTTTATTATTATTATCAGAGTTGGAATTTATATAAATCAAACTAAAGAGTACATACTCATTGGTTATTTCGGTAAAGTCACGTATGTAGAAATAAAATAAAAATAAATCACAACGTTTCGAATGCAACACAAGCGCTCGTCCTCAGGTGAAAATGGCATAAACCACACAGCGAGGGAACACACAGAGGGACATAACACACAGAGCACACAGAGAATGGCAAATTACACGGAGGCAAATACAGCAAGAAGATGGGCAACGAATCGGGGGAAACACATGGGAAAACGAAAACGGAGAAAGCACATGGGAAAAAACCCCACAAACACATCGACTTACGCACACACATATGGACTCACACACACATACCAAGAGACACACACATGGACTTATACACACACATGGACCCACGCACACACATCGACTTACACACACACACACATATGAACTCACACACACATTGACCTACACACACATACACATATGGATTCACACACAGACATTGACTTACACACACACCGGCTGACACACACACATATGGACTCACAGACACATACACATCGATGTACACACACACATCGACTGACACACATAGACACACACACAGTGACTTACACACTCACATGGAGCCATGCACATACATCGACTAACACACACACATCGACCAACACACACACAGCGACTGACACAGACACATGGACTGACACACACACCTGGACTTACACACACACACATCGACGTACACACACACACACATCTGGCATTGCCCAGGCAAAAAAGACACACACACACGAACCTAAATGTACACATATATGGATTCAAACACACACACACATCGACTCACACACACATCGACTTACACAGCCATCCCCGATGATGCCACAGCTAGAGCAATTTTGTCTCTCTGACGAGCCTTAGCGAGGAGCAGTTTGAAAACAAAGGTCTTCCCAGTACTGGCAGGCGCATCAGGGGAAAAAATACTCGATGTGTAGTCTCAATGTCTTCCAAGATTTTCGTATAGGCTTCTATTTGTGCATCCAACAGCTTTGGTTAATTTTCTTAAATACATTTAAGAAGCTCTTAAGTATAATAGCATATTTCACGTAGAATCTCTTGAGTAAGGGCATGCAGGTTGTCCCTGTAGGGTGTTGGTAGTCCCATAGACGTGAGGCTACTTTCCACCAATGGAGTGCAGTTTGTCCTGAAGGAGAATGAGGGCCTGTTTGAAGATGACATCATAAAAGTTGACATCGAGGTTTGTATTTTCTCATTGAGCTCCGTGGAGGATGTCCTCACTCATGCCCTCTTTGTATTTTTGCCAGAGTCCCATGTGGTTAGATGGGCTGCAAACTTGAAGATTTATGCAGAAGAGCAATATCAGTTGACAAGGGGACTGACCAACAGAAGCTTCTGTCATAGCTTTATGAAGATGGTGATCATGCGCAAGAATTGCACGAAGATTATGTTTGACAGACAACTCCTTCCACTGTGTAGAGGTCTTGGAAAGATTTGTGCCCTTTGGCAACATGGAAAAGCATTGGGATAAAGTAGCACTGCTGATTGTTGGGATGAACTGTGTAGACTCGTCCTAAGGCATCAGATTCCCCGTCAGCAGCAGGTCGCCTCCATCTTTATTTTAGCAGTCCATGTATAGTAGGAGGGAACTTAATGGTAGAGCAGGTTGGCAGCAAATGGGTCACTTAGGCACAAAACCAAGAACGCCATCAGGGTGGTATCTTGTGGGGCCAGGGCCTGTTGTTGGGTATTTCCTTTGGTGACGTAGATGCGTTGACCATTTTGGAGGTGAAGTGCCAAATGGACGACTGTGGGGGAACGGTCATGGATAGGGGAAGCCAAGAACTCAGCAAATGGCCTCATTGTTGCTGATGTATGTTCCTTGGAAAAAAAGTTTGAGCTCATGCACACTTTGCCCTTCTGTGTTTTTGTAAGGCAAAGACAGCCATGTCAGTGCCTTTGTTGATGTAAACATATTAGATGGCTTTTTTTGAATAGCAGAATTTTACATTAAAGTGGGCCTGGAAGATCTTGCACAGAAGAGGGCAGTAGGGAACGATCCACCGGTTGTGCACCTTAATTAGCGAGTTAGTGGCAGGTCTGAGCGTTGTTTGAAATCCACCATGCTCAGTATTTCTTTGACGATATAGAGGATAGCCATCATGGGCCGACTGAGTGTCTTTCAAGTAGTTCCATGGATACCTCTTGGTACACCTGTGGTCTTGCATACATGGCAGATTTGGATAGAACTGGCCACATGGGCCATGGACCATTTGGTTGTCGACCACATAGGAAAAGGGCAGGTTCTTGATGGGGGTGAGGTAGCTCAGCACTGCTAAATGTGTCAATGTGACTTGCATGAATTGTTTCCCTCATTCATAGCGAAATGTGAGTATGAGGAAGACGACGTTCTTGCCACCCAATGGTTGTGCAAATTACTGCTTGTCTATGCAAAGACGCCGCCTTCATTGGTCATAATAAGCATCATGAGGTCAAAAACTTTGAGTTTTAAGACCCTCGCTAAGATGTCAGGTCTGTCTGATGGCTTTTGGTTTGGATAAAGGTAAACCTGGATCTCCTTTCATTTGGGATTGCAAGTGAAGGTGATGAAGAGATGGAGCGTGGCATATTGGCTGATGTACGTCATGGCATCCAGAGTCTTCTCATGCGTATATCTTGGTGGAGTTGTGAAGGATGAAGGCAAAATCACTAATAAGCCCACATTGTGACCGTTTGCATCTCCTTCAGCATTTATGGCGTCCCAGAGATTAACATACTTGTTCACACGCAGGCGGTTTTGATTCAGTTGAATGTAAAGAAGGTGCTCACTCTAATGTTGGCATACTTATCGACAACATATTGGTGAAAGAGGTTGGCGCACCATAATATGCGGTTTCCTCCTCTGTTCATGATCACGAAGGAAGAGAAGTTTTTTTTAGAGGAGAGTTTTGTGAGGATGTCTTTGTCCTGTAGCTTTGTAATTGGAGGAATGTTGACGTGATACCCATCTTGGCCTTGCGACAGTAAAATGTGTTATTGTAGGGCATCGTATGCTCTGTTAGTGTCAAGAGATCGTGCGATGGTGTTTTCTTGGTATGGAAGAACAATGTCTCTCTCACAATGTCCCTCACCGACCGTAAGAAAGCAAGGTCAACAATATTTAGGTCATTGAACCTCCCTGCGTGCTCCCCGCTTTGGTGGAAATTAAATGTGCGGTATGGCAAAATATAAATGGATGATGTTTCCACGACTGTAACAAAACGATAGACGAAATGCAATGGGCTGTAGCTAAGAAAGTACCAACATATTCAGCAGTATAACATATTAATCAGCTTAGCAATACTACGTATCAGTAAAAGTGTGACGTGAGCAATCGAATAGAAATGCATTGAAGAAATAAGCGGAAATAAGTCTATATTAAAGAACAGCAGTACGCAGCAGTCCATACCAACTGTGGTGGTACCTGGTTTCTCTACAGCAGTGCATACCGAATGTGGTTGTACCTGCTATCACTCCAGCAGTGCAAACTGACTGTGGTGGTACCTGGTTTCACTGCAGCAGTGCATACCGACTGTGGTGGTACCTGCTATGATTACAGCAGTGCATACTGTGTTGGTTCCTGCTATGATTACAGCAGTGCATACTGCTGTGGTGGTATCTGCTATGATTACAGCAGTGCATATTGTGGTGGTACCTGTTATGATTACAGCCGTGCATACTGCGGTGGTACCTGCTTTCACTACAGCAGTGCATACCAACTGTGGTGCTACCTGCTTTCACTACAGCAGTAGATATGACTGGTGGTACCTGCTATGACTACAGCAGTGCATACTGTGGTGGTACCTGCTATGACTACAACAGTGCATACCGACTGTGGTAGTACCTGCTATGACTACAGCAGTGCATATCGACTGTGGTGGTACCTGCTATGACTACAGCAGTGCATACCGACTGTGGTGGTACCTGGTATGACTACAGCAGTGCATACCGACTGGTGGTACCTGCTTTAACTACAGCATTGCATAACGACTATGTTGGTTCCTGCTATGATACAGCAGTGCACACTGTGGTGGTACCTGCTTTCACTGCAGCAGTGCATACTGACTGTGGTGATATCTGCTATGATTACAGCAGTGCATACTGTGGTGGTACCTGCATTCCCTACAGCAGTGCATACCGACTGGTGGTACATGCTTTCACTACAGCAGTACATACCGACTGTGGTGGTTCCTGCTATCACTACAGCAGTGCATACTGACTTTGGTGGCACCTGCTTTCACTGCACCAGTGCATACTGTGGTGGTACCTGCTATGATTACAGCAGTGTATACTGACTGTGATACCTGCTATGATTAACAATAATATATGCCTAGAGTTTCCTGGCTGGCTGCTGCCTGGGCTCCTCTCTACCACAACAGTGACCCCATTGTTCGTGGTTGCTGTGGGGTCGTTGCCATCAAAAATATCTGGGTAACTGGCTATATACGATTTTCCGTTTAACAAATAAACGTTAATTTGAGTTGAAACGCTAGAAGGAGTTCGGAAGACAGATGAAAGATAGCGACACCGCAGAGATAGGAGTAATGGATACACAAGACCGACTCAGTTATTTAATATCGCTCACACTTTTCAATTTGTTCTCCTGTTCTAATTATTTTGCCGAATATTCTTGAAATCCAAGAGAATATAACAAAAACTCAATACATATTATCTTGGTATTTTATTATTATGATGTAAAAAAGCAGACTGCTTTTAGTACTCCGTGTACAGGAGGGTCGTGAGTGAACTGTGAACATGACAGCAGTTTCCTTTTATTTTTCATTGCGAAGCAACAACGGCTCCAGGTATTTATAATACATTTCGGCCGATCATAATAACCATGGCTCGTCAGTGCAGCACTTTCACGTATCACTCAGTGCTGACGTTAGCCACGGCTGGGATTCAAACTCATGCAGCTGGGTTCACTGTTGCGGTGCTTGCCGTGATATTTTTCGTGCTGAAAAGTGTGCAAAAGATTGCGGAGAGACGCACGCTCAGATTTACTCCGAGGGGACAGGAAGAGGAATGCGTGGGTTGGAGAACGCCACGCAGGTTGGAAAACGTCGGATTCACTTTTGAGGCAAAGTAACGGCTATGGGGGGCGATGGCCGAGATCAAGGATGGAGTGGCAGCCAGAAGAGCGTGGCGACTTGTGGAGGAGAGATGACGTGAGCTCGAGTGGCCGGTGCCAGATGCACGGGGAGATGATATGGTGGCTCGGGGAGGCGCTTATCTAGCAGTGGATCGTTCCGTGACCGATGCCGATGTCTCTTGAAGAGAAATACGGCCACTAACCCGTGCCAACACTCGTCATCATCATCAAAGGCCTCGCTTGCCCAGTTGCCGTCCGGCCGACGTGAAATCTCCCCCCCCCCACCACGAGGGACACAGCAATAACGCTGCCGTTATTATTGCAGCGCCTCCAACTCGTGCGGGACAGCAGCAGCGAGCAGCTGCGGTTGCTCAACAAGTAGCTGAGCGCGCGTGGGAGGAGAGGAGGAGGCGGAGGTTCAATCTGTTTGGGAATCTGCAGTGACGAGATTGGAAGCGTAAATGTCATGCGCACACCTCTGCATGAACGTGTGTGCGTGTCTGTGTGTCTGTGGGGAGCGGTAGTGTAGCGGTTAGCGTGCTGCGCTACGAACACGGCGACCAGAGTTCGATTCCCACTCACGGTCAACACCAGTGACGATTATATGAACCGGTCCTGGGCCTCCCCTAGGTCGACTTAGCCTCAAATGAGTACCTTGTGTGGCGTGTAAACATCGCCACTGGGGAGACAAAGGCGGCCGGGCGGGCAGGCGGGTGTGGTGTTGGCCACCCACCCCCTCGTGTGCCATGTTGGCCTTCATAGGTGCTCGCTGACAGCACTTGGGGGCCGTCCATAAATGATGTCACGCGTTTTTGGACGATTTTTGACACCCACCCCCCTCGTCACACGGCGTCACAAAAAGTCAGACCCTCCTCAAATATGACGTCACAACGCTCTGCCCCCCCCCCCCCTCCAAAACTATATTTCAATTTTGAAAATTAAACATGCTTCAAATCGCTTTAAACTATTGTCATTGTAGAGCGTATTTAATGTGGCGCTGCACTCTGATGTTGTAGGAGAAAACACGTATTAAAAAGGAGGCGTTGGAAAGCTTAAATTTAGCATAAAATTCACTTGAAAATATTCAACGTTTAACTAAAACTGGAGATGTTCAGAATATTATATTAAAATTATCTTATAATTATAAATATTAAAAGTAATTATAACTATTAAAAAAATACTTGAAACTTTGTAGTAGAACGAAGCAAAATGGAGAGTACAATTATAACAATCACATATTCATTCCACAGAATGAAAAGCCCTGGTAGAATCATTAGAATCAAAATGTTTAATAACAATCATTAAAATCAATTTAAAAATGTATGCTTCTCCATTATCCCATGGAGAAGCAAAATACTCCTTCATGGAATAAATAAAAGGTGACCTTAGCAAATTAAAATAATCAAATAGTTAATAATGAAAATTAATCAAAATTAGTGTTGTTTAAAGTTGCTCATTTTGATGTGACGTCACTTCGTCACAAATGTCTGACCCCCCCCCCCTAGGTGCGTGACGTCATTTATGGACGAACCCTTGCCCCAACAGTCTGTTAAGGCTACACAGATGATATTTGTCTTTGTGTGAGTGTGTGTGGCACAGTAGGGGGCACAGGTGGTGCATCAGCCAATCATCTCGGTCATCTCAGTCGACGCGTGGCACCTGCTGGGTCTGCCCCGTGACCTGCCAGCGGGCGTTCGACACTTCACGTGGCCTCAAGGTGCACCTAGCCTGGCACAAGCGTCGTGGTGACGTCACCGCCACTTAGTGGCGAATGGCGGTTGTTGTTGTGTCTTTGTTGATACTTCCCACCTTGACGCAGAAGAGGAGCGACACGGGGACCGTGAAGATGCAGAGCAGAACGGCGAGCGCAGTCAGCAGCCACTCGCAGGGGGCGACGCGCAGCGACTTTACAGCTACACACAAAGACAAATGCACAAAGACCCCCCCCCCCGTAAAAGCCTTGACAGCATGTTGGGGCAAGTGCTGGTGGCGATCAGCACCGATGAAGGCTGGAACGGCACACAAAGGGGGTGGGGTGGCCAATACCACGCCAGGCCGTTTTTTCAGCTCCAGGCCCAGGACATATTCATATATTCGCCACAATTGTTGGTTTGTGAGTGGGAATCAAGCTCGGGTTGCGGGTTCATAGCGCAGTGCGCTAAGGGGCCGTCCATAAATGACGTCACGTGATTTTGGACGATTTTTGACCCTCCCCCTTTGTCACACGACGTCACAAATAGTCAGACCCCGCCTCAAATATGACGTCAAAAAGCTCTTCCCCTACCCCCCAAAAAAATAAATGCTTCAAATCGCTTTAAACTATTGTCATTGTAGTTGTGATGCCGCCGCCGCGAAGCCGTTGGGCAGGCGCCAAATCCCCGACCTCGCCACCACCAAGCAACACACCCGCACTCATTCCCCCCCCCCCCCATAGAGCTCCGAGGGGAGGTCGCCTGGCCGACCGGTTTTTATCCGAGAAACCCTTATCGGGATTAACTCTCACGGTTTCCGGCGATCAGGGAATTGGATGACCTCCCCCGTGCTACGTTGCGCCGCGGCGCTGCGACCGGCCTTAATATGGTGTGGTCGCGGCGTGGGGCATTCGGCCACCGCGGTTGAGGCGCATTTCCCCCCACACACGCCAGTATCGACGGGGCAGGCAGAGGGAATAAGCATTGTGATGGAGGAGCATCATTAGAAAACACGCAGCGCATCTGAACTGCATAATCAGGCACCCCCGCACAGGCAGCGGAGGGACGGCATAATTACGCTCGGGTACGCAGGCACCATTGTTAGGGGAGTTAAAGGATAAGGCTATTAGTATAAATAACCTGGAGAGCGGGGTCACGCGGGCAGCCGTGCACAAATTCCCACGGCGCGCCTTTGTGATGGACACCGCCGCAGGAACCTCGATGATGGGGGCCCGCGCGGACAAAGGATTAATTAGCATAGCGAAGGCGCACGGTGCGTGGGAAGGGGGTAGGGGCCCGGGGCCGGGAATCAGGATAAATGGGGAGCGCAAAGGGGAAATCGCTCTCTTACTCCAGCGCCAGGCGACCAGACGCAGCTCCAGCCAGCGACCCGGACGTCCGTGCGACGCACCGAGGCACGCGATTAGCACAAGGATCAGCGGACCGCCGTGGACACTTAACAGTGAGTAAGAAGGTGAATTAGAATCATAGCAGATAAATCGGGAATAGGTATAGAGGTATCAGCGTAGGCCAGCCTCGTCGACTCACTGATTTAACATCTAGTTCCAGGTAGCGGATAATAAATCATTAATAGCTGATCGTGGCCTCGTGTGATCTCGTGTTATAAGTGTGAACGCGTGTGGCACGGTGTATGCGTAAGCTCTCGGCGTGCGTAATCGGCGTACCCCAGGTGCGCGATCATAACGTGAGCGGCCAGCGCGGCGCAGAGCGGCGCAAGAGTGGGTATCGCGTGTGGAGCTGTATGTGTGTGCGCGCACGTTCACGACGTGTATAATACAGGTGCGCGATCCTAACGTGAGTGGTCAGTGTTGAGTGAGTGCCGCGCAGAGCTGTGTGTGGGAGTGCGCATACGTTCGTTACGTGTCGGATACGGATGCGCATTGGTAACGTGCCGCACAGGGCTATACTGCGAGCACGGCGTTTGATTGATGATGATGTGCGCACGTATGCTCGCAGCGTGGGAGCGCGGCGCGAGGCTGTAACAGTAGGGGCGTCGCGTTCGAATGCCGGCGAAACCGTAGCGGGTAATAGGGAGGTGGGGTAACGTAAACGGAATAGGGGATGCAGGCGGGAGGGACCCCGGGGGCCAACGGCCCCCACATAGTGCGTATTTAATGTGGCGCTACACTCTGATGTTGTAGGAGAAAACATTTATTAAAAAGTCTATTTAATAAAGTAGAACGTGTTGTATATATTTATTTAAAGTTGCGCATTTTGATGTGACGTCACATTTCTCACCCCCCCCCTCGTCACACATCGTCACAAATGTCTGACCCCCCCCCCCCCCCCCCCCCAGGTGCGTGCCGTCATTTATGGACGGCCTCTCACCGCAGCACCACCACCGCTGCTCAGTCACACGCAGACAAACATCCCCCGTATAGCCTCATCAGACTTTCGGGGCAAGTGCTGTGAGCGAGTAGCAGCACCTACACGGGGGCCACCCACCCCCTCGTGTGCCCTGCCGGCAGCCTTCTGACGGTACAGTGTAGTGACATCGCGGGGTGTCGCTGTGTAGTGCCGGCCCTAGAGGGGCTCGGTGAGCGCTGATTGATAGCGCTGGATGGCATCGCGCTTGGCGTGTTGTTCATCCTGAAGAAACCTTCGTCTACGCGGACCTGGACCCAAGCTGGGGTCCGGTCCGTAGTAGCTTGTTACGGTGTAATTAGTGCGGTTAGCCTGGTGGTCACCACCACAGGTTGTTATTCTGTAAAGGGGCAGTTCGCCCGTGTGTTGGTGTTAAATAAATGCGTTGTCTCCAAGAGTACGTCTGCCACTCAACTGAACCCATGTATCGTGGAATCAATCGATTAAACGATACATGTGCAGTACACGCCCAACACCAGTGACGATGTTCATAACTGGTCCTGGGCCTGAGCCTCAGATGAGTGCAAACATCGTCACTGGGGAGACAAAGGCGGCCGGGCGTGGTGGTACCCACCCCCTCGTGTGCCGTGCCGGTCTTCATAGGTGCTACTCGCTAACAACACTTGCTCCAAAAGCATGTTCAGGCCACACGGGGGATCTTGACCTTTGTGACGACACTCACTTTGTTCTATATTACCAGGTAAGGCCCACTGAGCAACATCGCCCTTTTTTAGAAGCGACCTGGCCACAAGTGATAACGAAGTGGCCCATCATGTGGAAAGTTATAGCAGCCGCAAACTCGAAACGCGTGTTGTTGATCCTAAACACGGAGGGAAAACCCGAAGCACCCAGAGAAAAATCTACGCGACCGCGGGGAGAACACGCAAACTCCAAAAATACAGCAGGCGTCAGGGTCGGGATCGAACCCACGCACCTCCCGTGTACCAAGCGAGGTAGTGAACATCTCCTAGTCACCGTGGCGCCCCTGCCAAGGCTACACGTGAGACACGCGTGTGACTGCACACACACGTGCGCTCACGCCGCCGCGCACCTTCATCCGTGCGCTCCGCCTCCAGTGCCGTGTCAGCCGCCCGCTGCTCCAGGGCCTGGTCGACGTCGATCACCAGGGACGAGCTCACGGGACCGCCTCCTCCTCCTCCTGGCGCTGCGTCCACGCGTGTGCCGCGCACAGCACCGCTCTGCGCATGCAAAGACAAAGGCACCCCCCCCCCCCCGTGTAGCCTTTAATATACTTGTTGGGGCAATTGCTGTATGTGTGTACCTCTTTGTTGAACTTCTTTCGCACCGTAGATAGCCAACCGTGCTTAACAGGATGAAGGCCGGCACAGTGCGCGAGGAGGAAAGCCCCACATCTACATGATCCTCCGTATGAGCCATGGGGGTTATTTGACCATACTTTACCGCGCTAGTCAGCGCGGGTCAGCAAAGGGGGAGTCCAGGTCATGTTCCGAACCTCAGAGGTAATGTATCACTCATGTTAGCAGCAGACAGGAATCAAATGCAGGTCGCCGTGGTTGGCAGTGTGCTAACCATTGCGCCACCGCTCGCCCCCACCACACTCACAAATGATACAATCACAGAGAGCATCTACCCCGGACAGCTCCTTGTCTCACCTCCGTTAGTTTTTGCAGCTCCTCACGACACCCGTACGACAAGAGGCTACGTGCACCCAGCACCACCACCCCCACCCTCACCACTACCAACCACCACGCTTACCACTTCCACCCAGGACCAACTCCACCAAACCCGACTTCCACCCAGCCATCACCACCACCTCCATCCACCCAGCTCCACCTCCGGACGACTTCCTCACCCTGGCGCCGTTGCGCGCCTCCCGCTTGGAGCGCCTCTCCATCGCTCTTCGCGAGTCGCCTGGGTCAGAGCCGCCGAGAGGACTGACGGGGCCCCCTCCCTCGTTCCTGCTTCTCCTGATGAACGATGGAGACGCCGGGGAGAGAGCGAGTGAGCGAGCGCCGTGAACTCGGACCACGTCGACGGAGAAGCGCTTATAGGCGCGATGGGAGGACGAGGATGAGGAGGGGGAGGGTTGGTTATGCAGAGCGGTGTCGCAAAACCGGTTGCGTTAATGAGTTGGGGAGTGAAGTTGGGGAGTGAATTATTCCGCGCGCGTTCCGCAGATTAAACGCAAACACAGGCAGTGGTGACCCCTCTCCTCCGCAATTCAGCACCGCCATGCGAGCCGATAGTGACTCCTCGCCGCGCGTTGTCATCGATCCACACTGCTGGATGCAGGCCTACAATCACCGTGGCAGGCACGGGGGTTGATTGGCCATACTTCACCACCTGGTCAGTGCGAGTTGATGAGTGGGAGGGGGTGGAGAGTGTGCCAAGGACTGGCTCAGATGTGACGCTCCACTGATGTTAGATCGTCGGTTCAAAGCGCAGTGCGCCAACTACGAGGCTACAGCTACTGATTAATGGTTGCTATTGTACATTCCCATGACAGGACTGTATGTCCGTGTGTTGAACTTCCTTCACAACATAGCCAATTGCTGCGCTAATCGGAGGTGTGGGGGGAAGGAAAACAAACAGAACACAAAAGAAATTAGTTTCTCAATCTAGACTTAAAAGTGCCTATTCCAGTGGATTGCTAATATCGGAAGTTAGAGCGTTCCAGACGGCCGCAGAAACGCATCTGTAAAGCGAGCGATGTGGTGACCTTTCGATTTAAAGCTTTCGTGACTGCAGGGATTTATCTTCTTGGTTTTTTCGGTAAAGTCACGTAGAATGGAAATAATAAAATAATAAAAATAAAACATAATAAAATAATTCTCACGACGTTTCGGCCACAACGCAAGCAGCCGTCCTCAGGTGAAGAACAGGTCTGTCGAGAAGACAGTCTGAATGACAACCCCAGGCTTGGAGCGTCTTTTTTAAGCTGGGATGGAGGGGGGAGAGCGCCTTGACAAAAGAATTTGCCTATCAATAGGAATTTAGCATATTTATGGCAAATGCAGATATGCGATTAGTACTACTTGTGAAATGCGTAGGAGGTTTGGCGAGGGGTTTAAAGTCATTATGCTAGTGCATTATGCAGGATTAGCAGCATCAAAGGGAGGGTGTAGGGGTAGCATTAATAAAGAGAAGGAATTCATCTTCTTGGTTCTTCCGGTAAAGTCACATAGAAGGGAAGTAATAAATTAATAAAAATAAAACATAATAAAATAATTCTCACGACGTTTCGGCTACAACGCAAGCAGCCGTCTTCAGGTGAAGAATGAGACACTGCCAAGCTTGGAGCTTATATATAAGCTGGGTTGGAGGTCGAAGAAGAGCGCCTTGACAAAATAACTTGCATATCGAGAGGAATTTAGCATATTCATGGGAAATGCGTAGGAGGTGGGCGGGGGGTTTTCAAAGTCATATTATGCCCATGCATTATGCAGGATTAGCAGCATCAAATTAATGTTTGTGAAATTTTTTTTCCAAAATCTTACACTTTTTAGGACAAAAATATTATATTTAATTACCAATTGCTTAATGCTGCCATGCAATCATCTGACCCATAGGTGGCAGCCATCTCAAGTCAGAGGACGAGAGGACTCTAGCCGCCACGCATATAAAGGATTTATAGTGAAAAACTTTGTTTTTACGGGTTATACTTGTTATTTTTGTATACCTGCTATCGTTGAGTAGTTATTGAATTTTGTTGTTGTATTCTATTTTGTCCATGATGACAGTGGCATTGCCTTTGTCAGCTGAGAGGATGACAATGTCATCCCTCTTTTTTAATTGAGCTAATTCAAAACGCTCATCTTTGCTGATGAGGAGCCTTTCAAAACCATCACCTTACCCTACATTGCTGGGGTCACAAAAAAGATCTCCAAAATCATGATTAAACACAAGATCCAGGTCCGATTCAACACAGTACATAAAATCCGTGATCTGGTCCCGTCTGTAAAAGACGTGGTTCCAGACATACAGTACCCTGACGTCTACAAACTAAGTTGCCTCTGTGGTAGCAGTTACATTGGAGAAACCAAAAAACATGTCTCGGACCGCATCCGTGAACATAAAGCAGACCTGAAACACGGTAGGACAAACACCTCAGCCGTGGCAGATCACTGTTACAATTCAATGGGCTCACATGACATTGACTTCTCCAAGACAGAGGTTCTCTGCAAGCCATCTGGCTACCATGAGAGATTCGTTCATGAGGCGATCCACATATACAAACACAGAGACAATTTCAACCGAGAAGATGATTCTGGCTCAGCAATCATTGGAAGGACGTAATAAACCATTTCGATCTTAACTGATTGTTGTTCACGTTTATGGTGACTTTCAGACCGCAGTCCACTTACTGGAATTGACTGTGTATTATTTGCTTCGCTGCGGGTCTCCCGCCACCGCTCTCCCATTGACATGTTTCATTGCTTCTGCATACTATTAACATTCCCTCCCTTTGTTCATGCTACCCCCTATCCCCTCCCTTTGATGCTGCTAATGCTGCATAATGCATGGGCATAATATGACTTTGAAAACCCCCCGCCCACCTCCTACGCATTTCCCATGAATATGCTAAATTCCTCTCGATATGCAAATTATTTTGTCAAGGCGCTCTTCTTCCACCTCCAACCCAGCTTATATATAAGCTCCAAGCTTGGCAGTGTCTCATTCTTCACCTGAAGACGGCTGCTTGCGTTGTAGCCGAAACGTCGTGAGAATTATTTTATTATTTTATTACTTCCCTTCTATGTGACTTTACCGAAAGAACCAAGAAGATGAATCCCTGCCGTCACGAAAGCTTTAAATTGAAATGTTAATAGTATGTATCTGCAGTAACTAAACCATCACGTAAACAACTAAAGTATAACTTACATAGTATCATCAGTATACTAAATATACTCTTCAATAAGCTGAGCTACTAACAGTAATACATTACAATTCTACGTCACAAAAAATATAATATGCTTCCAGCTAAACTTTATTCTCTTACATCACACGGGTATACCTCGTACTATATACTGCCATAGACAAACCCAACATTAAATTACATACTGTATTATTATAATACACCACTCTATACCTTATACATTGTAATATTACACTATGTATTATTCTATCTACCCTACTGTATATCACACTGCTGTATATTCACTATACAATTACGATACTATATATTACTTTTTAGTTTTTACATTGTATAAAACATTACAATTGTATACTATTTATTATTATACAATCAGCTATACACTATACCATTGACCGTCGCGTGAAAGATACTAAGAGGAAGCAACGAAATATGTCAATGGGAGAGTGGTGGTAGGAAACTTGCAGCAGAGAAAAAAATCCATTCCCTGTGGAGAATACAAGATATATAGTCAATGCCAGTGAGTGGACTGCGGTCTGAAAGTCACCGTAAACGTGAACACAATCAGTTAAGATCCGAAATGGGTTATTACGTCCTTCCAATGAGAGAATCGTTCATGAGGCGATCCACATATACAAACACAGAGACAATTTCAACCTAGAAGATGGATTCTGGCTCAGCAAGAGAATAAAGTTTAGCTGGAAGCATATTATATTTTTTGCCACGTAGAATTGTAATGTATTACTTACTGTTAGTAGCTCAGCTTATTGGAGAGTATATTTAGTATACTGATGATACTATGTAGTTTATACTTTAGTTGTTTATGTGTTGGTTTAGTTACTGCATATACATACTATTAACATTCTTTCTCTTTATTAATGCTACCCCTACCCCCTCCCTTTGATGCTGCTAATCCTGCATAATGCACGGGCATAATTACTTTAAACCCCTCGCCAAACCTCCTATGCATTTCACAAGAAGTACTAATCGCATATCTGCATTTCCCATAAATATGCTAAATTCCTCTCCGCAGGGAATGGATTCTTTGCTCCGCTGCAAGTTTCCTACCACCACTCTCCCATTGACATATTTCGTTGCTTCCTCTTAGTATCTTTCACGCGACGGTCAATGGTATAGTGTATAGCTGATTGTATAATAGTAAATAGTATACAGTTGTAATGTTTTATACAATGTAAAAAGTAATATATAGTATCGTAATTGTATAGTGAATATACAGCAGTGTGATATACAGTAGGGTAAGTAGAATAATACATAGTGTAATATTACAATGTATAAGGTATAGTGGTGTATTATAATAATACAGGATGTAATTTGATGTTGGGTTTGTCTATGGCAGTATATAGTACGGGGTATACCAGTGTGATGTAAGAGAATAAAGTTTAGCTGGAAGCATATTATATTTTTTGCGACGTAGAATTGTAATGTATTACTGTTAGTAGCTCAGCTTATTGAAGAGTATATTTAGTATACTGATGATACTATGTAGTTTATACTTTAGTTGTTTACGTGGTGGTTTAGTTACTGCAGATACATACTATTACCATTCCTTCTCTTTATTAATGTTACCCCTACCCCCTCCCTTTGATGTTGCTAATAGGCATAATTCACGGGCATGACTTTAAACCCCTCGCCAAACCTCCTACGCATTTCACAAGTAGTACTAATCGCATATCTGAATTTTCCATAAATATGCTAAATTCCTCTTAATATGCAAATTATTTTGTCAAGGCGCTCTCCCCCCCCCCCCTCCATCCCAGCTTAAAAAAGACGCTCCAAGCCTGGGGTTGTCATTGAGACTCTGTCTTCTCGACAGACCTGTTCTTCACCGGAGGACTTGCGTTGTGGCCGAAACGTCGTGAGAATTATTTTATACAGTTTTATTTTTATTATTTTATTATTTCCATTCTACGTGACTTTACCGAAAGAACCAAGAAGATGTGGTGACCGTCTTTGTTCAAGGGCTAGCCAGAAGCCGCTGATGCGAGGATGACCGGAGTTTGCGTGATGGTTTATGCTCTTTAACGAGATCAGCGAGGTACTGTCGTTAATTTATGGCAAGCGCTTTGTATATAAATGCGTGCCGTTCCATGTGTAGGGGTGTTACGGAGGGACTGTTATACAATGGGATCAGATGGGAAAGAAACACAGTGGGCGTGGCTATGTCGGTGCACGGGAAGGTGCTCCCAGCGACGTCCGCATCGGGCAGCCTGGGGGGCTGACTGACTCGGAGCTGGGATCCCCCGGGGCCCCACCCCTCAGCGGAGGTTTTGGTATAAAAGGGGATGAGCCGGAGGGCTCGGGGAGAGATGTTGAAGCTAACCAGTGAAGACTGAAGATCGTCATAGATAGAGCCCTGGACTCCCCTGGATCGCCGCCCTTATCAGGGCCGCACAGGATCGAGCCAGTGGCGTGGTCCCGAGAGCCAGAGCCGGTGCTCTTGTAAGAGCTGGTCTGGGACTCCGGGTACCGTGAGCCCGACTTACCAGTGTTGGGCTAGCTAGCCTCCCCTAGCCCGTTAGTGGAGGACCCAGAGGTAGGCTAGGCGTAGCTAGAGAGTGTATCCCCAGTTAGACGGGTGAGGGGGCCGATACCCCCTCCAGTGTTGTATGTCAGTGTTGTGCTGTACCGACACATAATAAATACGTGTGCCTCCAACCCCGGCGTCCAAGTCTCCTGGAACACTATTACACATGCACAGGATGCCCACTGTTCGGGTACTTTACACCAAACCGGGCAGCAACAACGGACCGCGAACACCAAGGGATGCCACAGAACCCCGCACAGAGAGACGCGCCGAGTGCTTGGTCCAGGGGCCGTATGAGCATGGTGGGGATGACCGGCAGTGCGTGAAGTTGAGGTGTGCTGGAATCTGGGGTAACTGCTTTGTAAAAAATTATTGCAAAAAGCCCGCGACGCGATTATTACCCACAGATCTTCTCGGTTGACACTCGCATTCCAACATCTATTTAACTCTTTACGCGCAATCTGTTTGTAAATATATTATATATTCAGGGGTTGGTCTCTTAAGAGCGTATATGCTGTCAGTTTCCTGCCAAGTCAATTGCATTTTCATAAGTCGAAAACGGCCAGGCATAATTGTATTGGAATTAGTTTTTACAGTTTCCGATTGGCTGTTTGTATGTATGTACGTGGATTGTAGAGAAACCTTTCCTAAACCGACTTGCTCATCTGTGCTTGGTTGGCCTCTAAATTTGCATCAATGAAACATACATATGCAAAGGGAAGATATAAAAAAGTTTCGCCGTCATTCAGTGAAATTAACACGTGTTGTTGCAGAGACAGCAATGAATTTGGTGGCAGATCAGGAGCAATTATAAAGCAGTGGATGTTGTGTCAATATCAGTGGCCCCTCGCAAATAAAAAAACGAAATCCAGGACCTCCATTGTTTCTCCAGGAATTGATCAGAGATCCTCCAATCACAACTCAAAGCTTTACATAACATCATAAACAAGGATCTATTTGACAATGTAAACCAAGTATATGACTTGAAGGTGCAATGGCCTAAGGGCTTTGTGAATCAATGTTTTTTATCGCAGAAAACTTGACCAATTTAGATTTTTGGATTCTCAACTGCAGGATATGGCCCATAAAAGGTCGCTGGGCTACTCAATGTTAGGAGTCAGCGGCATTCTCAAGCGAACCCCGTGGTGATCGCGGTCAGTGCTCGCTGTATGTCCTCATCAAATGTTCTCACACACAAATCACCTTGCTGCTCAATACATCACCAAGGTGGCAGGAGCAGCAGCACTTAACCCATATATTTATCAAGGTGAAACAAAAAATTGGAATGTAACTTTGTTTAAATGAAGCTGACACTTTATTATTCTATCTCGCACACCACGATCATCAAACAGCAGCAGCCATCGTAAAGAGCATCATCACCATCATGAACAATGATCAGTCACCGTATTCACGTACAACTGTGGCCTCTTCCGTCACCGTCTGGACCAATTTGAGCAATGAGATTTTTTTTTTGCTCCAAAGTTTTTGATGGAAATGCCATTGCACCCCCACCCCCCACCTGACAGCGTGAACCACGACGGGACTGCACGGTAGAAATACCTCAGAACCCACAGCACCGTTGCCCTCACCCCGGCCGCTCTGGGCCATCCTCAGACTGCGGGCATGAGTCGAGACAGTGGTCCGATGTTCAATTGCAAATGCGGCCGTCATTCCTGTTAAAAGTGGAATGCTGGCTACAATCGAAAACCAAAAAGTATGGATCCTTGCAGTCACTAAAACTTCAAATCTAGAATCGAAGTGAATTGGACCTTTAAATCGTCTGAATCTTTTTAATGTAAAAAAATTAAATTTTGGCATATGACATCATTCACGTGTCTACATTTCTATTGTACATAAAAGGCCACGCATCTTGTTAAACGAACTATACAGACAAGATGCAAAAAGGTGTTCTCAAAACAGAATGCCGAATTGATATTCATCGCATTAACAGGTAACAAAATATATTTAACATGTTAGAAAATTCACTTAATTTGTGCAGTGGAAGAAATCTGGGAAGCGAATCCCATGCAGAAAGATGCATTGCTAAATGATCTATTGTGTTCTTTCATTGCTGTCATTCTGTCAATCTTAGGAAGCACCTGCTACATCAAATTAACGTGCTCGGTGGTTACACAAAACTAGTTAAACCCCACGTAAACTATTCAAAACAAACTACATTCGTGTCCATCACGCCAACTTTTGGTCAATGATGACCTGGACACAGGCCCACGCATGGTCCATAAAACTACAATTCAGTTAGACAAGAGAAGCACGTGCGGGACGTGGCGTACTCGGCATTCTGGGTAGCTGCGAGAATAAGTAAGTTGCGCATGTCTCGCGGCGGTCTCTCCGGCATTGCGAGCTCGGTTCGCGATGGTGTCGTCATGGAGATGAGTGGCGTGTGAGGGTGTCACCGTGAGTGGTGCATGAGGGTGTCACCGTGGAGGAGAGTGGTGATTGAGGGTGTCACCGTGGGGGAGAGTGGTGAATGAGGGTGTCACCGTGGGGGAGAGTGGAGCGTGAGGGTGTCACCGTGAGTGGTGCGTGAGGGTGTCACCGTGGAGGAGGGTGGTGCGTGAGGGTGACACCGTGGAGGAGAGTGGTGAGTGAGGGTGTCACCGTGGAGGAGGGTGGTGCGTGAGGGTGTCACAGTGGAGGAGAGTGGTGAGTGAGGGTGTCACCGTGAGTGGTGCGTGAGGGTGTCACCGTGGAGGAGAGTGGTGAGTGAGGGTGTCACCGTGGAGGAGAGTGGTGAGTGAGGGTGTCACCGTGAGTGGTACGTGAGGGTGTCACCGTGGAGGAGAGTGGTGCGTGAGAGGGTGTCACCGTGGAGGATAGTGGTGCGTGAGGGTGTCACCGTGGAGGAGAGTGGTGAGTGAGGGTGTCACCGTGAGTGGTGCGTGAGGGTGTCACCGTGGAGGAGAGTGGCGAGTGAGGGTGTCACCGTGGAGGAGAGTGGGGTGACTGCGGGGGAGGAGACACCGAAAGAGCAGCCCGAGCCGAGAGAGCGTCGCCCTGGGGACCGCGAGCACTCAGCGATCGCTGCGCCGCAGGGGATGCGTCGTTCACGTTTTACTCTATTAGCCTGAATCGCAAAAGCCAAACACATTGGTCCGTACCACCATGGCCTTGAAATGAAAAATGTTAGCTTCAAATTGGCATGGGAACTAGTTACCTATTGGTAGATATTGGGTAACAGATAACCCCTTCAAAACGTATTAACACAAACTAATTTAAAAAAAAGTGTAAAATGTTGCAGGCACGTGGAATCCTGGGCAACCACACTACCTTGTCCACAAGATAGTGTGTGTGTGTGTTGAGCTAGGGATTCTGTGTGTGTGTGTAGCAGGGGCGGAAGAGGCTCAGCTATGAGCCTGGAGTCCCCGTTCAAAGCCCGAGTGCTGGAGCGGGGACTGCTCAGCGTCGCTGCCGCCCCGGTCTGCGCTTCTTCTTGCGCACGGGGTCGAGCTCCTTGAAGGTCACCTCCTCTGGCTCTCCTTCATCCTCATGCACCTTGTCTGATGAACATCACCAGGGCCCAGTCAACCACCGTAACGATAAAACCAGAGCCAGGCCCGTGAGCGTTTCGTCAACAACACAGGCTGGCCATCAACGCACGCCTAGTGCAGGCTCTGCCGTTCCAGGCTCTGCTCCTCCCCAGCCGCCTCCGCCGTGCACTCAATCCAACACGGACGTTTTACAGGTGACCAAACACGAGACGGAAGAGTGAGGAATATGGACCCAATGGGTTGTATACAATCGCATATTGGCCATCTTTATCCCCAAGAGCTACGAGTGAATGAGAAAGGCAGTTCCAAATCGGGCAAACCCCATACGACAAACCAGTGACGTAAGCTCATTTGGCTGTGACTCCATTTGACATAAGAGAGTTGACTGCCGTGAGCTTGTCACTCCAACTGGATAAAAAAATGACCTCAGGAATCAAGCAACAAACCTGCGTCAGCCACTTCGCGGACCACAATCGACTCCAGCTCCGTGGTGCATCTGTCCAAATGCTCCACCGTCGATCGCAGAATCTTACAGACTGCAAAGTGCATTCCGACATGCACACACGCAAATACCACGCGCGCACACACATGGGGATCATCAGGGATGGTGAGGTCAACTGCACGGTCACCGCGCAGTGGTCGACATGCTCGTGGAATCCTCCTCCACGGAGCCTGGAAGCCAACGCGGTTTCCCATTGCACAAACCACCAATGCACCAGAACGATAAATTATTTGGTGATGCTGCGCAAGCAGAACATAACAAGAAAACCTCACGTTAGTCAATCACACCACGGCCTTAAACCTATCTAGAAGGCGACGTTTCGGGCAACGGCCCTCCTTCACAGCGCAGAAAGAGGCCAGAGAGTCTGCGTTTACAATTGCACGTCACCTGTGCACCGTGGCAACTGGCCGTGTGGCTCAGCGGCGGAGAGAGAAGGCTCGCGATTGCAAGGCTGCGAGTTAAAATCCTGGTTGATTCTAAATGTGGAGGGATTTCGGGGAGAACATGCACACTCCAATTATAAAGAGGCATCAGGGTCGGGATCTAATCCACGACCTCCTGTATACCGGGCGAGTAAGTTCACATCTCGCCACCGTGGCGCCCCATAACCTCCCTCACGAGGCACCGTGACTGTATCCGAGTGGCATCGCGGGTTTGGTATCGTCCAGATAAGGTACTGGATACCCGGCACCAAGGAGTCTGTGATCCGATGTGAAAATGCAGTGCACTCACTGTCTTCGGATTGACAACCACCAAGATTCACAGCCACACAGATTAACTTGCTCTGTAAGGTTCCGTCTGCCAAAAGATGGACTGCAAATCACATTTAATTTAGGGAGTAAATAAAGTAAACGGTGTTCAAAGTAACCTCTTTAAAAGGAGTTCGGAGCCTTTACTCTATGACAGGATACAGTTTTGATTACAAAGCGGCACTTCTCCAAGATCCATCATCAGCGGATGCGAATCATCAAACTGCATCCGCACAAAGCGGGGCAGATGCAGATACCTGATGCACAAATGGAATATTAGAAACTCTGCTGTATGCGACTGTGGTCATCCAGAATAGACCCTATAACGTATAATGACGCAATATCGGTGTCGACTATCAGCCACCTTCGTCCCTCCTTTGCAGTGACGACGCGTCCTGCCAAAGCCCCGCTCACTTCTCTTAGCAGCACTTTTGATGATGTAATTGATGTTGTTTTTGCTACTTTGCCCAAGCTTTGATAAAACGGACTTATATAAACATCTTGATTAGAGAGTTACATAAACATGTATACAACTTTTCACTTAATTATATGTAGTGGCTTGCCCTAACCATTTTCTCAATTTTGCACTCCTATCGTTTTTTATTGATTGCTGTTGTAACTGGCTGACCCACCCCCATACTGGACATCTACAAAACATAGCTTCATAGCTCATCGGATTCCTCCTTGCAGTCTAAATAAATATTTTGATTCTGATTAATCTTCAGACACAGAAAGCAAGAAACTTAAAAGGACATCATAACTAAATCAAGGCGAGCAGATATTTGACCCCGATAGCGGGCATGCAAGGAGGAGTGACCCTTACCATCCCAACGCAAGCTGGTGCGCTGCTCGCACTCCAGATGCTCCACGTGCTTCATCGCGTCCTTCAGCTCCTCCCGACGCATCTCCAACTGCGCGTCGGTGCGCTCCCACAGGTGCAGCTCTTCCGATTGCCGGAGCTGCGCCGTCGCCTTCCTCATTGCCGGATCCACCAAACGACGAAATTCGACAACGTAGTCGTGATATTGCGCCATCCTGGACACGTGGCCCTGGGACTCGTAGTGACCGCTCGCGGAGATGCCGGACGCTCCATAGACAGCGGAGTCGACGTTCAATCCGGGTTTGCTCGCCGAGCCGTACGCGTCCCACTCGGCGGCATCGACGTCCTCCTCCACCTTCACGAAGCTCACGCCGCACACGCCACAGTGCTCGTGGGTCAGCCGCGCGGGTTTGAGAACCGTTTGTCCTGTGGCTTCCTCCCTCAGTTTGGCGCTCAGGGCCATGGCAAACTGTAGGGCTCGCAGGGCCGCTCTCCACCTGCGCCGAGCCTTCTGATGCATCCGCTCCTCCATCTCCTGCCGCGTGGTCAGATGCTGCAGCAGCAGCTCGCTCCGCTCGGTGTCCTCGTACTCCTCCCCCTCCTCCCCCCTCTCCTCGCTGTCGCCGTTCAGGAACAGCTCCGGGTTCGAAGCGGAAATCCCCGACTCCTCCGGGTCATACTCAAATTGCTCTGGAAATCGGGAGGCCAACAACCTGTGGTAGAAGAAGCCACGCCTCTGCGAGCTCCACACGCAGTCGTAGAGACGCTCGTCATCCCTTTGTGTCAGAAGCACGTCCAGGATAACCGTCACGTCCCTGGGTCCTTTGGCCGCGTCGGCCGCTTCCAAGCAGCGCAGGAGACGTGGCGGCAGCCTGTCCCGTCTCTCGGGCGAGAGGTGCTTGCTGGCGTTCCTGACGGCCGTGCGGATGCAGAACTGGAGGTGCTCCCTCCTCAGGATGTGGATGTTAACGAGCATGACCAGGTATAGCACGACCAGGCGCTCTGCTGCTCCCGACTCTACGCAGAGGTCATCATTGCAGGCTTTCAGCAGAAACTCATTGTGCTCGCCGCACGCCATGAGGGCCAAGAAGTTGACGTGCCTCACCATTCTGTTGTAGCCGGAAGGTTGGTGCTGGCCTCTGCTGAACTCATGAATAGCCTTGAAGATGTCACTGTGATGTTTAACCTGAAGGGTTGAACAATTAAACAATGTGAGAGTGAGTGCCGGAACATCACACCCACGTGTTTTCTCAGCGTGGGTTATGCTGCGACAATCGTACAATACAAATCGCAAAAATACGCTACCAACTCGACGCGTACGTTGCCGTGGCCAATCTTTTCATTCATAATTGAGTTTTGGCTCGGAGACAGTTGCTGAATTTGGTTGTGCGGATTGTTCTTCAACTTACCGGTGAGCCGCAACTTTAAATGTTTGTGCACCACGTGGACATTACATTTGTTTGGCCGTGTGCGGTGGTGTGGGGTTTCTAATGACACGCAGTTGGCCAGATAATTACGCGGCTTAATCCAACAATCGATTACGGTTCAATACACACCAAGACACCGTCCACGTATCTATTTGGAGCCGGATGTTATAGCCACATCCTGGGCGCTTAACCCTTTGATCAACGGGGACGTTTTTCTCACCATCAAATTCCGTTCCCAGAGCATGGCGCTGATTATGGCAGCCTCGGCCGGTTGGTGCACCCTGTTTTGTCTTGTTTTGTCTGTTAATTCAGCGTTCTGCCAAGTTTTTGGAGTTCTCTAACAACAGATGAACTTTTAAACATTAGGGAAACAACCCCTGTGGATTTATTTCCCACTTTTCTGTTTCCAGCGGCAGAATTAGTGGGTATTCTAGTCAAAGCCGCGCTCGGCTTTGCTCAAGCAGTGAAACGCCGCCGAAGGGGTAAACGGGTGGGGGCTCTAGCACGGCTACGCAGACGCGGGATCCGAACAGTGCTTTCAAACTTTTTCGTCTCCAACCTACGTTCACTGTGCAACAAAATGGACGAACTTCAGCTACTGATGGTGAAAAACAGAGACTTTTTTCATCTTCTGTCTTGTGCTTCACGGAGACATGGCTGTGTGATTTGATCCCGGATACTGCATTACAACTGGCAGGCTTCCAACTCGTAAGATCGGATCGGGACATAGCACTCTCCGGCAAGACGACGGGCGGTGGTATTTGTTTTTACATTAACAGTGGCTGGTGTGTAGATGTAACAGCGATTCTGCAACATTGTTCTCCGGACCTGGAATCATTTTTTAAAAACTGTAAACCTTTCTACTCGCCTCGCGAGTTCACGTCGCTCATTTTGGTCGGAGTTTATTTGCCGCCGGGTCCTCAGGTTAAAGAGGCCCAACGCATGCTCGCCGACCAGATTCTGAGTGTGGAGCGAGAAAATCCGGATTCCCTGGTTATCGTACTCGGCGATTTTAACAAAGGTAATCTCAGCCACGAACTCCCCATATACAAACAATTCATTAAATGCCCTATCAGAGAAGGGAACACTCTGGATCACTGCTACACTACAGTCAGTAGAGCCTACCACGCCATCCCCCGAGCAGCACTGGGACACTCTGACCATGCCATGGTCCACCTGATTCCTGCATACAGGCAGGGACTAAAGCTCTGTAAACCTGCTGTGAGGACATCTAAACAGTGGACCAGTGAGGCTATGGAGAATCTGCGGGCGTGCTCAGACCGTACTGACTGGGATATGTTCACGACTGCTACCAATAGCCTGGATGAACTCACAGAGGCTGTGACGTAGTACATCAGCTTCTGTGAAGACTGCTGTATTCCAACACGCACCAAGGTGAACTTCAACAACAACAAGCCCTGGTTTTCAGCAAAGCTCAGAAGATTGAGGTTGGAGAAAGAGGAAGCGTTTAGCAGTGGGGATAGAGACAGATTCAAAGAGTCGAAGAACAGGTTTAGCAAGGCGGTCAGAGAGGCTAAACGACTGCACTCAGAGGGACTAAAACATCAGTTCTCTGCTAACGACTCTGCTTCTGTCTGGAAAGGGCTCAGGCAGATCACCAACTACAAGCCCAGAGCCCCCCACACCACTAACAACTCTCGCCTGGCCAACGACCTGAACGAGTTCTACTGCAGATTTGAAAGAAAAGTGGACTGTCCTGAACTACCCCTTCCCACCCAAGAGGCCTCCCCCCCCTCCTCCCCACTACAGAGATGACTATCAATTCAGGAGGGAGAGGTTAAGACTTTTCAAGAGGCAGAACCCCCACAAAGCAGCTGGGCCAGCCTCTGTCTCTCCAGCAACCCTCAAGCACTGCGCTGACCAGCTGTCTCTCCGGTGTTCACCAACATCTTCAACACCTCACTGGAGACATGCCATGTACCAGCCTGTCTCAAGTCCTCCACCATCATCCCTGTGCCCAAAAAGCTAAGGCCAACAGGACCTAATGATTACAGACCCGTCGCCCTAACCTCTGTGGTAATGAAGTCTTTTGAGCGCCTGGTGCTGGCACATCTCAAAGCTATCAGACCCTCTCCTGGACCCCCTGCAGTTTGCCTACAGAGCCAACAGGTCTGTGGACGACGCAGTTAACATGGCCCTCCACTTCACCCTACAGTACCTGGACTCCCCAGCAACCTACGCCAGGATCCTGTTTGTGGACTTCAACTCTGCTTTCAACACCATCATCCCTGCCCTGCTTCAGGACAAGCTCTCCCAGCTGAACGTGCCCGACTCCACCTGCAGGTGGATCACAGACTTCCTGTCTGACAGGAAGCAGTGGGTTAGGCTGGGAACACGAGTCTCTGACTCCCGGTCCATCAGCACCGGATCTCCTCAGGGCTGCGTCCTTTCCCCTCTGCTCTTGTACACCAACAGCTGCACCTCCAGTCATCCCTCCGTCAAACTCTTTAAGTTTGCGGACGACACCACCATCATTGGGCTCATCTCTGGTGGGGATGAGTCTGAGTATAGGTGGGAAGCTGACAACCTGGTGACCTGGAGTAGCCATAACAACTTAGAGCTTAATGCTCTTAAGACAGTGGAGATGGTTGTGGACTTCAGGAAGAATACAGCCCCACTCACCCCCATCACCCTGTACGACTCCCCAGTCAACACTGTGGAGTCCTTCTGCTTCCTGGGCACTATCCTCTCCCAGGACCTCAAGTGAGAACTGAACATCAGCTCCCTCATAAAGAGAGCACAACAGAGGATGTATTTCCTACGGCAGCTGAAGAAATTCGACCTGCCAAAGACAATGATGGTGCACTTCTACACAACCATCATTGAGTCCATCCTCACCTCCTCCATCACCATCTGGTATGCTGCTACCACTGCAAAGGACAAGAACAGACTGCAGTGTATCATCCGCACTGCTTAGAAGGCGATTGGCTGCAATCTGCCTACCCTCGAGGACCTGTACACCTTGAGGACCTTGAGGCGAGCGAGGGAGATTGTGGCCGACTCCTCCCACCCTGGACACTCTCTGTTCCAGCTACTCCCCTCCGGTAAAATGCTGTGGTCCATCAGGACCAAAACCTCACGCCACAAAAACAGTTTCTTCCCATCCGCTGCTGGCCTCTTCAACAAGGCCAGGGGCTCAAACTGACTTTAACGCTCAAACTGATTTTAACACAATATCTGCACAATGACACCCTGCTATATTTGCACTATGTTACACTATTTGCATTTTTGTAATTTTATATTGTATATTATAGCTATTGTATATTTTAGATTTTATTTTATTAAATTTTTACATACTTTAGCTCTTTAGTATTAGTTAGACTTGTACGTTTAGTATAGTTAGACTTGTAAACCACTTATTTAAGATTTAAGATTTCTATATGTTGAATGTATGCACCTTCCGGCCAAAGTAAATTCCTTGTCTGTGCGAACTTTCATGGCGAATAAAACCCTTTCTGATTCATATTGGATCATTCTCAGCAGGAAAGTTACCGCAACCCCCACGTTACAGACAGACGGACGAACGGCCAGACAGAGTTAATGCAGGACTGCTTTCACTCTCCGTTGGAGGTAAATATCCGAGAGGAGCCCGTGCGGCCGAGTGCAGGAAGCTGCCATTAGGCTTGTCCGGCCGCGATGCGTCTGATCCATGCGTGGCACCCACCTGCGGGTTGGGCGGATGCATCCAGCTCCACAGGTTCAGCGTGGCGAGGTAGCCGTGGGGCAGGCAGACCGTGTTCACGTCGGGGCGCATGCTCGCGTGGAGCGCGCAGACCAGCACCAACTGCAGCTCCGCCATCATCGCCGTGTTGGCCACGCTTGGCGCCAGGCTGCTGCTGCGACCCTGCCGCGTCTTGATCAGGTTGTGGAAGCGGTAGAAGGCGTGAGTCGAGCCCTGCACATCTCCCTGCGCAAATGCCTTCTCCACCGATTCCGTGAAGAGGTTGAAAAAGCTGGTGTAGCGTCCATTGCGCAGGACGACCATGCCGGCACTACCCGGCTCTGGCCTCTTCTGCTCGACGCGCCGGTAAAATGCTTCTTCTTCGGCACGCAGGAGTCTGCCGGGCTCCGTCGGAGAATTGACGGCGCGCGCCGCGCAGTACATTTTTAACCAAAGGTCGGTCGATTCCCTCCGGCTCTTCTCCCTGTGGGAGCCGACTTCTCGCGCCATGAGCTTGTGCATCACAGAGCTGACATGAGGGTTGCTCCGTATAGGTGCCAGGATGTCCCTGCAGGACGCCGGGTTTTCGGACAGCCCTCGCAGGTGGAAATGGCTGGGAAAAAGCAGGGCGAGGAGGTCCTCGCAGTCAGCCAACTCTGGCTTGGGAAGGAGCGCCTCTACAAACTTTGCCGCTTCGGGTCTCTGGGACTTTAGTTGCGGGACCACTTTCAGGAGAATTCCAGACAGCGTCACCAGGTGAACTTTGCTTGCCACCAACGTTTTCAATTCCGCCCTGCCGGCTGCACCGTGCATGTCGCGGCAATCTTGGAGCGGGCACGCTCTTCCCGTCAAGTGGCGCCTGCAGATGCTCGGCGTCTCACGTGCGCGGGAATCCGCCGCTCGGACGAGGCGCTCGCAGTGATCCAGCAGATGCTGCGCGAGGACATCGTCTGCCTTGGGCGTGGGTACGCACGGCTCACCGTCGCCGTGCCTCGAGCCGGCAGGGACGTCAAGGAACCTGGCGCCCTCGTGCCTCAACACTCTGCAGGTCTTCTCGCTCCGGCTCAGGCCGTAAAACTCGCAGCTCTTTGCCAGCCACTCCTCTTGATGAGCCGTGGCCTTCTCCGAGCTCGCGCCGCCGAGGAACCTCACCACGAGCTGCAGCAGAGGCTGCAGCACCTTGAGTATTTTGGGGATGACGTGGGGCGACCCCCCGCTCTCAACGTCCAGCAAAGCCACGGTCGCTTCGGCAGCACCTACAACCACGTCGGCCTTGAGGAAGAGCGTAATTGCTTCATGCAAGAGATTTTCGTCACTTTCCAACTTCCCAAGCATGTAGCACGCTTCAGCTTTCCCACTCACAAAGTTGTTATTCTCGCACGTTTCCCTCACGCTCTGGAGCTCTGCTTTTATTTCGCTCTGCTGCCCACGCAAAGCTTCCTCCTCTCCCTCCTCTCCCTCGTCTTGTCGGCTTGCGCGTGCCCACAACGCCTGCACCGCAGCACGAGCCTTCGCCAGGAGGCACTCGGCAGCAAATTGGCTCCCAGGCCTGGCGAGCTGCAACGCGTCGGTAATCATCCCATGTTTTCGAAGCATCTTCCCAGCCTCTTCCACTCTCCCCCTCTGCTTGAGGAGGGCGATGGTCTGGGCCAAAAAGTTGTTCATCTTGAGGAAGGCAAGTCGCTCCTCGAAGGGAACGCGGGACAGCGAGCGCATCATCGCGTCCTCGTCGCCCTGCTTCACGTGATGCCTGGCGGCCATGAAGCGGAGCTCGCGCCACTTCCACGGAAAGTCAGGGACGAGGCCTCCGTCGGGGCTCTGCTCGGCCTCACACCTGGGCGCACACACCGTGGGGAGGGGGGGTGGGGAGGCCCATGCCGTTCAACACTTTCAACGTAGGTCTGATATTGTTTTAATTCTCTACAGCACCTTCACCAAGGTGCCCAATGGCAATCATAAATAAAAGGTATTTTTTGGGTTAGGTCGCGTAAATATAAATGTGTCGTTAAGCCAGCCACCACCCGACACAGCCAATTAGTAAGGTTTGCCACGTAAACAGAACATACCAATTGGTTACTAGTACAACGATGTTTCACCAGGAATTACAACTAGCATCATCAGGCGACAGCCAGATTTGTGGAGAAATCCTCCTGTTTCACCTGATGATGCTGTACTAGTGTAGTGGTTTAACGTGTGCCAAGGGGGGTAATTGTAAACACGTGTGGGCTGGAAATAGTGGGGTCGTACCGGGACAGGCTGGTGTTGCTGGGGGACAACGGAGGAGACGGAGATGGCCCATTAGGCAATTATGGATGCAGGGCAGTGATTGGCTGGTTGTTGTTGTCAGGGACAGGGTGGCGCCTCTAAGTCTGGGAATGGGGACAGGTGGCGGCGGGGGCCGCGGGTGCAGGGCGTCGGGGGGGGGGGGGGGACGCTGGTTAATTAATTGGAAATTAATGAGGGGGATAAATAGGGGAGCGTCAGAGTGAGACGGGGAGTTCTGCTGGGAGCTGGACGGAGTCGGTCGGAGCAGAGGAAGAAGAAGCGTAGAGTAGCAGTAGAGCAGAAGAAGTGTAGGGTAGCAGTGGAGTAGAAGAAGAAGTATAGGGTAGCAGTAGAGACGGAGAATCTGAACGAGAGAAACAGTCGGAGTGAGACGGAGAAGCCGAGAGAAAGCGACGGCTGGAGTGGGACGGAGAAGCAGAGAGGGGAGTCGAGAGAGACGGAGAGAGAGGGAGGAACGGAGCGAGCGAGGCCGGCGGAGCGCGGCGAGCGAGCGGAGAACACGTTGGAGAATGGTGGCGAAAATGTGCTGAGTTGGATAAAATAAAGTGACGATAGAAAAGGAAGAAGTTGTCCACGTAAAGTTCAGCACTACACTAGTAACGAATTGGCATGTTCTGTTTCCGTGACAAACATTACTAATTGGCTGTGTCGGGTGGTGTCGGGTTTAACGACACATTTATATTTAAACGATCTAACCCAAAAAAAACCTGGATTATGGATGATATTGGTCGTGAAAGCCTGTGTTAAACTGGAAATCGAATGGTGCGATGAGATGAGTTGATGAGTAGTATGTGAATATGATGATGAGTGAAATAAAAGATGATGAAAGTGGCAATCTGTAGTTGATGAGTGAGTATGATGAATGGGTAGGGAAGTTGGGAAGAAAGACTGTGTAAAAGATGGGGAATGGAGGGGGAAGGGGAGTTGGGGTAAGCAAGGGAATATTAGTGATTTTTTAGGGAAGAGTGAAAAATAGTGATGCTGATTGTTTGACGATAATGCACAACCATGGTTTCTCAATTATATAACCGTAAAAACGCCAAACAATCTCTTAGAAAATTAACGAACTGTATAACTATTAGAATAACTGACGTAGCGCCAAAATTGAAGCGTACAGATCACGTAACAATACAACGAGGATGACGACGGTGGGTTGTCATACATCTTCAACATGCAAAGAGGGCAACCGGGTTACGCAGACCAAAGTCGCACAATTGAAATGCAACCTGAGGCACGGGTGGAGTACATACCGTTCAATGAGCCTCGCAGCCTCGTCATAGCACGAGCTCTTCATATACCACCTGACTGCCTCTTGCACCTACTCGCACACGTGCAGCACGCGAGCACGAGGTCAACACGAGGCAGTCCCGACAGCGCGCGCTGCTGCTGCTATCCTCGCATCATGTCAAATAGACAGCAGCAAAGACAACGCCACACGACTGCGGCTGACGACGAGGCTGTACAAACCTTCCTTTCTCTGGTCACGGCGATCGTACGCTGTAGAGTTTGTCTCACGTCCTCCACCTTTGTATCGCCAATCCACCTGTTGGCGTGGAGGGCCTCTACTTATTGATCCCTCCACGTGGCAGTGCGGAGCAGCTGATGCCAGTGATTTGTTGGCCCTCATTCTCTTTAACACGCCCAAGCCAGACGAGTTGAGTGTCTTTTGCGTTCAAGTGTCCTGCTGGACCAGCTTTTTTGTCATCCTTTGGTCTTACAGAACGGCCGAGGAAGTAGATAACATAGAACTTCATCAAGTGGCCTACAGGCTACACACTGTCGGAGTCGCACTTTCCCTGTCTGCCCAGCCACCGAGAGTAATGTTGTCGCGTGACAGTCACACCGATATTTTGAATTCTCAGGAGCTGTCAACATTCCTGCAGAACCAAATATAACACGATGATGTTTGTTGTGCAGTCATTGGGCGACCGTGCCGAGACCATCGACTTGCTACACTTGAGAAGCTGCTTTATTCACAGGTGGCTGCAACCCGGATTCGAAGAATTCAGTTCTTCTCAGCGGTGGCCATCACAGCGTTCGGACCTCTGAGCCACCCGGCCACTTCGCCCTAACCCCGTATCATTAACGAGGCTTCAGCTCGTGCCAGACAGCTCGGGATAGGCAACACTCAGTTAGCACATGATAAAAAGCCACACGTCCTTCAGGCCGTGCCTCTTGCTTTGCTTTGCAATTGTCGTGATATCAATAACGGGGCAGATCCAATGTCGTAGCTTATAATACGGGCGACGTACTCAAGATGATGAATAACATTTACAGGCGTGTGATGAAAGATGGTAATGGAATGGGGGGGGGGGGTAATGCCGGAGGCTCACCTTGCCGAGACGCTCGCACAGCCTGCCGCAGAGGGGGTAGCTCTTTGCGTTCTGCAGGCACTTGAGCACCATGTGGGGCAGGCCACACTCGAGGTACGTTTTGGCCAGGGTAAGGTAGTCCTGGGCCTTGCTGCTCGCAACACGCGCACAGCAGCAGCAGAGGGGGGCGTCGTTGCATACCGAGAGCCGCCATTTGCCGAGAAGCGGCAACATTCTGTGGTGCTCATGCCTGGCTAGATACCCCTTAAAGTAATGGGCAGTGACAAAGGCTTGCAAGTTAGACCACAGTGTAATGTGCGTCCCATTGTTTAAACAAAACAAAATATCATCACCGGCTACGTTCTATCAACTGTTAAATTAAGACCTCCCCGAGCCGCCGCCATCCCTCATTGTCTAACAATGCAACAATTCAACAGCTCCTGCACAAAAGCCGGTAATCATGGCTCCATCTCCACGGTGGTCGTCCTTCCCGGCATTGCATTCTACCCGGGCCAACTTACTCTTTTCAGGTCAACATGACATCTCAGATTTTTGTCTATTCTCTGATCTATGCGTTTTCCTTTTCGTCTCTCAGTGTAATTCCCCTCATGCACCTCTGCACACTTCTTTGTGCCTTTCGCAAAAATATTCTTGGTGAGCGTCCACACTTCAAATCCACATCACTGCCGCCGGTGATGTGGATTGGGAAGCGTGGACCGACTCACAGGTGGCACGGACCGGCTTCCCCAGGCACTCTTCCTCAGGTGCCGTCGATACTCGCTTCTCACTATCGAGCGCCAACCCCCATCCTCCGCGCCAGTGCCGGCATGAGCAAGGCAGCCCGTGGCTGGCGCCGCGAGGGAGCAGCGCGGCGCAGGTGCGGCCGTACCGAGGGCTCCATCCGCTGCTCTGCATGCGTAGCACGGTATCGTGAGCCAGCGCGAGCTTCTCCTTTACCGCATCCCCACCCTTGTGGTAGCACTTGGCTGCCACCTGCACACAAAGACAAAGATCCCCCCCATACAGCCTTAACAGACTGTTGGGCGAGTGCTGTTTGCGAGCACCTTTGAAGGCCTGTACGGCGCACGAGAGGCTGGTGCTATAATGCTGGTTCCTTGTCCTGGAGGAAACTTCCTGCGTGGATAAACCCATATACGGAAATAAGATGTTTGTTTGCATGTATTATCACACGTATTTGTGATTCCTTGTAACCTGGTGTCTATTTTGTGTTTTAAAATATTAACACCACCTGTATAATGCCAGAAAGGGTAAAACATTTTTTATCATCTGAAAACTGGCAAAAGGGTCCCATGGAAATGTGTTTATCTCTGCTATGTTCTGAGTGGGTCACCTCTGCCAAAGGCTTGAGGTTTGAGTTCCAAGATGTTAAAACCTCGCCTGGGATACAGGAGGTTGTGGGTTCAATCCTGACCCTGATGGAGTTTGCATGTCTCTCTCTCCTCGTGGTCGCATGGAATTTTCTCTGGGTACTCCGATTTTTGCCTCCACATTTATAAATACGCGTAACAGTATTTTGCTGCTAGATTATCCACTGCATTGACCTTTGATTTGTGGCTAGGTTGCTTCTGAAAAAAGAGCTCTATAACTCAATGGGCCTTACCCTGGTAAAATAAAACAAGTTTAGTTTAGTTAAATAGGTAACCGTGTATTCAATAACAAACACTTGCAAGCGATGGCTCCACTGCCACACTCAGGCCCAGGTGTCCAGAGCGAGCTGTCTCGGCACTCACCTTCCAGCGACGATGCTTGAAGAAGTAATCTCCCCGAGCGTTCCACTCCTCCGGCGTGGAAGAGCGCACAAAGATACCATCATCCAGGGCTGCAGGACAAAAGACAAAGGTCTCCCATATAGCCTTAACAGACTGTTGAGGAAAGTGCTGTTAAGCGAGCTAAATCTTAAAATGAGAGGAGAGAGGTAAGAGGTTGCGTGGAGGGAAGTGGGGTTAGATGAGAGGGGAGAGGCAGGAGAGTGCTTGGAGAGGAGTAAAGGGAGATGAGAGGCAGGAGAGTGTTTGGAGGAAAGTGGAGTAAGATGAGAAGGGAGAGGCAGGAGAGGACATGGAAGTGAGTAGGGTGAGATGAGAGGGGAGAGGCAGGAAAGTACATGGAGATGAGTAGGGTGAGATGAGAGGGAAGAGGTAGGTGAGTGCTTGGAGGGGAGTGAGATGAGAGGGGAGAGGCAGGAGAATGGGGAGGGGCGTGGAGTGAGACGAGTGGTAGTCAGGGCTGAATCCATGGAGGCTCTTGGGAGAGGTAGGATAGTGCGTGCGCGAGTTGGATGAGTGATCGGCTCGAGAGCCGGCGGAGCGTTATGGCCGAAGCAGTGACGCGAGTCGCCACCCACCTTCTTCTTCGCCCGGGGTGGTACGGACAAGTGAGACGAGGTTCCTCCTGACGAGGTAGCGGAACATGGGCGTGCGCTTTTCTTTGTGGTCATCAAACACCCACAGGTTGACCCGGGCGCGCGTGACCGCCGTGTACAGGTGCTTGAGCTCGCTGATCAGCACCTGGGGAAATACGGTGCGGTGAGCTGGGCGCCCGCGTCCGGGTCACCACATGGCCTCGGCGAAGCCTCCTCGCAAGTGAAACCCTGCCGCTCGTTGTAGCCACCACCCTCTGCAGTGTGTGTGACAAACCGAGCCTGTGAAAACCCAGTACACGTATGTATGTTGAACGTTTTTCACACTGTACGTAGCCAATCACCCTCATCGGAGGTGAATGGGAAGGACAACAAACTAAACACAAAAAGAAGTTCTAAAGAATTTTTTTTAAAATTTAAATTGAAAGTGCATAGTTCAGTGGCTTCCTAACATCAGAAGGAAGAGCGTTTCAGACAGCTGCAAAGGCCGCTGTGAGGATGACCGGAGTTTGTGTGATGGTTTATGCTCATTGACGAGATCAGCAAGATTTTTATACAAACTATTCTAGTTTGTCAATTTTCATTAGGATAAAAAAATAAACCGCCAATTTTGATTCAGGGATTCTTCAAATGCCTTTAATCAAGTAATGTTGATCATGACAATGGTTTGCGTTTGACAGAGTGCCACCCTCCTGTATGCTGGGTCTTCCCAGAGCAGTTTAAATCTTACATCTCATCTCAACACATTCGAAAGGGCACTCCCAGTGGCAGCTGTCCCCTGGGGGCACAAGGTGCCTCAGCACTTGACCTGCCAACAGGCATGAGTCTGCCAGTCGGGGGCAATGATTATTGCCACGTGTAATCGCCACAGAGTAATCGCCTGGAAAATGCTCAATCTCATCAGTTATAATAAGCTAAGCTGGTTTGGGCCTTGCTAGTGCTTCCATGTGTCACCGCCATGCATAACACGTGTTTGGAGGCTGCGGAGCTCCGTTATGGGCAGCAGAGGGAGGTGTAGCATCTATTGCTATACTGATACTACACTTCCATGCTCCCACGTCTACGCTCCCCGACTTCACCAACCCACATTGACCAGCGTGGTGAAGTATGGTCAAATCACCCCCACAGCTCGCCTGGCATGGGGAGGCCCTCATCCGGCAGCGGAGTGACAAAACAGCTGAACGTGTGCACGTGCACAAGGGTTCAAGTGCAGCTCCGAAGTCGACTCGGGTTTATGAATGTCAGGTTCCGTGGAGGGGGCCTGTGGGGGCGAACGCTTGGCACGGTTAGCGGTGTTGGTGGAGCAGGCTTGGTGGGGATAGACTGTGCAGCAGCAACGACATGAATAACCGGACGACACGTCCCATTCACAGATCTGTGCCGCCATATGGAAAATAAAATAACTTTTAAAAACTTCCTGTCTACCATAAGGCACTCTGGAATGCATGATCTGAGCAGCATTGCGTGACAAGGAATGTGAGAAGTACTTTCACGTGGAGGACAGATGTGTGGGTGCCACAGTGGTGAGATGTTAACTATCTCACCTGCTATACAAAAGGTCATGGGTTCCATCCCAACCCTAGTACCTGTATATTTGGAGTTTGCATGTTCTCCTCGTGGTCACGTGGATTTTTCTCCGGGTCAATATTTAGAAACATGCATTTAGAGTATTTGGCTGAGAAAAAAAAATCCACATCATAAGCTACTTCACTGAGCTATCATTTGTGGCCAGGCTGCTTCTGAAAAAGAGCAATATAGCTCAGTGGCCTTGCCTGGTAAAACCTATTTACATTTTTGTTTAAATGTTGATACTGCTCAACCTGAGCTATAAGTGCTCTGTTACTTGCATTGTCTTTGTACTGTTCGCCTTTAGACATTCTCTGGTCTAATACCGGTGGTGAGACAAGGCCATGAAAAAGGCGGTCTCTGGTGTCGGACAATCAGTTTCAAAGACAATGTGTTTATTATCAGAGGATGTTTGTTTTCGTGTTTTGCCACAAGTACGTGTGGTTAATGCAGACTTGATGCCTTGCAAAATGTATCTATTTGTTGTTTGAACATCTTAACACCTGTTTTATTTCCAAAAAGGGTAAAACCTTTTCTTATTTTTAATTATGTAAAAAAAATGTTTAAAGATTAATGAAGGAGAGGTATCGTCTGCTTGTTTGCATTGTGCAGCGGTAGCTGGCAGACAGCGAGCGACTGCGAGTGAGGAGCCGACCTTGTGGGCAATGGAGTCAAAGTTGAGAGGGCGTGAGCAGGGCAGTACTTCCTCCAGCAACACCTCCTGGAGCAGCTGCGGTGAGGGCACGGCGCTGGCATCGTTGCGGGCAGGCGCCTCGTACGAGTTCACCACTCGCCACTCCTTGGTTGCCTGCACTCGCCAATCGCGGGCATAAAGAACACGGCCGGGGTGAAGGTACAAGTCGTATTGGTGGTGGGATGCATGCAAGTGAGACGCCGCGAGAGAATGAGATGAGCGGAGAGAGTTCAGCTGGTGTGACCACAAGGACGGTGAAGATGTGCCAGGACATAATGGCTGCAAGCTGAAATCACTGAGGAGTCCCCTGACAAGGACGGAAGGTGGCATATTGGGGACACATGCAAGGCGGCTCGCAGCTCAAAATATGATGGAAATGATACAGCAGGAGAAGGGGGGGGGGCAAGAGAAAGGCAGAAAATGGTCGGTGGGACAATGCGAGACAGTCGGACTAGATTCTTCACTGAAGAGTGCAAGAGGTAGAAATAGACTGGACATCTGTGAAGTAGAGCTTCATAGCTCATCAGATTCCTCCTGCAGTCTACATAAAGATTCTGATTCTGATTAAAACCAGGATTTGCAATGTCACCCGGCCACCTGCTGTGGAGGTGGCCAGTCGTTACGGCAAATTGGTCGTCATGGCAAGCTGGTCGTCATTTGGGTAAATTGGTCGTTTTTGGTAAATTGTTCGTGATGACAAGTTGGTGGTTGTGGTATGTTTCTTGTAAGTTTGTCATTGTTGTAAGTGGGATGGTAAATAGGGAATTGCACCAAGCGGAGGCCATGGGGGAGCTTGCCTCTGAGTCGGAGAAAAAGTTGTAGAGGAGGACGTCGTCGAACTCCAGCCCCTTGGCCTCGTAGATGGTGAGCACCAGGCCCAGGCTCAGCTCCTCTGGGAGATGCTCCTTGGCTTTCTCATTACAAACCAGGATCACCTGTTACGCACAAAAGGCAAAGGTACCCTGTGTGGCGTACGCAGACTATTGGGGCAAGTGCTATTGGCAAGCACCTGCAAAGGGCCGGCACTGAGCACGAGGGGGGTGGTGGTTAGCACCACGCCCGGCTGCCTTTGTTTCCCCAGCGATGTTTACACACCGCACAAGATAGTCCTTGAAGGCTCAATCGACCCAGGGGAAGCCCACAACCAGTTAATGTATTCGTTAATTGATGTAGCTGCTATCCACTACGCCGTGCGTGTTTACCTGTGTAATTACTCACAAGCAGATAATATTATGCGCGGCATGTAGACTAACCCTAACCTGCACGAAGCACTCCTTACACTCGAGTACGGGCTCGGTTTGGAACTGTGAGGCTAGATCTTAACACGTACAGTGCGAAAGAAGTTCAACATACATACATCTAGAGGATATTCGTTAACAAAACGTTCGGCCCATTACTTAAATGAGGGTGCCTTGCGCTTCGTATGCGAGTATAAAGCTAAGACACGTACAAACCGGCATTGCTAACTGGTAACTAATCCGCTAACCGGTTTAAGCATCGATTACTGGTTATGAAAGTCTAGGAACCAGTAACCGATTCCAATTGAACTTTTAAGTCAGTCATGAATGCACCGATTGGCGCACACGTACAAATGGCACGGCGGCCTAGATCACCCCTTGGTTACATTTGTCCTAGTTACTGGGTTGAAAAAAGATAGAGGGGCAGCCCTGCAATTGCTTTATTGCTCATTACACTACTGGCAGAAGGGCCTCCAATAGAGGGTATTTGGCATTGTCTCCTAAGCTAACGTCTTGGAAGAAGGAGGCGTACCCCCTCACTTTATCCCACCACGCGTAACCTGCTAACCGACTGCGGTGAGCCTGTGTATATTGCAGGGTGGATAGTGGGGTGGAGGAATTTTAAAAACCTGCTCAATTGTTACAGCTGCTGTGCCCAGAACCAACGACCGCTGGATTGCAAGTCCAGTGTGCTGCCTAGGACACCGCTGTGGCAGATCCTAAGTTGAAAAGGTTCCGTTTACTGCTGCAGATTTCTACACGTGCGTAAAAACGGTTTATACCGGTTTTATGCGGATTACCGATGACTCAAACAAAGCCGACCTCTACCGCCCAATCCCAAACAAACCTGGTGCGCCCCGAACTCTATGGGCTGGGCGCGGCGCTGGTGGCCGCGCAGCAGGATGGCCAGGTCCTCGGAGCTGCACGAGTCGAGCAGGATGGGCCGCGGCCCCGGGAACAGCCCCTGGTCCCGTGGCAGCCAGTCTAGCGACTCTGGGAAGAAGTGCTGGAGCAAGTCCACAATGCTGGAGGCAAATTCCAGGATGCCTGCCGCGAGGACACAAGGACACGGAGAGGACGGAGCGGTGGTGGTTACAGAGGGGATCGTGTAGGCCACAGGTTAACAGACCAAGTGTTTTACTTGTGGTCCCACCTGAGAAGGCACGGCTTGACTTGTGCCAAGGTTGTTGCGTTTTTAATAGTATTACTATAACCTACAATACACAAGTGTGCTGTAACTAATTGGCACGTTTTGTTTACGTGACAAACCTTACCAATTTGCTGTCGGGTGGTGGTGGGTTTAATGACACATTTTCATATTTACGCAATCTAACCTAAAAAAGAAATGTATTTTGGATAATAATGGTTGCGAAAGCAACCCGACTAGTTTTGCTCCCAGCTGCATTCGCAGAAGGGCGGTGGTATATGGCAAAAAGGGGCCTTCCCCAAAAATATAGCGGATTAATTAGATACCGGTTCAGAGCCCGAGTCCAATCAGCTCACTCAAGCCGACTCTGCCCCATGGACCACGGAGAGTCTGCAGACCGGACCTCAATGGTAGCGACAGCGGCTCAGCATGCCTCCCGCCTGGCCCCCCAGGCGCACATCTGCACGTGGTCATGGGCGCTCACCCGAGTGCGAGCGGTAGTTCTGGCAGAGCTCGTAGAGACGCTTGGGCTTGCGCACGTCAATGCGCGAGTGATGCGTCGTGGCGCCGCCACCTGGCGGGAGGCTTGCGAAGTGGAAGAGCGAGCGCAGCTCACTGAAGCGGAAGGCCACGCCGCGCATGATGCTCTGGGCCGTGTCCCCCGTGAGAAACATGGCATTGGGGTCAGCACAGCAGCGCATGAGCAACGCCAATTCGGCCTGCACACGGGACACGGGGGTGGTGGGGGGGGGGCGAAGGGGGGTGGCGGTCGCAGACGACGGTGCTCGTCAATCAGCACCACTTTGCCGTGGTCTCTCCACCATGAACGTCCTCCCGCTGTTGGGCAAACGCCTTCCGCCAGTGTCGGCCGCTCTTCACCTTCACTTCTACAAATCATGTTGTCTCCCGCTTTCTCCTTTGCCTTCTAATCTGCCGTTAGTCTCGCCTGTCTGTCACCTGACATCCTAGCTAGATGTCCTGCCCAGGTCTATTTCAGCGTTTTTATTTTGTAGAATACATTTGTCATGCACTTTTTGATTCTCAAGTGTTGATTCACACTTTGGTCCGTCGCTCCTGGTTATGTTCACTAATGGCGTGCTGTACCTCCCTACCTTGTTATTTAGTTATGGACCTGGTTGGTGCTCTGTGGGTCACTTTGGTGAAATACAACAATCCATACATGCACAATGCACATGGTCTAGAAATGGTTATTTTTCAGATTCAAGAATTTTGGATTCTTGCATTTTTATTACCATTTTGAACATTTAGGGGATTTTAGGATTTTTGGGCGATAAACATTAAGCAATAATTATTAAACGCGTCTTCGTGCGAACAAAAGTGACATCGCCCAATGCCACGCGAGGCTACTTTTGGTGAGAAAAAAATGAAGTGACATCATTTCCTGTAACGTCATACTTTTGGATTAATCCGAATTCAAACAAACAATTCTGATCGTCCGAATTTCTTATCTAGGTCCAATTTTCACATTTTTCTGATTTATCTGAAAATCAGGAACACATCCCCAATGTGCCCTGAGATCTGAACATCTGTAAAAAAGAGATTTATAGTTCATCAGATTCCTCCAGTGTAACTAAATGTTCTGATTCTGATCGACTTAACACATGCACCGACACGGTTGATTTTGCACCTGCGTAAAGTCCTGGATCTCGTCCCCGTAGAGCTCATGTATTGACCAAGGCATGACCTCGAGCTGGCAGAGGCGAGAGTAGATGTGGAACACCAGATCCTCCTCGTCAAAGAAGCACCTCTGGGACTTGACGTGCTGGTAGGCGCGGAACAGCTGATGCACCTCGCCACGGTCCCCGGTGAAGTTGGGCGCCCGCTTCTGGCCCAGCTCCTTATAGTGCTCCAAACCGAGGACCCCGTTGGGGCTCTTGAGGGCCTCCATGGAGCCCTTTATGAAAGACTTGATCTCCATCCACACCATGGCAGGGTTATACGGGCTCTTCCCCTTCACCATGGCTGGCCAGATGTCGCTTGTGAAGACTTCGTACGTCACAAACTTTCTGGGGTCCTCTTTTTTGGATTCGTGAAATTTACCAATATCCGCCTGGTGGTCTTCCTCGTTGTCAGGATCCTCTTCCATCGCGTCTTCTGCATTATTGAGGTCCAAAATATCGTCGTCCATGGACCACCCATGGACGGCTTTCTTTAAGCTTCCATCTTCGTTCCTGGCAAAGAACGGGTTCGCGAGCGACGCATCGAGCAGCAGAAGGAGTTGTCGCGAGTTCAAGAAGAGCGGAAAGTTATCATCTTTGACGTCCTGGAGCCTGCACACGCTGCTGATGTTAATGGGCGAGTAGTGCCGGGTGCCGGCAGTAGATTTGGATAGTTCCACAAAGTTCCTTTGCACCTCGTGAGACAGCACTTGGTTCTTGGTGACGAACAGCTGATGAAGATGTTCATAAATTGGAGCAGCACCTTCCTCGGGCTGCTGACTTACAAGCTGTGTGGCACCGATCTCAGCGCCAGGTTCCAATAAATAATTTCCTCGGTCAATTTCGAAACGCTCTGAAGCATGGAGGCAAGCTTCCCGTTCCAGCTCACACGTCCCCTTTCGGCTGGAATCATCTACACAGCCGTTCTTCACAGGGCAGTCAAGGGCAACATTCTCCCTGGCTCCCACGTCGTCCGGCAACGGAGGCGGCGGAAGCACGGCCTTCGGGATCCACGGCTCTCCCAAGAGTGTGGTCGTCTGCCAATACCTGTCGAACATGTTCCACAGCCGGTACATCAGGCACGTGGTCTTGCCGGTACCCGAGCGGCCAATGAGGATGATGGCTTCCAAGGGCGTGGGGTTCAGGTTGATGACCGCGTGCTCCAGCTCTCCCACGCGGAATGGGTATTCGATCGTCTGCTCGGGGCAGCGCAGGACGTTGAGCGCCACGGTCGTGCTGAAGGTGTGGAACTTCATGATGTTGTACTCAGTCTCCATCGTGCTCGCTGGAGGAAAGTAATCTCGGGCTTCTGCTGTCACGGGCTGGGCACCATCAGAGCTGCCGGTCTTGACGAAGAGCAGCGGATACCTCTGCCGCACGTTCTGCTGCGAGGGGAACGATGCCCGCTCGATGCCCTTCAGCTTGTGGTGGAGCAAGCAGGATGTCCCGCGGTTGTAGGAGGAAATTATCCTCTTTATTCTGTGGTCGAGTTGCTTGTGCTCAAGGACAATGTCCCAAATGCGGATGATCTCGCTGTAGACTTCTCCAGTCTTTTCTCCTGAAGTAGACTCTTCAGAATCGATGATTTTCTCGGGCTCGGCACTGCAACGTGGCGAAAAGTCGATTGCCAATTCCCAAAGCAGCCTGGCAGCCTTGTCTAACCTGGCCTCAAACAGCCTGATCTCGCTGGACTCGGCGATGCCTTTCACTTGCTTGATGCGGTGAAGGTGCCAGTCACCGTTGCCAAGCGAGTAAATCACCCTTACGATCTTCCTCTTCGTGGTGTGCGGGAGGCTCTTATCGTTGAGAATTCTGAGGGCATCGCGGGTGCACTCGATCTCCCAGGTCAGCGAGTTGAAGTCAGGACCCGCCACGCTGTCGTCACCATCGTCATCGTCCCCTACACTGTTCTCATCACGTGCATTTTCACCGTCGGACAAACTGTACGTTTCATCAAGTGCATCCGGAAGCTCCTGCCTCGGTGGCGTATGCTGCGGAGGCTGCGGCGGCTGCGGCGGGGCGCTTCCGCCAGCTTGGCGTTCGGCGACACTCAAAGGCGACTCCGTGACTGTTGGCGCAGGAGACCTTGGCTCCGCAGATTTTGCCGTCTGCATCTTCACAGGATCGTATTCTTCAATGAGATCTTCAATTTCTCGGGCCAAAGCATCTCTGGCCAAACTGACCACATCCTTCTTCAGAGCATCCACTTTTTCCACGTCGTCTCCAGCGTCATCATCATCCTCCTCGACTGTTTCATCCACAAAATCAGAGGATGCCTCGGGCCCGGCCTCCGTCTTGGCGTGCGTGCCGTTGCGCTCCGGCGGGCGCTTGCGTCTCCTGCCGTCGCGTCCCTTTCTGCTGTTGCCTTTCTGCTTGCAGGCCATGCTATTCCACATCTGCATGCGGGGGTCTTTCTGCTTGATGCCCCAGAATGCGTGCCTCCCTTCCTTGTTTTGGCACGTGTGATCGATGCGGTACGAGGCGAGCGAGCGCAGTATCTCATTGTGGTGCTTTGAATGCGGCAAAGAGAAGACGAGGTGCAGCAGGGAGTTGCCATCTGCGTCCCTCACATTGACATTCGGGGCTTTCTCCAAAAGCAACTTCAGAATGTGCAGCCCCTCTTCGTCTGGAAAAAAAAACAGTGCAAAAAAATATAAAGCAGGTCCTGAAATGCGGCTCTACACTAATCGCCCAGAGTGCGCCCGATCTCGTCGGTTCTCGCAAGCTCAGTAGGACTGAGCCTGCAATGGGGCCAGGTTGCAAACAACATGCCGACCAGGTTGTCGTAGACGGCTGCGGGACTGCGATGTGGTGGTCAGGAGAAGGCAGTGTGGCAAATCCACTATTGTACTGTGTTCATCTTCTTGGTTCTTTCGGTAAAATCACGTAGAAGGGAAGTAATACAATAATAAAAATAAAACATAATAAAATCATTCTCACGACGTTTCGGCCACAACGCAAGCAGCCGTCCTCAGGTGAAGACCAGGTCTGTTGGGGAGTCAGCGTCTGAATGAAACACCACCACACTTGGAGCGTATATTTAAGCTGGGTTGGAAGGGGGGAAGGGCGCCTTGACAAAAGAATTAGCATATCTTTCACTTGACGGTCAATGGTATAGTGTATAGCAGATTGTATAATAATAAATAGTATAAAATTGTAATGTTTAATACAATGTATAAGGCAATATATAGTATCATAATTGTATAGTGAATATACAGCAGTGTGATATACAGTAGGGTGGATAGAATAATACATAGTGTAATATTACACTATGTATTATTCTAAGGTATAGGGTGGTGTATAGTAATACAGTATATAATTTAATGTTGGGTTTGTCTATGGCAGCATATAGTACGGGGTAGACCCGTGTGATGTAAGGGAAAAAAGTTTAGCTGGAAGCATATTATAATTTTTGCGACATAGAATTGTAATGTATTACTTTCTGTTAGTAGCTCAGCTTATTGGAGAGTATATTTAGTATACTGATGATACTATGTAGTTTATACTTTAGTTTTATTTTTTTACGTGGTTTAGTTACTGCAACTACATACTATTAACATTCCTTCCCTTTATTAATGCTACCCCTATCCCCTCCCTTTGATGCTGCTAATCCTGCATAATGCACGGGCATAATATGACTTTGAAACCCCCCGCCCACCTCCTATGCATTTCACAAGTAGTACTAATCACATACCTGCATTTCCCATAAATATGCTAAATTCCTCTTGATATGCAAATTATTTTGTCAAGGCGCCCTTCCCCCCTTCCAACCCAGCTTAAATATACGCTCCAAGCATGGTGGTGTTTCATTCAGACACTGTCTCCCCGACAGACCTGGTCTTCACCTGAGAACGGCTGCTTGCGTTGTGGCCGAAACGTCGTGAGAATTATTTTATTATGTTTTATTTTTATTATTTTATTACTTCCCTTCTACGTGACTTTACCGAAAGAACCAAGAAGATGAATCCCTGCAGTCACGAAAGCTTGAAATCGAAATTTATTGTACTGTGCTTCTATGCTCCCGCGTCTATGCTCCCCGCCGCCTTCACCAACCCACACTCGCCAGTGCCTCGAACACTGGGCGAATAAAAGTCACGCTTGATGTCAACTTCGGCCACACTCCCAACTGTGCTTTGGCAGCTGTGCTTTAATAACTGTGCATTTGCTCATGTAATTTACCCTTGAATTGTATAATTTGGATATTATTCTGTTTTGTTAAGAGTTTATGCACGATTGAGTTTATGCCCGATTGTGTTTACTTGTGGTCGAGTTTACGTGCAATTAATTTATCCAGATATGTCATTTCCTCCGAAATCTTCCTTCATTGCCAAAACCCCCCCCGGCCTGGCCAGAACCATAGCTTTGTAGCTCATCGGGTCCTCCCAGCGAAAATACGGTTGTCAAGGTCCAAGGTCAAACAGTGCCCATGACCTGACGCTGCATGGGAGAGGCCCTCATCTGGCAGTGGATTGTCAAAAGGGCCACGCACAAAGTGCATAACATCATGACGATGCCAGCGGCGATGGTACGGTCATTAGAACGGTCGTGTTATGCAGGGAATATTCTCAGGCGGAGAAGCGAAGTCCAATTTGTACGTCTCACTTGGGGGCTACCACCCCCCGCTGACTCCCTGCCTTGTGTCCATGTCACCATCGAGCATGGCAGGCAGTGTCACCCTCTGCTGGGCGAGGGTGAAGGTGGATTCACCCTCGTCATCCCTTCCCGCCCGCTTGGTATCCAATTACAAATCTTCCAATTGTGCGGCATCTGGAGACAGCGGTCATGCAATTTAGTGCCTCGCGACTGCAAGCTGTTGTTGGATACGGTTGGGGTGGATGGGGTGTGGGGGGGGGGGGAGTAGGGTTGGGGCACCTCTCCTAGAGCAGGCGATGTTGAGGGCGGCATGCAGCGGCGTGTCCCCGTGCACAAGGGACAGCCAGGCCGGGTCGGCGCCGTGCTCCAGCAGCAGGCGCGCGATGGCGATCTCCCCGTGCAGCACGCACAGCGGCAGCTCCTTGCGCCCGTTCACCCGCACTGCAACATCAACAGCCGCACCTCCGATTGGCACGGTTGGCTACGCGCGGCGCAAAAGCAGTTCAACATTGTACGTACGATTTTACAGCCACCGCACGCTTCACCCACTCGCCATGGCCGCACCGTTGGCGGCAAGAAGTGAGGCTTCTTAGCCAGCAGCAAGAGGCAGGAGCAGATGAGTGAATGCAGCCAGAAACTCCCACGAGCCTTGTCTCTGGAACCCCATGTCGTTTTTAACTCACAGGGTAAAAATCTTTGGATTTTGTTGCCGTCGTATATCTCCAATTTTATGTAAACTGCATGATAGAGAATGGCCCACAAAACAGATCACCGAGCTACAGTTGAGATCCCTTCAAGGGACTCCTGTTCCACACAATTGTGGGCAGCTCTTTTACACTCACTGAAACTGATACATATAGATGATAAGGCCGAGACCATAAAACATCTACACTTGAGAACTTGGTTTTTTATCACTTTGACCTCTATAAGTCACCGGGCCAGCTTTTCACCGGTGACACGCACGCTGCACCACACGTTTCCAAGCACCACAAGCATTCACCTACACAAACCCACACATCCATGCACAAGTCCCCAACGCCACACAGTATTGCAAGCTGTGCACACAACACACTACTAGCACCAGCCTCACCCACTTCAGGTCTGGAAATATGATCTCTCCATGCTCTGTGACCAAATCACCCAGTGTATGTATGTATCTTGCACTTATTTCGCATCATACATAGCAAACCGTGATAATCAGAGATGCGGGGAAAGGACAATAAACTTAACACAAAAATCAGTTCTAAAGAAATTAGTTTTCAATCTAGATATAAAAGTGCATAGCTTTTCAGACTGGCCTGGCTTTGATGTTGATTGGCGTGGCTCTGCTGTCATTCACTTAGTGGGCCGAGTTTTCTGCGCAGGAGCAGTTATCACCGAGCACGTGCATCGGTCGGTCAATCGTTCGTATTCATTATAAATCGAAAGAATAACAATCGAAATCGTCAGTTGTGCTTCATTTAGAGGGATTTATCCGATCATTTATTTTGTGAGTTTAAATTTACGAAACTATTAGTGGTTTTGACATAGATCCGCGGAAAATTAATATTTTAGGATTATCCGTGATTTTGAATAATCCGTGACCGTCCTCCTCGTCATTAGCACAGATTACCAAGAGTCTACTGTAGAAGCAAAATTTATTTTGTGGGTTTCACGAAGGGTCTACAAACCCCCTGCCTTGGCTGTGTCACCGTCTCCTGTACAGGCCCTCTGCTGCACATGCCTTCTGCTGCACAGGTGCTCTGCTGCACAGGTGCTCTGCTGCACAGTCCTTCTGCTGAACATGCTTCTGCTGCACAGGCGAATGATTCTCAGGAGACTCGCGTTTACCACTCGATACGTTTACCTTCAGCAGAACGTGCCCGTGTTAATCAGAGCAATTCACACGAACGTGTTGCTTGAGAGCAGCGTATGTACGTATGCATGCTTGTTGAACTTCTTTCGCACCATACGTAGTCAACCATGCTAATTGGAGGAGCGGGGGAAGGACAACAAACTATCCCCCTGTACGCGGTGCCGGCAAGTAACACACCCCCACAGTGCAGCAGGGCCTGCAGCAGCACCCCGGCGCTGTTGAAGCCGCGCGTGGGCAGGAGCCGGGGGAGCATGGTCTGCATGGAAAGCTCCGACAGGTCGGCCTGCGCGGCCAAGGCAGCCGCCCCACCTCGCAGCAGCATCAGGCTGTGCCTCCAGTCGCCTGCGTTCAGCAGCTCTTTCAGCAGCTCGGTCCAAAGCTCGGGTCCCACCAGACCATGCGCCTCGCTAGGCACCTCTACAGCGGCACACGCGCACAGAGAGAGAGGGGCAGGGCGGCTTCGCCACATAGGCCTGGCACACCTTCTGCACGTACGAGAACTAACTGTGATCGCACACAAAGATGTTTAAAAAAAAATAACAACAAAACTATGTTAGGGTAGAAGGCGGACGTGGATGGGTCAGGCAGGAGAAAGTGAAACTCGGGAGAGAAGGGAGAGTGCGACACCACAGCACAGCTCATGTTGAAATAACTGGGCCCAGCACAATGACAAAAACGAGCCTCGGGGACATCCGGGGCAGGAAGGGCTGCAAGGCATAGGATAAGGGTCTCACAGCCACAGCACAGCAACAGGGGCAAGGATTTGACAGATAGAGAAAGCGCTGCGGGCGTGCAGGCCTGGGTAAACGCGTACACGACGCTCAGTGCCGAGGCCCCACCTCGCAGTTCCTCGAGACACAGCAGCAGCTTCCTGGTGGCTGGGTGCTGCGCAAGGGAGCGACGTTTACTTGGGCGCTTTGCCAGTCCCGCGAGCTCCTCCAGCGCCTCGCGGAGGGAATCGTCCTCAGGAGTGGCGTTGCTCGCCGGCGAACGCCTCTTACTGTGCGCTGCGCAGAAACATGGTATGTACATTGAACTTCTTTCGCACCGTACATAGACAAACGTGCTAATCAGAGATGTGGAGGATGGAGAAAGATCCCTCGTGTAGCCCACGCAGCCAAGGGCTATTCCCAAGCACCGTTGAAGGCTGGCACATTGCACCTATAAGGGGTGCCGCAGTGGCGAGATGTTAACTACCTCGCCAGGTATACAGGTGATGGGTTCAATCCCGACTCTGCCCCTGTATATTTGGTGTTTGCATGTCTCTCTCCCAGTTGTAGGGTGGAATTTTCCCTGGGTCCTCCGGTTTTTCCCTCTACATTTAGAAACATGCATTTACAGTATTTGGCTGAAAAAATTTCAGCACAATAAGCCACTTTGTTGAGCTTTCATTTGTGGCCAGGTCGCTTATGAAAAATAGCTATAGAGCTCAGTGGGCCTTAGCTGGTAAAATAAAAAAATAGTTGAATTAGTTAATAGTTTTCCTCCTTCAGCTTCTCAAAAGCCTTGGCTTCCACGCGACCATGGGGAAACATGCAAACTCTAAATTTACAGGCATCATGACGTCCTGCATACTAGGCGAGGGAGTTAATATCTTGCCACCGCAACACCCATGCTATAGAGCCACTCTTAAGTGAACGCTTACATAATATTAGCATCCTCCGTGCATTGCTTTCTCTGCATTGCTCGGTCACCTTTACATAACATTTATGTTGTGTGCTCCCAAATACTGGAAGTACCCCTTGGTAGTCTGATTTTCCCTATGATACAATCTTTAGATTAAAGGCATTATCTGGTTGCCCGAGAGTAGTTTTGGTTTCCACGAATTATTTTGCTTAGTTTGCTGGCAATTAACGACTGCTGACAATACGTGCGTGGAACTGCAGCGCAAAGCAAACCGATCCTGCCTTCCACAACTCGACCAACGCAACGCACTTGGGCCCTGGGCCTCCTACCTCCTCCCCATCAAGCAGGCCCACCACCCTCTTACCCACCACTTCCCTGTGCATCCTCACCCCTCGTGCTCTGCTCGTTCCTCCTGGTACTACGCAGCGAGCTCGCACGAGCTGGGTGTTGCTGTTCCCCACGATGATCCTGGGTTGGCGGAGCGGTGTGGTGAGTAGGGGGGTTCTGGGTTGGCCGAGTGGTGTGGCGAACGCGTGGGTCCTGGGTGGGTGGAGCGGTGTGGCGAGCGCGTGGGTCCTGGGTGGGTGGAGCGGTGTGACGAAAGCGATGGTCCTGGGTTGGCGGAGTGGTGTGGCGAGAGTGGAGGTCCTGGGTTGCCTGAGCGGTGTGGTGAGTATGGGGGTCCTGGGTTGGCCGAGCGGTATGGCGAGAGCGGGGGTCCAGAGCAGCTCGTGCCACAGTGTTCTCCGGTGGGATGCAGTCGTAGGGGAGGAAGCCGGAAATATCCCGAATGTGGATGCTCGCTCCCAGGAGAAGCAGCAGCTTGATCTGTTCCACTTGCACTGTGTGACACGCAGACATTCGCGCTAAGACCCAAGCGTACGCACACGCACGCCTAGTGGTGCGATCAATGATGCCGCTCAAGGTTTCCTTATTGAATGGCTGGCGCACACACAGTTGATTCGCCATTTCCATGGCCACCATCATCACATCATCAAAATTACTAAATGTATCCACTCACAAGAGTGTTGTACTGGCCAAGGCATTGCGAGATAGTAATATATATTTATTACCAGGTAAGGCCCACTGGGCTATATAGCTCTGTTTCAGGCATTAGGGTTGATTGGAACCCACAACCTCCTGCATACTAGGCGAGGTATTTCACATCTTGCCACTGTGGTGCCCCTGGTTTACGTCGGGGATGCTTTCTTGAAAGGTGCGACGACAAATATGGAAACAACGTAAATAAAAGCGATTTATGGTGTTGGTGGAGGCTAAGGTCGAGGTTGACAGATAACGTCAGTAGGTAGAAAATAGATCACGACGTTTCGATCGCAACACAAGCGCCCATCATCAGGTGAGACAATCACAGCAGGGAAACTGCTGAAGCAGGCGAGAGAGCTGCCGTGACAAGAGGCTGTATAGGTAGGGTACGTGGGCGGGGCTAGAGATGGGAGAGAGAGGGGCAGGGCAGCAAGATCGGTGGCGGCCGGAGAGCTCACCAGGGTGAGAGAGGGGGGGTTGGGGGTGGGGCAGAGCAAGTCCGGCGGCGGGAGACACGGCAGAACCAATACCTCTGCCGTGGCGGATCAGTGTTTTAACGCGGTGGGCTCACACGACATTGTTTTATCCGAGACCATGGTACTCTGCAAACCTTCGGGCTACCTTCAAAAATTTGTCCATGAAGCCATCCAGCTATATAAACACAGACACAATTTCAACGGAGAAGAGGGATACAAACTGAGCAATCATTGGAAGGACGTTATTAACCGGTTTAAGTCATAACTGGTGGTGATGTCCCCTTCTTACCTGCCTATGTTAACAGCTATTCTCGACTCTCTGAGCCACATTCACTAACACAGCCTCTCTCTCTCCCCTGACCACCGATTATCTATGCCCCACCCCTCTCTCTCCCCACTTGCCTCCCCTCCCTAATCTTTGCCCACCCCCTCTCTCCCCCCTGCCGCCGATCGTGGCAGCTCTCTCTCCCCCCATATCCCACTCGAGCCCTGCCGCCGATCTTGATCTGCCCCCCCTTCTATCTCTCACCCTGGCGAGCTCTCCCGTCCACCGCAGATCTTGCTGGCTGCCACCGATCTTGCTGCCCAAGCCCCCCTTCTCTCCCATCTCTAGCCCCGCCCACGTACCCTACCTAGATAGCCTCTTGTCACGGCAGCTCTCTCGCCTGCTTCAGCAGTTTCCCTGCTGCGATTGTCTCACCTGATGACGGGCGCTTGTGTTGCGATCGAAACGTCGTGATCTATTATTTTCTACCTATGTGACTTTACCGAAAGACCCAAAGAGTAGAGATATCTTTTGCGTGAGAGATGGGTAAATGATTAATAAAACGGGGGAAACAAAGTGATCAAAAGTGCAATTATGGAGAAAAACTAGAGCCAATCAGATCTGAATTACACGAATGGCCTCTGCGACCAACAGTAACATTTCACACTGTAAATCACTGTTAACGGTTCAAATCTGTAAGTCACGGGAACACACATCAGAGCCGAAACATCAATGCAGACTGGAAACAAATCGACTTAACAATACACAGTGTAGTATTGCACGTACAAAAATTGTCAGCCTCATCCAGACCAACCTGGTCAAAGGAACCGAACGTGCGGAAATATTTTCGTTTAGACCACCAACTCAAAAGGTTGAGTAAATGTGGCCGTCCCAGCCAAAGGAAGCAGTGAAACAAAGACACAACTGTAAATCGGTTTCGTCTTCATGACTAATCAAGAGTAAAGTAGTCAACGTCCACTACTTCTATAGACCCCTGGGAGCCCCGGATATGGATTAGCACGGTTGGCTACGCACGGTGCGAAAGAAGTTCAGACATACGTACATACTTTGAAGCCATTGAGACTCACACATTAGCACTCAATTTCTGAGCATTCAGTTCTTTTGAGCTGGTGGTCTGGTTCAGGCCCAAGAGCTGTAGTACACGCAATGCTGCTGCACACACGTCTTTTTGTCGTTAAATCTACGAGGCGCGCACACTCTAAGCTTTCCAACACACATGGCAACCCGGCTACAACTACCGATACTAAAACCCCTTCTCCCCCTGGGCGCCTTCTCCTCTGGTTTTCCCCACACCCACCCACGCACGTTCGTAGAAGCCTTACGGTCTCTGGAGTACCGCGTCCTCGCCACCAGGTGCAGGACAGTCTGCCCCTGTGCATCCTGGTCATTGATGTCCATCCCATGTTTGCAAACCAGCTCGTTCACCAGCCAGAAATTACCTGCCACCCAGAAACAAGCGGCGTTGGGATGCGGTTACACACTGTCAGTCATGCTCACACATCGTCATCATCATCTTCATTAACACCACCGTGGAAACTTTGGACGTGTCTGACTTTGGACGTGTCTGAGGTTACAAACTGAGTAATCATTGGAAAGATGTGATTAACCATGCAAAAAAGATTTAACTACACTTATTTGCCAATCTTATTTGACAGACAACCATCACAGTTTTACCATGTCTAGTGGTGGTCTCCCTGTTACAGGTTGAGTCACAAACCGCACCTCTCCATAACAAAGGCTCAGCCTTTGTTATGCAGTCTATTCTTAGTCTTAAGCCTCACCTTACCATATTAATAAAAGTATGCGGCCCTTGCCCCACCACCTTCTCCAACCATTATATAAACGGAGTGGTAGCTTCTGCAATCTCTCATTTACTTGATACAGCTGTCGTGGCTGTGACGGTACCACCTGAAGACGGAAGCTTGTGTTGCCTCCGAAACGTCGTGATTTTTATTTTATTTTACTTTTTAATGTTTTTACCTACGTGACTTTACCGAAAAACCTAAGAATTTGGACGTGTCATTTGAAACTCAGAAATGATCAAACTTCTCCATTGCTTCTCTCTAATGCGGCGTCATGCAAACGAGGTTGACAATGCTTCTCATCCACGTGCCTATCACTCCACATAAACAAAAGTATTTTTTGCGCATCTCGTTGTTTCAGCAGTATTGATTCAATACAAGCAACCTCTGGACTGGTTTTGATTTTCAGTGTGTCATCAGCAGTTCACGTATCGACAAACACTGGCATATGGCACACATGCAGAACACGTCTCATGTGTATGTGTATAGCCAATAGTGAGCGAGCGATGTATGTAAGGCTGTTCTAGTACGACTAGGTGACAATTTGTATTAACACGGGCGAAACTATGCTTGTGACTAGAAAAATACTCAAATGTTTTGTTTTTGGCCCCATTATATTTGCGGGAATGTAGTTATTAAAATACTCTTATTTTGGCACATTGCAATGTGGATTTAAATTGCTGAATTACATTTTCCAGAAGCACTCAAATTTACTTAATTTCTCAATTTTTATCCCAAACAACCTTCAATAATTCCAGTGTGACAGAGAACACTAGAATTAACAATGAAGACGGTCACTGCATCGCGCGCTTCCGGTTGCGCTTCTGCGGCCGTCTGGAACACTCTTTCTTCCGACATTAGGAAGCCACTGGCACGATGCACTTTTAAATCATCTAGATTGAGAACGCATGTCTTTAGAAACTGCGAGGTTGTGTTAAGTTTGTCGTCCTTCTCCCGCACCTCCGGTTATCACGGTTGGCTACATACGGTGCAAAATATGTTCAACATACATACATACAATAGTAACCCTGGGTTAACACTCTTATGCGTTTCCCACTTGTGTACCTTGAATAATCACTCTGCGCACTTCTGTTACTTACAATAAATGCCCATGTAAAGGATGAGAATCATCACAGCATGCAAGGGGTTGGCTCCGATGGAGGCGGGCTTGGCACCGTGGCTGATGAGCCACGTAACCAAAAAATAGATCCACTTCTCTTGACCCGGGGCCAACAGCTGTGGGAACAAAGGGCACTCGTCAAAAAACACAGGGCCTCACACGCCAGTTTATCACAGCTCTCCTCCCTTGAAACTTGACAACCACTGCTGACATCCTCACAAAGTGGTGCTCATTTTATCAAACATTGAGGGGTGATGGGCTAAGTCAACTCCCAACCAGGATTTGAACTCACAGCCCTCTGACTGGGAACCGTTTGCTCTGCCACTGAGCCACTTGCCAGGTTGCTTAGATCATAATCACCAAATAAGACCCTGCCATGGCATGGACGAGAAACATGGAGGCCGACGGAAAACACTGAAATAAAAGCTGGAAATTACACAAAGAAGCACGGTGAGGCATACGTTGGAATGCACCGAGAGACAGGGAGATTAGAGAATAATCACAAGTTAGAGGCTGCTGTAGATTTGACTTTTCTAAAAGATAATTTAAAAATGCGATCTTGTCTGTTCCTTGTAGACATTTGTAGCAAACGATCAATTAGCACAGTAGTTGGAAAACAAACAGGCATGATGGCTTGGGATGATAAGTTACATGAACCTGTGAAACTCCTTCCTTGAGCACAGGCATCACCAGAAAGGCCATAAATGGGCACCCTGCTGTTTTAACTACGCCCATGACAGGGAACCGGCCACACTCAGTATCTGAACTTTAATTTAGAATACATCCTGGTGTTTAGAGTCGAAACGTTCATAATGACAGCCACTGCATATGAATATTCTTGATCATGGTATTAAACTTTAACTTTGATGAGGACATACGACTACATGGCAATGCAGCTCAGGGTCAAAAGGTTTTATATTACTACTTTGCATGATCTTATGAACAATCCCCGACAGGGGAGTCGGCCGACAGTGTAAATGCACTAGTGGCCACGGGAGGTAATGACAGCAGGGGTATCAGTTGTGAGTGCAAAGGGACTGGTGGCTACGAGATGTAATGATGGGGGTATCAGTTGTGAGTGCAAAGGGACTGGTGGCTACGGGAATGATCGAGAAGGGAGCGTGGTCAGGTGACGGAAGAGGACGGTAGAGTCTGCCGGTGAAGCGAGCGTCCAGTCAGCGATAAGGTTCGGGAAGGGGGGCGCGGCCTCGGTTGGTTATAAGGGAGATGCGCGGGAGACTCGGTGCTGTTGCAGTGGGGTCTCCGCCGATGTCAAGTGAACGTATCTTCAATAAAGTGCCATCTGAAGAGAAATGTGTCAAGTCGTCATTACCTTCCAGGTATATTGTAGTTCTACTTTGATAAGTAATGTTGGATGTCAATGTAAGTTGACATTAAAGTTTCTTAGATCAAGAAGGGTCTGAGTGCTACCTTCTTAACTCATGCATCATGCTTCTCAATTGCGAGAACGGTATCCTGCGGTGAGATCTGAATTTTGAGACCTGATATAATTGCCAATAATTGATAAAGCGAAAATCAGTAAATGTTGAAAGCAAGAATCATTGATATTATGATTGATAATACATACCCCTAGACAACGTGAAAGCTAATAATTGTGATGAATACGATAATCTATTCATTAACGGTCTAATTTAATCAACTAAATGACCTTGAATTCATAATTCGGAATAACTATTCTTTATTCAAAATTGTTATTTATCATAAGCACACCAATTATTAATTGATTTTACAATTAATAACACGTAATAACTGCATTTAATTAAATAATAATACATTTTCACTAAATTTCGATTTAAATCTTTTGTGACTGCAGGGATTCATCTTCTTGGTTCTTTCGGTAAAGTCACGTAGAAGGGAAGTAATAAAATAATACAAATAAAACAATAAAATAATTCTCACGCCGTTTCGGCCACAACGCAAGCAGCTGTCCTCAGGTGAAGAACAGGTCTTTCTGACAGGTCTTTCCACAGACCTGTTCTTCACCTGAGGGCGGCTGCTTGCGTTGTGGCCGAAACGTCGTGAGAATTATTTTATTGTTTTATTTTTATTATTTTATTATTTCCCTTCTACGTGACTTTACCGAAAGAACCAAGAAGACATTTTCACTAATTACACACAACATTCATATTTTTTACAACCGAAATATACAACAAGGCAACATATTGACCATTAAGGACACTAACTGGCCTTGGGCAGGAGAACGATGGCCGGTAGTTGAGATTGGTGCCATGGTTGTGAGATGTTAACTACTTCGCCTGGTATACAGGAGGTTGTGGGTTCAATCCTGACTCCAACGCGTGTATATTTAGAGTTTGCATGTTCTCTCTGGCGTGGAGATTTCCCCCGAGTCCTCCGGGTTTTCCCTCCACATTTAGAAACATGCGTTGAGAACATTTGGCCGCTATACATTTCCACATAAGCCACATGGTCGGGTTATCATTTCTGTCCAGGTCGCTTCAGAAAAAGAGCTATACAGCTCAATGGGCCTTACCTGGTAAAATAAACATAGAGTGTATAGTATAGTTTAACGTGGAAATGGCAGCCGAAGGAGGAAATACAGCTGAGAGGACGTCCACCTGGGAGGCAGACCACTGGAAGCAACAGGTGTTTAGGAGTGAGATGGATTGCTGTTTCGCACAATGGTGGAAGATGGCTTGGTGAGCCATCATTCAGCAGTGGATAGATCCTGACTGACGATGTTTGCACATGTCATAGTTGCTTTGGTGTCTCTGATCACAGCACTTGATTTACAATTGGGAGGATGGCAGTTCAAATCCCGGCCATGGGGTCAACGCAACTCGTCATTCCAAAGTGGTTGATAATATGAACACGGCGTCAAAAGCTAATAATGGTCATCCTATGGTAAAACGCTTGAATTAGTTCAACTCTTCATGTCAAGAGAAGGCCCCAGAGAAGAATATAACACAGAACTACCTCTGAGATTCCTTCAAGCGACCTCTATTTGACACAGTAGGGGGCAGCACTTTCCCTCCTGCTCTGCCATCGACAGTGATGTTCGTCACATGACAGTCAACCCGAGCTTGTTAAGCCAGACGCGGAATTTACCCAAATGCAGCAAAGAACCAAATTGATTGCGATGTTGTTTTTGTGCAATCATTGGTAACTGGGAATATATCAACTCCCTACACTTGAGACCCAGTTTAATCACATGCGGCTGCCTGGATTTAAACCCAGACCCTGAGTGGCGACAGCTCAGCACTCTGACCTCTGACTCACACGTCCACCTCTTTAGGGCAATCGCAAAAAAAATAATTCAAAACGAAATGACCTCCACAACACAAGTGACCAGAAAAATTCTACAGCCACATCATAAAATCATCGACCCACCTGAAAGAGGGAGTAGAGAGTGACGAATAATGCTGGCTCCGCTCCGACCACGGAATTTAGGGGTTGGAGGTCATCGGGCGTACACACCACGATGTACATCTCCTGTTATTTGCACACCGGACACAAATCAAAACCAACATCACCCACACTCCACGACAGAGGGCTATATCCCAAGCATTAATATCGGTCAGGTAAACCAGCACGAGTCATTGGAAAACACTGCTGTTAATTTGAATAGGGCATGATTACCTGGGAACTGCGCACGCGTTGAATGGATCGTACAATATTAAATACCGCTAATTAAGTGCGTGCGTCTACGAAGTGAACGCTGCATGTGTCTATATACGCGCTACGTTAACGGCAGAACGGAGTGCAGCAAACCCCATCATTGTGCTGTACTATGCTCCACAGTGCTGCATACGTTTCCTTGCTTTCAGAAAATATACGACAAGCGCTCGGTGGCAATCCCATAAGGCTGAGCAGGAGATGTCGCGCCTGTAGGCATCAGACACGATTGGCACGCATGACTTGCGGTTCGGCCACACGTGCCTTCCAGAGGCCCTGCTTTGCCATCTCGTGCAGCAGGTGGTGCCACACTTTCTCCGTGTGTAGCAGTGGTTGTTCTTGAAGCATCCTGAGAACCCCTACAAACAGGCTCTTGTTGTAGGTCTTGCCTGCGGCCAACACAGACAGAAAGGCCACCAAGTCAAGCGTGGGAGCATACATAAAGACAAAACATAGCATTATCACCATAGGGGTAAAACGAAGGGAAACATTATATTAAGAAAACTGACATTGGTGTGTGTGTGTGCATGTGTGTGTGTGATCGGGTCTCCTCCAGAAATAACAAAAAGCCACTATGGATGGCCATGTAGAATGTTCGAACGCTCACTGCAGAGGAGAGGCTGCCACTCCTCTGTCGGGAGCTGGATCGGTACTGCCTGGATATCTATGGCATTCAGGAGGTCCGGTGGACTGGCTCTGGCTCCTGCCACCATGAGGGGTGGACAGTCCTCTCCTCGGGGCAGGAGACTGCCAAACAACAGGGAGTGGCTCTTCTTCTGAACAAAATAATGAAGGGGGTGTGGGAGCGTGGCGGTGAGGTGTGGGAAGCTGCAAGCCCCAGGCTACTTTGGGCTCGCCTTCCCGTCAACCGGAGGCGAGGAGTGGTGGTTGTGGTTACTTATGCCCCCACCGAAGACGAACATCCGTGGAGGGATAGTCATCTTGTTGGGTGACTTCAATGCCCGAGTTGGTCATGATGCTGGCACCTGGTCTGGAGTGATTGGAAGGCATGGGCCAGATCAGCTCAATAACAATGGTAGGAGGCTGCTAGATTTTTTAGCAGCCTATGGGCTTGTAATATTCAACACGCTGTTCCGGCATCGGCACATCCACACATCATGGATGCATGCTGGGTCCAAGCAAGAACATCTGCTGGACTACATAGTGATGGACCAGCGGATGTGAGCCCATGTTCTTGACACCAGGACCTACCGTGGAGCTGATCTGCCCTCTGACCATTGACTTGTCATCTGTAAGATGCGCCTGACATTCTTCCACTCTGGTGGTGGGTGTACACCCAGGACCCCATTCCAACCTAAGGTGGCCTGGTCTCAGCTACAGTGAGAGAAAAAAGTATTTGATCCCCTGCTGATTTTATACGTTTGCCCACTGACAAAGAAATGATCAGTCTATAATTTTAATGGTAGGTTTATTTGAAGAGTGAGACAGAATAACAAAAAAATCCAGAAAAACGCATGTCAAAAATGTTATGAATTGATTTTCATTTTAATGAGGGAAATAAGTATTTGACCCCTCTGCAAAACATGACTTAGTACTTGGTGGCAAAACCCTTGTTAGCAATCACAGTCAGATGTTTCTTGTAGTTGGCCACCAGGTTTGCACACATCTCAGGAGGGATTTTGTACCACTACCTTTTGCAAATCTTCTCCAAGTCATTAAGGTTTCGAGGCTGACGTTTGGCAACTCGAACCTTCAGCTCCCTCCACAGATTTTCTATGGGATTAAGGTCTGGAGACGGGCTAGGCCACTCCAGGACCTTAATGTGCTTCTTCTTGAGCCACTCCTTTGTTGCCTTGGCCGTGTGTTTTGGGTCATTGTCATGCTGGAATACCCATCTACGACCCATTTTCAATGCCCTGGCTGAGGGAAGGAGGTTCTCACCCAAGATTTGATGGTACATGGTCCCGTCCATCATCCCTTTGATGCGGTGAAGTTGTCCTGTCCCCTTAGCAGAAAAACACCCCCAAAGCATAATGTTTCCACCTCCATGTTTGACGGTGGGGATGGTGTTCTTGAGGTCATAGGCATCATTCCTCCTCCTCCAAACACGGCGAGTTGAGTTGATGCCAAAGAGCTCCATTTTGGTCTCATCTGACCACAACACTTTCACCCAGTTGTCCTCTGAATCATTCAGATGTTCATTGGCAAATTTCAGACGGGCATTTATATGTGCTTTCTTGAGCAGGGGGACCTTGCGGGCACTGCAGGATTTCAGTCCTTCACGGCGTAGTGTGTTACCAACTGTTTTCTTGGTGACTATGGTCCCAGCTGCCTTGAGATCATTGACAAGATCCTCCCATGTAGTTCTGGGCTGATTCCTCACCGTTCTCATGATCATTGCAACTCTACGAGGTGAGATCTTGCATGGAGTCCCAGGCCGAGGGAAATTGACAGTTCTTTTGTGTTTCTTCCATTTGAGAATAATCGCATGAACTGTTGTCACCTTCTCACCAAGCTGCTTGGCGATGGTCTTGTAGCCCATTCCAGCATTGTGTAGGTCTACAATATTGTCCCTGACATCCTTGGAGAGCTCTTTGGTCTTGGCCATGGTGGAGAGTTTGGAATCTGATTGATTGATTGCTTCTGTGAACAGGTATCTTTTATACAGGTAACAAGCTGAGATTAGCACTCCCTTTAAGAGTGTGCTCCTAATCTCTGCTTGTTACCTGTATAAAAGACACCTGGGAGCCAGAAATCTCCTGACTGAGAGGGGGTCAAATACTTATTTCCCTCATTAAAATTTAAATCAATTTATAACATTTTTGACATGTGTTGTTTTGGATTGTTTTGTTGTTATTCTGTCTCTCACTGTTCAAATAAACCTACCATTAAAATTATAGACTGATAATTTCTTTGTCAGTGGGCAAACGTACAAAATCAGCAGGGGATCAAATACTTTTTTCCCTCACTGTAGCTGATGGAAGTTGCAAGCGAGAATTTCATCATCGTTTGCGGCTGGGGTTGGCATCGTCCCCCACTCCTCCTAATGTCGAGGGGAAATGGGCAAGGTTCAGGACTGTGACTCATGCAGCTGCAATGGCTGCTTTGGGTATGCGGTCCAGACCTCCCCAGAGACCCTGGCTGACAGAGGTGGTGTTCAGGATGGTTGAGAAAAAGCAACAGGCCCACTCTAGTCGTCTACAGCATCCCACATCAGAGAATGAGGAGGCTTACCGCAGCCTCTGCTCGGAGGTTCGGAGAGCCGTGAGGCGCTGCAAGGATGGGTGGTGGTCGCGGGTTGCTGAGGAGATGGAGGCTGCCTCAATGGCCTGCGATCACAAATCCCTATTTAACCCCAACAAAAAAGTAACCTGCAGCGCCACACCTATTACCGTCATTAAGGGAAAGAACGGTGATCCAATCTCCGACCCCCAGGAACAAGTTTGCAGATTTGCTGAGCATTTCTGTTAGGTCCTGGGGGAGGGGGAATCCCTCAGCCTGGAAAACATCATGGGACAAAGTGGGGATGACCCTGCTGAGGCTGCGGTGCCTCAAATATTGGAGGAGGAAGTCACCCCCTGTGAGTGGCTGGCTGAGGTGCCAACCGTTGAGGAAGTACTGAAGGCGATCCAGAGTCTGAAACCAGGAAAGGCACCGGGCAGAGATGATCTCCCAAGCGAAATGCTGAGGGAGGGTGGCGTTTGTGCGCAGACTGCTCTACATGACATCATAACAACAGTCTGTGCCACTGGATGGGTTCCGCAGGATTGGAAGGATGCCCTGGTGGTCCGCCTCTTTGAGAAGGGGGACCACACAGACTGTAACAACTACAGGGGCATCTCACTCCTCAGTGTGCCGGGAAAGGTCCTGGCAAGGATTATTTAACATCGCCTTGCGAGGCACGCTGAGGAGAGGCTTGCGGAGCCCCAATGCGGTTTCAGGAAAGGGCGGTCCTGCACAGATACCATATTTTCTGTCTGTCTGCTACAGTAGAGGTGTAGGGAGTCCCTGACCCTCTGCTCACGCTCATTAAGGACCTTCATGATGGTGAGCAGGCCCGGGTAAAACTACGTGGCCGGGCGTCAGAGCCATTCCCTGTACACCTTGGGGTGAAAGATCTGGACATAGTCCCATCGGTGAGCGACTCCGGCAGGCAAGGCTGCGTTGGCTGGGCCATGTAGCCCGCATGCCCAAGCACCGCATGCCCAAACAGCTTTTGTTCAGCGGAATCGAGGGGGCTAAACGGGCGCGGCACGGGCTAGAGAAGAGATGGAGTGACGTGATACAGGAGGATGTGGAGCTGAGTGGACTTGCCGATAACTATTACCAGCGGTGTCAAGATCGGCCTCTGTGGAGGAGGCTCGTGAAGGACACTACTGGGCAGTTGGAGGCAGTCACCCTCCAAGAACAACAGAGGGCAGAGGAGCGACACTCACAACAACGAGCAGAGTGCCGGGTGGCTAAAGCACAGCAAGTTGGCACAGTAGTGGGCACAGATGGTGCATCAGCCGGCCATCTCGGTCATCTCAGTCAGTCGACCCGTGGCACCTGGGTCTGCCCCGTGACCTCCTGCCAGCGGGCGTTCGACACTTCACGTGGCCTCAAGGTGCACATGGCCTGGCACAAGCGTCGTGGTGACGTCACCACCACTTAGTGGCGAATGGCGGTTGTTGTTGTTGTGTGATCGTGTGTCAGCTGCTGGTGAGGAAAGTGGCGTTCATGTGCGTGTACTCATATGTGTGAAGTGGGTTAAATTCAGGCGCACACCAGAGGTCGCAATCGGGTACCCGATACCCGTACCCTACCCAATACACGGCTACCCGTACCCAGTCGGGTACGGGTACCCGTTTGCGACCCTGGTGCGGCCGGGTACGGGTATGGGTAAGGAATCAAAACCCGTTTGCGGTTTGCGACCTCTGGCGCACACTCGAACTTTGGCGGCAAAACTATTCATAAGCTAAACACAACAGGTAACTCTTAACATTAACAGGATAACGACATAGGGTGGTAACCACCATTCCTAACTTAGATAACACACCAGGATACTACATTCCTGGACCGGAGACCGAGGATCGTAGATGGTATCGCTTCATCCCAGAGTTGACCCAGCAGAACAGCCCAGCTCTTCGTCCACACCCGTGGCCGGCTCTGCCCCAGGCCACTCCCCCCTTACCGATCCTTCGGGAAGGCCCGAGCCCCCAACCACGTGACCTCCCTGGGGCCCCTGGCCCCCCTTTATCCGATCACGTGTCCTGTTGGGTTCACGCAGAGTGGCACGGCCTGACACGACCTCCGTGACACCCGCCTACAGCCCCCATATCGAGCCAACACAGTAGTGTCGTTCTACTACACTACACGTGCATGTGTGTGTCAGCTGCTAGTGTGGAACATGGTGTTCATGTGTGTGCATTCCCTAGGTCTCCAAAATAACTGCGTGCACAGTCTCCGTACAGCGCCTTGAGATGAAAGCACATTTAGATACATGCTATACAGATCCACATTATCTAGTAAGTGACCTCTATGCGTAAATCCACACGTGCCTATGTTGCGGTGAGTGTGCGGCACGCTGCGTGCCTCGAAGACAGTTTCACTCGTCGCCGTTACCGTGGCGCTCCTCGCTTTGCCCACCATTGGATAACATCACACCTAATGCTCCATGTCTACAGAGAGTAAAAAAAACAAAGGCATACTAACAGTTAATGGCCTTGAATATTTCCATGAGGAATTCAATGGTGTGGACGATGGTGTGGTCAGGGGAGACGAGCAGGACAGCCAGGCCCTGTTGTAGCACAGCGACCGCTTCCTTTGCCTCGCCCAGCCCAGCGTATGCCTCGCCCAGCCGATAGTAACCCTACACACAAAGACAAAAATCCACTCTTATAGCTTGAACAGACTTTGGGGCAAGCGCTGTTCGTAAGCACCTATGAAGGCCAGCATGGCACACGAGGGGGTGGGTGGCCAGCACCATGCTCGGCTGCCCATGTCTCCCCAAGTTGCGATGTTTACACAATGCACCAGGTACTCATTTGAGGTTGAGTCGAACTCGGGGAAGCCCAGGAGCGGTTCAGATAATGGTCACTGGTGTTGGCCGTGAGTGGGACTCAAAATCGGGTCATCGGATTTGTAGTGCAGCGCGACAAGCACGACAGTACTGCTCCCCACATACATCTCTCTCTGTGTGCCTGTGTTTCCCTCATCTCCCCGTCTGCGTAGCGTCCCACATTACTGTTGAGCGGGCTCTCTTCCTGGGGGCTGCCAAGAAATTTCGTGGGGCCACATGATGGCACAACTTCTAAATGCATTTGAAAAGACATTCACAATCCCACAGGATTATCCCAAATATGAATTACCGTAGCATCTGACTAGTGCACATATTTACAGACGATATTTGTGTTGTTGATTATGATTACTCGTGCGAAGGTATGGCTTTGCCGCCTGTAATCAATACCTTGTACCATTGCTGGTCAGCGTCGATGGACTTCCGCGACACGTTCACAGCATCTGCGTAACTCCCTAACTTGATGTAAGTCATGGCCATGTTGCAGAAGAGCTGGGAAACATCTCTGTCAGGAGTCACACGTGAGCAGTCGCTTAATGCTACGACTCGGGGTTTGCTTAAATGAAATCCACTCGCACCGATTAATGAATCATGTAATAATTTACAGCGAAGGTCTTCTTATATTTTTTGTAAACACGTCATTACTGCCAATGCAACAGTTCATCCCATGACAGTATAGCACCATGGATGGGCTGCACTTGCAGGCAACGACAGATAACCCAGAAGCGGTTGGGGGCTGTTGAGAGGTTCTGGGATCCCACGTGGCCCCTCCTAACAGTTGGGGGCTGTGGGGTGTTCTACGCTCCCTCGCAAACACTCCCAACGGCTGGGGGGCTGCGGATGCACTGGCCTGCAACGGCAGACAGCCCAGAAGCGGTTTGGGCTGTGGGGGATTCTGGGATCCCTCGCATCCCCTCCCAACGGGTGGGGGCTGTGGGGGGTTCTACGATCCCCCAGAGCCCCGCCCCCCTCGGCTGAGAAACGTATATAAGGCAGACCTCTGAAGAGGTTCGTGGCAGTTGAAGACCGAAGCCTGAAGACCTGCTAGTGTAGGACCCTGGACCCCTAGCTTCGCCGTCCTTTTAAGGGCCGGAGCACTGTGAGGCCAGTGGTAGACCCTAGGGACTCCCTTACCTGCTGTCCTTATAAGGGCCAGGTCTGAGGAACCAGTGGTTGGACCTGTACCTTGGCTGGGTCAGGTCAGACAGCCTCCCATAGGATATCATAGCCGGAGGACCTGGAGCGTAGCCGGGGTAGGCACGCTACGTAGGCGGCGTATGATAGGCTGGGTGGAAGAAGTACACGAGATAGACTGTACGAGAAGTTGATGTACAGTAGTTAGGGTGTGTGTGTGTGTAATAAAGACGTGACCCCTACATGCGTCTCCGGAGCACACTACAAAAGCACAAACACCTCCTGGCATAGGCCTGGCCTACAAGGGGAAGCATTATCACCTGTTATTACGTCTTGGACCCAGCTTATGCCTATCTCTATGTGGAGTGGTTGGCGGCACTGTGCTTTGAACCCAGTATCCCGGGTTCGATTCCCGCTCACGACCACCACCAGTGACGATTATCTGAACCGGTCCTGGGTCTCCCCTAGGTTGACTCAGCCTCAAATTAGTACCTGGGAGACAGGCAGCCGGGCATGGTGCTAGCCGGCCACCCCCTCTTGTGCGGTGCCGGCCTTCGTAGGTGCTCACTAACAGCACTTGCCCCAACAGTCTGGTAAAGCTATATTGGGGGAGCTTGTCTTTGTATTTTGTCTCGCTGTGTCTCTCCTGTATCCCTGCATTATTTTGTCTACTCTCGGTGCTTGTCTCTATTGCTAGTTTTCTTCATTTTAAGTACATGTCATGAGTTTAATTTCATGAGTTATTTACTGTAGGTACTCTATTTCATACAATTACACTTTGTTTATGGACTCAGCCAAGAATGATCGGAGAAGTCTAGGCCTAGCCTAATGCATGGTAAACAAACATTCGGAGGTGACCGCTTTCTGTTAACAATTACTATAAAAATGTTTCGTGGTATTCATAAACAATTAGATACAGTATCTTCTTGGTTCTTTCGGTAAAGTCACGTAGAAGGGAAGTAATAAAATAATAAAAATAAAACATAATAAAATAAAATAATTCTCACGACGTTTCGGCTACAACGCAAGCAGCCGTCTTCAGGTGAAGAATGAGACACTACCAAACTAGGAGCTTATATATAAGCTGCGTTGAAGGTGGAAGAGCGCCTTAACAAAAAGAATGTGCATATGAAGAGGAATTTAGCATATTCATGGAAAATGCGTAGGCGTTGGGCGGGGGGGTTTCAAAGTCATATTATGCCCATGCATTATGCAGGATCAGCAGCACCAAGGGGGGGTGCAGGGATTAGCAGTAACAAAGGAAAGGAATGTTAATGATATGTAGCTGCAGTTACTCAACAACCACGTAGAAAACTAAAGTATGAACTACATTAAAAAAAAACTAAAGTATAAACTGCATAGCACCATCAGTATACTTACTATACTCTACAATAAGCTGAGTTATTAACAGCAAGTAATACATTACAATTCTACGTCGTAAAAATTCTATAATATGCTTCCATCTAAACTTTATTCTCTTACATCACACGAGCATATACCGTACTATATACTGCCATAGATAAACCCAACATTAAATTATATACTGTATTGCTGTAAACCAACCTATACCTTATACATTTTAATATAATACTAAGTATTATTCTACACACCCTAAGGTGTGTAGAATAATACATTATTCTACACACCCTAGAATAATACATTATTCTACACACCCTAAGGTGTGTAGAATAATACATAGTATTATATTAAAATGTATAAGGTATAGGTTGGTTTACAGCAATACAGTATATAATTTAATGTTGGGTTTATCTATGGCAGTATATAGTACGGTATATGCTCGTGTGATGTAAGAGAATAAAGTTTAGATGGAAGCATATTATAGAATTTTTACGACGTAGAATTGTAATGTATTACTTGCTGTTAATAACTCAGCTTATTGTAGAGTATAGTAAGTATACTGATGGTGCTATGCAGTTTATACTTTAGTTTTTTTTTTTATGTAGTTTATACTTTAGTTTTCTACGTGGTTGTTGAGTAACTGCAGCTACATATCATTAACATTCCTTTCCTTTGATAATTGGTTCTTTACCCTTCTATCTGGCAACAAAACTGACACCTTTTTGCAAGGAGTCATGTTTGCATAGACCGCAATACCTGCAGTCATAAATACAAACAAAAGACATAACTCTGATAATGTGCACTGTCCTTGAAGTTGATTGGTCCACACCCGAGACAGCTTTCCTTCGAGCCTAGTCTCATATGGGTTGGACCAGATGACGCCAAAAGGTGCACGACGTCATCTGGTCCAACCCATATGAGACTAGGCTCGAAGGAAAGCTGTCTCGGGTGTGGACCAATCAACTTCAAGGACAGTGCACATTATCAGAGTTATGTCTTTTGTTTGTATTTATGACTGCAGGTATTGCGGTCTATGCAAACATGACTCCTTGCAAAAAGGTGTCAGTTTTGTTGCCAGATAGAAGGGTAAAGAACCAATTATCATATTTTTACTGGCAAATGAGGTCCCCATAGTGTAGATTCCTTTCCTTTGTTACTGCTAATCCCTGCACCCCCCCTTGGTGCTGCTGATCCTGCATAATGCATGGGCATAATATGACTTTGAAACCCCCCCGCCCAACGCCTACGCATTTCCATGAATATGCTAAATTCCTCTTCATATGCACATTCTTTTTGTTAAGGCGCTCTTCCACCTTCAACGCAGCTTATATATAAGCTCCTAGTTTGGTAGTGTCTCATTCTTCACCTGAAGACGGCTGCTTGCGTTGCAGCCGAAACGTCGTGAGAATTATTTTATTTTATTATGTTTTATTTTTATTATTTTATTACTTCCCTTCTACGTGACTTTACCGAAAGAACCAAGAAGATGAATCCCTGCAGTCACGAAAGCTTTAAATAGATACAGTATGTTCCATTAGTTGAATTATGGGTAGTGTTAGGGTAGATATTGGATTAAATGAAAGAATCGTAGAAGTGCAGAGCGTATGTACAGCCATACGATACAGGCAGCGATAGAAAACGCACGACAGCGCGACACGGTACTGAGCGAAAACGAACTAGTAATCAGGTAGGGGAGGCACAACTATTTCCGATTTTGGGGGAAAATTGTTCAGTTTGCGACAAATTTTAAGTGTATTTTCATGTGTTACGTGGATGACGCCATTTAACCAGCCGGCAACAAAAACGTCGATATTGCAGAGAACGGGCACAGGGTCCTTAAGGAGTATTGCACGACGAACAAACGATATATTTAACGGTCATAATCGGAACACGAGAATCAACGAAACGGTTCAAATATAATACGACTCGGAATCGTTCCGCACAAATACAGTTGGCCGTGGCTGCCTTTCTCGAGTGCCCGTTGCGTTGCTATCGCACAATGCACGCTCGCTCGTGACATTCCTTAATCCTGTAACAAGCCAAGTTATTTCCAGCTGATTTTTGCTACCTGCTTATCAACGTCAGTCAATCCGTTACAACGTACACGTGACCAGTTGAGATGTCACAAATGCCATTTGAACTTGTCCATTAGATTTCACAAATCACTTTTATTTGTTATTTGCATTGTCTGTTGCATGTGTTTTTCCCCAAAAGCCTTAAAATAAATAGATGAAAATTTAATAAAGTTGTGTCTGCATTTTAGCATACCTGCCGAAAGAGTAGGAGTAGTTTAGGCGCACCTGCAGAGCCTTCTCGTACATTTGGAGGGCTTCAAGGTAGCAGCCCTCTTGAAAGGCATTATTCCCCATCCCCTTCAAGTAAATTGTGAGGGAGACCGGATCCATTTCTCCTGCAAATTCACCCAGCACTATGTAACAAAAATCACCTGCACACATCACCCGACACGACATCAGCACATCACCTGCACGCAACACTACATCAGTACATCACCTGCAGACATAATCTAACACTACATCAGTACATCACCTGCACACATCACCCAACACTACGTCAGTGCATCACCTACACACTTGAACCAACACTACATCAGTACATCACCTGCAGACATAACCTAACACTGCATCAGTACATCACCTGCCCACTTGAACACTACATCAGCACATCACCTGCACACATCACCCAACACTACATCAGTGAATCACCTACACACTTGAACCAACACTACATCAGCACATCACCTGCACACATCACCCAACACTACTTCAGAACATCAGCTGCACACATCACCCAACACTACATCAGCACACCACCTGCACACATCACCCAACACTACATCAGCACACCACCTGCACACATCACCCAACACTACATGAGCACATCAACGTCTGAATGATGTTCACCATCATCCCCCCTTCACTCTCTTATGCACGCAGCTGCCACCACGCGCCCTACAGCACAGTCGATTAAAAACTGTGCTTGCTCGCCCTCCTCGTGTTTAGAAGGATGTGCACCGTCCTATCTGGCTGATCAGTGCCTGCTGCCAGGTTCCGCCAATGCCCTTTTGTCATCAACTCCCGTGACCTGATCGTCCACGCAACGCAGCTCTGCAGTGTCCGGTCCATCCACTCACCACCGACTCGCCCACTCGCCCATCCACAAACCCACTGACCATTCTCCCACCCACCTGTCCACCCACTACCTCATCCATACACAAAGACAAAAGCGACGAAGATCCCACACACACAGACTGTTGGAGCAAGCGCTGTTAGCGAGCACCGTGTGCCGTACAGCCCTTTGTAGGGACTCACCCATACAACAAGACAGAGATCCCCCGCATAGCCTTAACAGACTGTTGGGGCAAGTGCTGTTAGCGAGCACCTATGAAGGCCGGCACGACACACGAGGGGTTGGGTGGTCAGCACCACGTCCGGCGCCTTTGTCTCCCCAGTTGCGATGTTTACATACCGCAACAGCTACTCATGAGGCCGAGTCGAACTAGGAGAGGCCCATCAGGACATGCACGAATCAACACGCCCGCCGCTCACTCATTCACTCGCACACGTCAGTGATGTCCGGCATGTGACGTCCACACGTCAGTGATGTCCCGCCCACCGACGTGGAACAACTCACTGCTGTCGGCCACTGTTCGGGAGTTGTCACTGCAGTCGTCGACTGAAGTCAAAACAAGTTCTGTAAGGCTCATGAAGCATCACCATTGCGTCTTCATGACAGCCTTCGCTCTGTAGGAATGGCGCACTTACCAAATGCACCTACGGAACTTGTATTTATGTTTTATCAGGAGCAGAAAAGGTTTTCATCCGCGACGACGCCTGAAGGCTATAGAGTAGCAATGCAGGAGGGTCCGGTACAGTATTCACGTTCTCCTACACCTGTCAACACGTGTCACGGCCCCCGCAGTCTAACCGGGGGCTGTGGTGGTCTCGATGTGATGGGGACCGGCACCCAGCGGTTCGCTGCGTGTTGCAAGCGGTTCACGATTGGATTCCAGCGGCCGCCCCGATTAATACTGCGGGTGTGTTAGCTCGACGTGTGTACAAAGAAGATAAGGGAGCTATCTGCTTCGTAGAATGGACGCGACAGATGTCGTGGGTTGTCATTCGCAAGAGTTAATGTCTAAAAAGTTGCCAAATTCTAAAATAACATCGACATTTACTCCATTGGGATCACGCAGCAGCGGCAACCATCGGCCGCTGCTCGCCGACTCATGCCCCAGGCCATGCTGGTCTCGAGTTCTCTCACCTGGGTTAAACTAAATAAACGTAGTTCTCTCACCTGGGTTAAACTAAATAAACTTAACGACTGCACGGCAACAACAAAGTAGAGGAGGGAGTGACGAGCGAGTGACAATCGTTACTCCCCGTGGTCGTGCGCCGCGCTGGATGAGGCCACTTGGAAGTGACCTCGATTCACCGAATATCCGCTTCCACGGACAGTAAAGGGCCATCCACTTAGTACGCATGGAGGGGAGATGGGTGAAGCCTCGATAATAATGTCTACATTGGCCTTCAAATGAGTTAGATAGTCCGGCGGTGGACTATTTTCTTAAACACGTTAATATTGTTAATCATTGATCGTCTCTGCGTGGATTAAATATCGGCCGTTCTATAGGATTCGGGGAGGGGGTGCGTCAGGCGAACATACGCAGTGGGGGGTATAAAGTCCGCGTGCGTACAGGGAGGGGTCAAGTTGACAGATTTGTTGCGTACCGACTCAATGGATGCCCCCCCCCTAGTACCGTCCTCTTCACATGGACGCGACGCTTTGCTCTGCGAGAGTTCGCGAACGCAGCGGTCGTCTCACGACGCGGTGGTCAAAACTCCACACGGAGCCACGACTTGGGCAAGCTTTCATCCAGCAGCGGATCTATAACAAACCCGCGGCATATTGGCGACAACGATGGTGGTAGTGTACACGATGGTGGAAGTAGTGTACAAGATGGTGGTGGTGTACAAGAACAAACATGGAGGCTGCTCGCCTTGCTTTCACGCCGCCACTGCTACGGCTGTTGATTCACTTCCATGCCTGCTGCTGCGGCCGCAGACCGACACTGCTGCCACGTGGGGCGTGGGGAGTGGGCTGCTGTAGCTGCTGCTCGAGTCGCGGGCTGCTGTTGCTGCTGCTCGAGTCGCGGGTTGCTGCTGCTCGAGTCGCGGGCTGCTGTTGCTGCTGCTCGAGCCGCGGGCTGCTGTAGCTGCTGCTCGAGTCGCGGGCTGCTGTTGCTCGAGTCGCGGGCTGCTGTAGCTGCTGCTCGAGTCGCGGGCTGCTGTTGCTGCTGCTTTTGTTTGCTCGCTTTGTGTGATCTCGCTGCCACCACCGCCGCCGCTCTTGTTGTTATCCCACCCCAGGCCCGCCAGCCCACCCACAAACCTTTCCCGCCAGCAACTCCTCGCTTCCCGTAAGCACCCGAGACCCACGTGACCGCTCCGTCGCAGCAAATCGCGGCGCGCGTAGTCCACCACGTGGTTTGCGGAGTGCGCGTCAGAGGGGAGTAGGGGGGGAGACGAGGCGCGCGTCACTGGTGAGAATCCGCGTGGCTTCCCCACGCTCGGCCGCGTTCTCAGAGCAGAACACAGGGCTGCGGGTAACGAACAGAGGGGGCAACGTATCACTTACATTGCATCAATGTCGTCATCGTGATGGGCGGCAGGAAAGTAGTAACACTTGGGAGACATATCAAGATGGGTTCGCTTCTTGCGCATGGTTTCATCCTACAGTTCATACAACCCACACAAAAACTGCTTTTTGTCTTTCGTTTGTTGTCCTACCCCCGCGTCTCCGATTAGCACGGTTGACTACGTAAGGTGCGAAAGAAGTTCAACATACACAATATCACTGGAATGGGCCAAACATCCCCAATACAGTACTGAAAAATTACTCCATTGGGATTCCACATCACAAATCTTAACCTGTGCGAAAACGTGGCAGCACAATCTTGAAAGTCTTAAAATTCGGTGAGGCTTTCCTGGGTAAACAACAAAATAGCAAATATTCTAACACTTCACTGCGCCACATCTTTAGGAGGTCGACTTTGTTATTGTTACACTACCGTAGTGCCGTCTTCAGTGGCTTGATTATATTCAGTGAATCCATCGATACATCCAACAACATCGTTAAGAAAACTACACTTTTTAATTTACCAGGTAAGGCCCACTTCGCTATATAGCTATTAAATTTCGATTTAAAGCTTTCGTGACTGCAGGGATTCATCTTCTTGGTTCTTTCGGTAAAGTCAAGTAGAAGGGAAATAATACAAATAAAACAATAAAATACAATTCTCACGACGTTTCGGCCACAACGCAAGCAGTCGTCCTCAGCGTCTTTCCGACAGACCTGTTCTTCATCTGAGGACGGCTGCTTGCGTTGTGGCCGAAACGTTGTGAGAATTGTATTTATGTTTTAATATTATTATTTCCCTTCTACGTGACTTTACCGAAAGAACCAAGAAGATATATAGCTATTTTTCAGAAGCGACCTGGCCACATATGATAGCCCAATTAAGTGGCTTATGTGGACATTGATAGCGACCAAATACTCTAAACCAAGGCCGTAACAATATATATGGGGGGGACACATCCCCCTCAATATTCAAATATGCTCTAAATGCCCCCCCCAATATATTGCTATTAAAAATTATTGCTATGCTATGTAAATAAAAACAATTTGCTAAATCTTGGCCACAATATCTGGACTTGTCTTCATATAAATCAATGCATAGATTTATGTTTATACTAGCGGTTAGTACCCGGCGTTGCCCGGGCGAAAAAGGCAGACACGTAGTTACACAAGCAAATCCATTGATACACACACATAGAGTTACATGCACAAATGGACTCATACATACATAGACTGAACAACAACAACCGCCATTCGCCACTAAGTGGTGGTGACATCACAACAACGCTTGTGCCAGGCTATGTGCACCTTGAGGCCACGTGAAGTGTCGAACGCCGGCTGGCAAAAGGTCATGGGACAAACCCAGATGGCACAGGTCGACTGACTGAGAAGACTGGCTGATGCACCACCTGTGGACCCTACTGTGGCAACTTTGTGTGCTTTAGCCACCCGGCGCTCCGCTCGTTGTTGTGAGCATCGCTCCTCCGCCCTCCGTTGTTGTTGGAGGGTGACTGCCTCCAACTGGCCAGTAGGACCCTCCTCCACAGTGGCCGATCTTGACACGGCTGGTACCAGTCATCCGCAAGTGGACTCAGCTCCAAGTCCTCCTGTAGCACATCACTCCATGTCTTCTCCAGCCCGTGCCACGCCCGTTTAGCCCCCTCGACCCGGCGGAACAAAAGCTGTTTAGGCATGCGGTGGCTGGCCATGCGGGCTACATGACTCAGGCAATGCAGCCTTGCCTGCCGGAGGTCACCGATGGGACTTTGTCCACATCTTTCAAGGATTTGTGAGCTCCTCACACAATGCAGCCTGGTTAAATCCAGGATGGATCGTAGGCACGCCATCCTAAATGTTTCTAACCGGCGAAGATGTTCCATTAGGGGGGCGCAAGCGTAGCGAAGGGAGGGAATGATTGTGGCTGAGAAGACCTGAAGCTTCGTGCGTAGTGATAGACCAGGTAGCTTCCACACAGTTTTACGCAACCAATGAAAAGATAATGTGGCTCGACTGATTCGGAGTGCGACCTCTGCTGTTAAACCGGAGCCGGTCATTAGCACACTGGCAAGGTATGGGAAACTCTCCACTGTCTCCACAACTGCCCCATCCCCAATTGGGAGTTGTGGGGGTGGAGTGTCCGATGGTAGAAAATACCCAGGCAGGCAGGTGCTTAGTTTTGATGGGGCTGATGGTAAGGCCCACCTCTTGGTGGCAAGCTCCAGGTTCAGCAGCAGCACCTCGAACTCCTCCTCCGAGTGAGCAGCAATTAGCAGATCATCGGCATACATAATGTGGTTGAGCAATAGGGAGCCATCCCTTGACAGAACCCGGGCATCGATCAGCCTCCCATTGTATCTGTACCATATGGTAATTTCTCCGGTACAGCCATCGAAGGCTTCACGAACTACGTGGTCAAAAGATATGTTAAATAATGTGGGAGCCAGAGGACATCCCTGTCACACCCCAAGGTGTAGAGGGAATGGCTCTGAC